GGTCTGAAATTCTATCTTCACATTCATTGAGGCGGTTTTTACAGCTTTCGATGGAGTTTTTGACTTCCTGTATATCTCTTTGCATCTGCTTTATATATTCTGTTTGTTTCTTATATTGTTCATCCAGGGATTCTGTCTTTTTGTTTATCTCCTCCAATTTTTTAACTGTGTCTTCTTTACATATGTTCAGCATCTCCTTCTTTTCTTTTATCATTTCTTCTTTTACCTGAGAGATTATTTCTAGTTTGAATTCCTTTAAGGCTTCTTCTATGCCCATGGCTCCTAGGCTTTTTTGGGATGGCCTGAATGTTTGAGACTGCATTTTGGTCTTTCGTTTTTTCATTTTCCCATATTTTCTAGCTTCAAGTGTTGTTCCAAGTGAGGGAGAGAGGTCAGCCAGGCTGGGATGGAATTCCCTGCCCCCTCCTTACTCACTGATCTGGACAGGAAGTCTGGGCCTGGTCCCCAGGCGCAGAAGAGAGCTCCGCAGGGCTGGGACGGGGCTCTCTGCCTCCTCTGGACCCACTCCACCCAACAGGAAGCCGGATCCTGGCCCCCAGGTGAAGAAGACAGTTCCAGGCCTCCGCTGGACTCACTTGACTGACAGGAAGCCAGAGCCTGGTCCCCAGGCAAAGAAGACAGTTCTGGGTCTCCACTGGACTCACTTGACCGATAGGAAGCCAGAACCTGGTCCCCAGGCAAAGGAGAGTTCGCTGGGCTGGGCCAAAAAAATTTTTTTAAAAAGTAGAAAATGAGGGGCTGGGGATTTAGCTCAGCAGCATAAGCGCCTGCCTTGCAAGCAGGCAGTCATGAGTTCGATCCCTAGTACCGATAAAAATGAAAAAGACCAAAAACAATAGAAAATGAATCTAAAAACAGAAGAAATAAATGTTGTTTTTTTCTCCTGTATTTCTGAGTGAGTAGTTTCCTGCTAGGATCTCCAGTTTTAGAGTCTAGGAAGTTTTGAGTTTCTCCATCTAATCTTATAGTTGTGGATTTCTAAAGTGTACACTGTATTCCTCTGCCGTAGGTCAGTGATGGTGAAACTTATTTTTTTTTTAGTACTAGGGATTGAATTTACCACCTCACTCTTTTTTCAGACAGATGCTTGTGCTGCTGAACTAAAGCCCCAGCCCTGGTGAACTTTTAGAGCACTCAGTGATAAAAACAGCTCGTTGCACCTCAGTTAGGTTCACCCCTCTGGTGTACTGGGCTATGACAGTGTCCGCACCAAGACATTTCCTTGCTCAGGTTGGTAAATAGTGAAGGCAATCAGACTTCAGATCTGTGCTGGTAGGCAGCAGAGCGAGGGTTCAAGTACTTACTGCCAGTGAACACTTTCAGACCCAACTGTTATGGGGCACAACTCAAGCTGGGCCTGGCTTTTCACCACGTGAGTGTGAGCTACATCTTTCCCTCTCTGAGTTTAAACTTCTCAGGGACTCTCTTCCTAGCCGGCTCCCAGCTGGCTATGGTGGTGCACACTTGTAGTTCCAGCACCTGGGAGGCTAAGGCAGGATTGCTTGGAGTTCAAGGCTAGCCTGGGTACATAGTGAGTTCAAAGCTAGCCAGAACTACATAGCAAGATCTTATCTCCAAAAAATGAAAAAAATAAAATTCACCATCTAGCCCATTCCCTGTCTGCAGCTATGTCTATGGCTGTCCCTTACCCTGTCACTGGGTAACCTGAGATGAAGTTGTTTTAATTTGTCTGAGTCCCAGATTTAAATAATCAACCCCTTCCTGAAATGACACCTGGTGCAAGCACTCCCTGGTGATGTGGCTGACATCGGCACTTGAATCCCTCTCCTACTGTTGCCTGGCATACAGAAGGAGTCTTTTGGAACAAAATCCAAGGAGATTTTTGTAGGCATGGGCCCTGCTGCCCTTTCTACCTGGATCTCCCAGCCCTTGCTTCTGGGGAACCTGGTTTTCTTCCTGTTTCTGCTGAGCCACAATTACGGGGGAGAGAGTCCAAATTACTTCTTTTGTCTGCAGTGTAGACCATCTTTCTAACTTCTCTGTAGCTTCTAAGTTTTTTGTCAATTGCTTCCTGACTGGCAATGATTTGCTTCTGTTTCTCTCTTTGACAGTTGTTCTCCAGTGTCTGCATTCCAGTTCTCAGAGAGGCTGAATTTTGCTGCCATCACTACTGAAACATTTTTTTCCTTTCAACAAGAAGGATTTCTTTCTTTCTTTCTATTTATTTATTTATTTTTTTGGTACTGGGGATTTAACTCACCATCCTGTGCTTGCAAGGCAGGCGCTCATACCACTGAGCTAAATCCCCAGCCCCAGAAGGATTTCTTTTTAAATAAAAAAAAAAAAAAGCAGCGGAATGAATACTATAATAAAAGAAAATGTTCTTGAAATTAAGGTTGAAACTGTATACATGTACTTGAGAAAATTGATTCAGAAGATTAATACCATGACATAGTCCAGGAAAATTGCCACCAAAAAAAGAAGAACTAATCTAATGACTTTACTTGAGAATCTCTAAATTGAGAATGTATTTGTCCCATTAGTGTCCCCTTAACAACTGAAGAAAAAAGGACAAAATGAAGATAGTTGTAGCAGGATAAAACTTTGCTTCACCCAGCTTGTTCCATTCCATTGAAGGTTAGTTGCCTGTTTCTAGCATTCATAGCACCACTAAGAAGAGAGAGGAAAACAGTTCCAGAGACATTTTTTTTCATTCCTCATTGGTAGGATGTTGTAGCTTTGTGGTGGATCATGTGCATAGCATATACAGTTCTGTGTACTGTGCACGTGTACACACACACATACACATACCATTACCATCTTCATTCTTACTCAAGCACCAGTTCATCCTTCACCAATCCTCAGAGCTTGGGAGTACCTGTTTATGACCATCTGTGGCCAGGCACAACAGATAAGCAGTATTCTGATATTGTTCTAGGTAGTCTTTTTTTAGCCATCAACATAAACCCATTTGTTTCTTTCTAAAAATCATGGTTGACTTGTACCCCACAATGTCAGGCTTTATTTGGGGAGAAAGGAGGCATATATATATTGCCTTTATTGTCATAGGGTTTGAAGAAAGGAAGAAGTAAACATAGTATCTGGATGTGTCTTTACAAGTCAAAGGTCATAAGCTAATACTATACTCTTAGAGCATTTTGCTAATTATAATCCAGCACAATGCCACTAGAATATTTAAGACACTTACTATAGATTGCATACTGTTTTAAATGCTTTACATGCATGCATTCATTTAATCATGCCAGTTCTAGTATTATTATCTCCATTCTGTATGTGAGGAAACTGAGTCACAAAAAGATTGTTATCTAAAATTGCTTGTTACTGTTGATAATGTGTACTGCAGTAGAGCCTTCATCTTTTTTTTGTTAAATGTGGTAAAATATACATAACAACGTTTACCGTCTGAACCATTTTTAAGTATTCAGGTCACTAATCTCAAGTACATCTATATTTTTATTTTAAGCCGATATTTTAAAAAATAGTCCTGCAGGTCGTGGTACCACATCCCTCTAATTCTAGCACTCTGGTTGCTGAAGCAAGCGTATCACCAAGTTTGAGGCCAGCCGGGCTACATAGTGAGTTTAAGGCCAGCCTGAACTTTTAGTGAGACCCTGTATCCAAAATTTAAAAATGGTGTTCTGTTGCTTAAATATGTACCTTAGTTACTTGTTCAGTGTTAAATTGAATCTCTGTTTCAGAAAAGATTTTCATTATGTTTATACAAGGATTGCTTATTCTGCTTTTATTTTTAAAAAGTCAAAGTTTGTTTTTTTATTTTGTTTTGTTTAGATAGAAACTTGCTATGGAATGAAGGATGGACTTGACCTTGGGATCTTTCTCCCTCAGCTTCCCAAGTGCTGGAATTACAGACATGTTCTACATCATGCCCAGCTAATAATTTTCTTTAACATGTGACGGAGACTCTCCTCTAAAATTCTTTGATTGCAGTAAATAGTACCCATTTTGGGTCTCTCTTTGTGTACAATTGTTTTGATTGTGTTCCCATTACTTCTCACAAACATTTCAATAGAGAAAAAGTAAATGAAAGCCAGAGCCATTAAATTCTTTTTATAAAAGTAGATGCCTGCTAGTCAAAGTTTAGAAATTAATCCAAATTTCACATGCAGCATTTAACGTACACCAAACTTCTTGGCATAATATAAGATTGTAAGGAACAATGTAACAAAAAATAAGGTAACCTAATCAGGTAACTGTGATAATGAAACCAAATATATAATAAGGATATAGGTCATTTTTAGAACCTTGTAATAAAACTAGTCATGGTGGCACATGCCTATAATCACAGCACTCAGAAGGCTGACACAGAAAAATCTCTTAGCTCAAGGCCAGCCCGAACTGCATAGTGAAAGACAAAATAAAATAAAAAATAAACCTTACAGCCAGGCATATAGTGCATGCCTGTAATCCCAGTACTGGGGAGGCTGAGGCAGGAGGATTGTTACAAGTTCAAGACCAGCCTGAGTTGCAAAATGAGCTCAAAGCCAACCTGAACTACATAGTGACACCCTGTCTTAAAAAGACAAAAATAAATAAGTAAGCCTTATAATAAATATGTACACACATTTAGATATAAATGGGCATTATGTTACCCATTTATGGAGGAAATTGAGGCTTTACGAAGTTACTCTAGTAGAAGAAAGGAAGAAAAAAAGGAAGGAAGGAAGGAAACTAATATTTTGAGTACCAAATAAACCAAGCACTTTGTTTTCCTGTGGTATCTTGTTTTATGCCAGTAGATCATTTCCTGGCAGTAAATTTGTTCAAGCTACTGAAACATGTAACTATGTAACATGTCTTCATATTACCAACTCTGCATATTTTTCTTTACTCTATTCAACTGTGGTTGTTCACTCCATTTTTTTTTTTTAATAATCAGGAAACCTAACATTTTGGTTTTATCTTTGAATAATCACTTTCCACAGAAGCTAATCCATTATTATGATTAATGACCTTGAGCTTGTGTGTTTTTCTTTCAGATTCCTGAATTTGACAATTTGTACCTGGATATGAATGGAATTATACATCAGTGTTCTCATCCTAATGATGATGATGTCCACTTCAGAATTTCAGATGACAAAATCTTCACTGACATTTTTCACTACTTGGAAGTGTTGTTTCGCATTATTAAACCTAGGAAAGTGTTCTTTATGGCTGTTGACGGAGTCGCTCCTCGAGCAAAAATGAATCAGCAGCGTGGGAGGCGTTTTAGGTGAAACATTTAAAGATAAATAACATAACACAGCATATCTTCTGGTCATATTTATTTTCTGTTTAAATTCCCACAGAAATGGGAATATCTCCTACTCATAATGCTGTATTATGTCAAATAGGAGGAAATACAAAAATATGTAATTTTATATAATATTCTTAGAGGTCTTGGTTGTATTTAAGATCATAAAATGATAAAGATCATTAAATTATACACATATATATATAATTTAAAGCTATTCAGAGAGTTTTTCTGAGGAGAGATACTGGGATTCAAACTCAGGACCTCACGCTTGCCAGGCTGGCAGTGTGCTGCTGAGCTATTTCCTTGGCCCTATACAGAGATTTTAACCTTGTTTCTAGCTTGAATTTGACATTTGTTTCTGACATGAATTACCCTGAAAGTGCTTACAATATTTTGTGTGTTTTTATTGTCTTGAAATCTAATTTCTCCAATCCTTACATGAAAAATTCAATTCTTTTATAAGAGCAAAGGATTCTGAGGCTCACCTTTATCAGTTGCATTATTTCAAAACTTAAATATTGTTGAACCTTAAAATTGATGAATTAATATTTAACTGAAAGACCTAAATAGCAGTTTATGTAAAAGTTAGTACTTTTGTTTTCAGGAAGTTTAAGTTTTATTTGTTTTGTTTTCTTTACCTGTAAGGTCAGCCAAAGAGGCAGAAGACAAAATAAAAAAGGCAGTTGAAAAGGGAGAAACTCTTCCTACAGAGGCCAGGTTTGATTCCAACTGTATTACACCAGGTAAAGTCACTGAGAGAAAATCTATGGAAGAATTAAAATGTAATTTGAAAGTTTATTGTTTCAAATGTCTAAATGTGTTTATATTTACTATTTATTTGGGCCCTGGGGTTGCATTTGCTGTATTTTCCCACTTGTATCTGATTGTGAGATAGTTTGAACACACTGATCACAAATGTCCCATAAAGTCCCGCAGTAGGATTTTCAAATGTTGATAAGAACAGATATGGTCAGGACCCTCCAGATACACTGAATTCCAGACCTGGAACTTACAAGATCTTTCAGTTTGACTCCTGCCATTTCTTGGAATGAAACAATCTCAGTGAGGTGGTAATTTCATGTAGCTTACTTTTTGTTTCAGGATAAGAAACCCATTGTCCTGCTCCACCTCTCAGCAGCAGCTAAGATTTGTATGACTTTAAGGAAAATAAATACAATACATATATCAGTAATACGTTTAACAGATTCATGACTGAGCCACAGTTCGTATCTCTTACTGCCAGGTGTGCCTTGAACCACTGGGTGGTACATGCATATGACTGTTTCAGTTCTGCCACCAGTGGTGTACACTGATAGATGAGACCGTCTGTCAAGCAGGTACCACTGATGATACAAGGCACCTGATTGGACAGTCATATAAATATCAACAATGGTTCAAGCAAGAGAGAATATATTAATTTAATTGTATATACAGCTACATACTCTATACTCTTCAGCTTTGTGTAGCATCATTATATTCCTTTACTTTGAATGAACGTGTTAAAATATAACTTTCTCATGAGTTCATTACTACCAATAGTAATTTCTCTTTTACTCTGTGCCCTATATATTACTCAATTTAATAATGTTTTATCTTGATTATAGTTTTAAGACTGTGTTGCCTTTGATTATTATCACACGGGGTTTTCCTAAAACAAAATCATTGTAAACTGAATTTCAAAATTAATAATAATTTTCAGATTAATAATAATAGGTATTATCAGTATAATTACTGGCAATTGAAGCTGCATGTCTTATGAAATTACTGTAGAGATCAGCAAAAGAAGTAGAGAGTTGAGATTCATTAAACTTTGCCCTTTAAGTATATAAAAATACTTACAGCATAGTTGTTAGACAACAGTAGAAGTCCTTGACTTTTCCTGACACTGACTTCATTTAGGATAACTAATAGCATTTGAAACAGGATATTTGCTAGAGAATGATACATTTTTTGCTCCCAGGATAGGCAAAAGCACTTTTAACCTTTTTTAGAGATCCTATCTATCCCTACCTATTTGATCTGATTATTGTATTATCACTGGGAATTCATTGTTTTTATGTCTTTTAGAGATTAACTGTTTAAACCTTTTTGTTTATAGGGACTGAATTCATGGCCAGGTTACATGAACATCTAAAGTATTTTGTAAATATGAAAATTTCCACAGACAAGTCATGGCAAGGAGTTACCATCTACTTCTCAGGCCATGAGGTTATCATCTTTTTTTATTTTAAATTTTTAAAAATGTATTTAATATTCTGAAGCATAGCATATTACCACATGTTTTAAAAACATTATATTTAGACTCCCGGAGAAGGAGAACATAAAATCATGGAATTTATCAGATCGGAAAAAGCAAAGCAAGATCATGACCCAAACACCAGACACTGTCTTTACGGTTTAGATGCTGACTTGGTAAGTATAACATTTATTGTTATATAAGATTATGCCTTTATAAGTAAATAAGGGACTTGACTTACGCAAGAATCTTACTGCTTATGAAAACAAATATAGAAGACAAAATAATTATTGCTACTTTAGTCTTTACCAAATCTTTATGATCAACTGGTATCTATATTTTACAATTGTGACACCCCTTGCTGCTTGTAGTATTCTTCTGAAGTCATGACTTATATGTAGCCCATGACATATAGTACATCTTTATCAAACAACTCTAAAACCCAAGAATCTTTACTAAACATCATGTTTAACTTTTTATTATGGAAATTGTCAAGCTCAACAAAAATAGGAAAGATAAACTATTCATGAAGTACACCTATATTTCCTTTGTACAGAACGTTGAGGCTGGAGGGTTGAAAGCTTAAAGCTAGCCTTGACAGTTTAGTGAAACACTGCCTAAAATTTTTTTTTTTTTTGTCTTTTTCCTTTTTATCAGTCCCGGGGATCGAACTCACAACTGCCTGCTTGCAAGGCAGGCTCTTATGCCGCTGAGCTAAATCCCCAGCCCCTAATTTTTTTTTTATACCGGGAATTGAACTCACAACCTCGCACTTACCTATAAGTGCTTGAATCGCTGAGCTAACGCCCCGGCCTTGGTTATTTATTTATTTATTTATTTGTTTGTTTGTTTTTTTCATTTTTATCAGTACCAGGGATCGTACTCACAACCGCCTGCTTGCAAAGCAGGTGCTTATGCTGCTGAGCTAAATCCCCAGCCCCTATTTATTTTTTTAAAGGCTGGGAATGTAGCTCACTGCTCTCTTGGTTTAACTCCTAGTACCACCACCAAAAAAAAAAGCTCAATAGCATAATGACATTTCCTGTGTTCTTCATTTAGTTAATCTACTGTCCTTGTCTCCTATTTCTTACTGTATCACTGTGGGTTATTAAATTCCAGCATTATATCATTTAATCTGTACTTTTTTTGCATAATTTTCTCTAATGGAGGTTTTTTAAAACTGAAAGAAAAATGGTTTTTGTTTTTTGGTTTCTTTTTTTTTTTTTTGAGAAAGGGTCTTGCTATGTAGTCAAACTGATCTCTAACTAGCCACAATCCTCTTGCCTCAGCCTCTCAAGTACCGGGATTATAGGCATGCACCACCCGCCTATCTAAAATAAAATACTTAAAAATGATTCCATTATCTTACATAAAACAAAAATTAGCAGTCATGTTTAATATATAAGTAAGTGGTTCATATTGTCATCTCCTTAGTTGGATTATAAATGTTTCTTTTATTTTTTTATTTTCGCTGTTGGAATTGGTATTAAAACAAAATAGACAATATACATTGTACTTTATTGATATATATCACTAGACTTTTGAATTAATTTTGGAGTTTAGGATACTTTGCTAGAAAATTAACTGAAAATTAAGAATGTTTGTTTCTTTAATTAAGAAAATTTGGGGGATTATAGAGGGAAGAAGTATGGTAAGAGGGGACAGAATGGCAGTTACAAAAGTATTGGGCCCAAAAGTTGAACATGTTTTTCCTAGAAAAGTACATTAACTTTATCACATTTATATTCTACAAATGGATATTTTTGTATTTATATATTTAATGTCCTCATTATTGCTCTTTGCAGAAATATTTCTAATAGCTCTTATGTATTTGATACAATAAGAACTGAGAGTATAGAAATATTTCATAATCATTTTTCCACAGATCATGCTTGGATTAACAAGTCATGAGGCACATTTTTCACTTTTAAGAGAAGAAGTTCGATTTGGTGGCAAAAAAACCCACAGGTAAACTACATTGCGTACAAATTGGAACAAAACAGAAATTAAGCCTCTTGGCTATTGTGACTTTCCTCAAGGAACCAGCTCTGCTTTTTCTAGGGTGCACTGTTGTCTTGCTTTTTCTCATTTTACTTAACCCAAGCTTACGCTGCAGTGCCAGTTTCTTCCCTACTGTTCACTTTCATTTTCTTGAATAAATTTTACCAGTGCTTTAAAAAAAACTTAATAGATATGTAGCATGTAAATATTTCCTTTCAACTCATTGATTGCCTTTTCACTTGATTGATAGTATTATTTGATACACAAAGTTTTTATTTATGTATATATGTATGTATGTATGTATATATGTATTTTTATTCTTTTTGAGACAGAATTTCACTGTGCAGTTCAGGCTGGCCTTAAACTCATTTTGTAGCCCAAGCTGCCCTTGAACTCTCAGCAATCCTCCTGCCTGAGTCTCCCAAGTACTAGGATTACATGCGTGTGCCACCATGTCTGGCTTTAATTTTAATACATCCCAGTTTATCTTTTCTTCTTTCTTTCTTTCTTTCTTTCTTTCTTTTTTTCTTTCTTTCTTTCTTTCTTTCTTTCTTTCTTTCTTTCTTTCTTTCCTCTGTTTTTAGTATAATATCCAAGAAATCTTTGCTAAATCCAGTGTCATAAAGTTAGTGTCTCCATTGTTTCATTCTAAGAGTTTTAATTTTTACTCTTGGGGTTTGGTTTGGTTTGGTTTGCAGTGGCTGGATCAAATCCAGAGGCTTTTGCAAGCTAGCCAAGCACTCTACCATCAAGCTACATCCTAAGCCCTCAGTTTTACAGTTTTAATTTTTATATTTAGGTTTTTGGTCTATTTTGATTTAATTTTTATATATGGTATAACGTAAGAGTTCAACTCCATTCTTTTGCATGTGGATATTCAGTTTTCTCAGAACTATTTATTGAAAAGACTTTTCCTATGAATCGAGCATAGTGGCAGATGTCTGTAATCCTAACACTTGAAGAGGCAGAAGGATTGCTGTGAGTTCAGGGCCAGTCTGGGCTGCCACTAGTAAGTTCACCAATGACCTGCCTTAACGTAGAGAAGTAGCATCTCAAAAGAAAAAAAAAAACAAAAAACACTTTCGCTATTGAATGTCTTGGTAGCCTAGTTGGAAATCATTTGATCATAATACAGGTTCTATTTCTTCTGCTTAGTATTCTGTTCCATTGATGTGTAGCAGTAGTGGTGAACCTGTGGCACGTATGCCGCAAGGGGCTCTTTATGTCATTGAACACTCTAAAATGTTCAGCATCCCTGATCTTGTCTTCGTACTAGTACATGATTAATGTAGCTTTGACTAAGTAAATTTAAGAGTATAAAGCATATTAAACAAATTATATGCCATTCATAAATAAAATTTATCCCAAAAATGCCAAAATCAGGAAAAATGAGACCTTGTGTTTTCTCCCAAGATTGTTTTATCTATTTGGGATCTCCTGAAATTAGATAATGATTTTTAAGATAGATTCCTTTATTTTTGTGGAAAATATCATTGGGATTTTGATAGAAATTATATTAAATTTGTAGATGCCTTTGGGCATCTTGATCTTAAACCTTCCAGTTCATGAACACAAGGTGTCTTTCCATTGTAGCATATCCTTTTCTTGCTATAACATTTTTTAGTTTTTCATGTACAAATCTTAGCTTCATGGTTAAATTCATAAATAGAAGCATTTTCTTAATTTCTTTTGGATTATTCATTTGTGGTGTGTAGAAATTCAACTGATTGTATACCCTGTAGATGGACTGAACTAGTTTTTTTAGGCCTTATAATTTTTTGTGTGTAAAAATTTGCATATAATGAATCATGGCACCTATAATAGATTTGCTTCTTCCTTTTCAATTTGTTTATTTGTTTGTCTGTTTGTTTTTCTGCCTAAATCCTCTGCTAGGTCTTTGAGAATAGTGTTGAATAGCTGTAGTATTTTTGTTTTGGTTTTTGCTTTTTGTAGTACTAGGAATCAAAACCAGGGCAATGCTAGGCAAGTGCTCTACAGCTGAGTTACAGTCTTGCTCCATCCCTCTTTTGTCGTTTTTTTGAGATTCCTCCATCTCACTGTATAGCCAAGGCTATCTGTGGAATCACAGTCCTTCCTCAGGATCAAGAGTAGCTGGGGTTACAGGTATACATTGCTGTGCCCTGCTTGCTAGAGCTATGATGAAGGCATCCTTATCTGCTTCCTGATCTTAGAAGGAAAACTTTCACTCTTATACTATTGAACAAAAACTATGGATTTTTATAAATACCCTTTATCATATTAAGGAAATTAATTCTCCCTTTAACCATAGTTTATCAGATGTTTTTATCAGTGTCAAATATTGTTACTGTTTTTTCTGCAAAATGATCATGTGGTATTTTTCTCCCTTCATTGATTAATTTTCTTTTTCAAGGATAGAATTTCAAGGATAGAAATAAAAAGGAAGAAAAAAAACTAATAAAATTTTAAAACATGTCAGTCAAGGGGCAGCAATGGTACATACATTGCACATTGCTATCCCCAAATTAATTTTCTTATGTTGAACTACATTCGCATTTTCAGGATAAATCTTATTTATGAATGGCATATAATTTGTTTAATATGCTTTATCCTCTTAATTTTACTTATAGTTAAATCCTGAGCATAGACCATTAATCAAGAATGTAGAACCTGGGGCTGGGGATTTAGCTTAGCGGCATAAGTGCCTGCCTTGCAGGTGGTGTGGTCGTGAGTTTGAGCCTCTGTACCGATTAAAAAAAAAAAAAAAGTATATAGAACCTTATACAATCCAGAGAGAGAAGCAAGTGATATTGCATCACCACTGTGGCCCTGGACTAATCTGCAATAAATATAAAAATACATACTCACTCATCTTCATGCTTTCTGCTAATGGCCAGTCTTAAGTGGGCCAGATCCCATTGATTTCTTACATTTATTTTATGTTATGTTATGTTATGTTATGTTATGTTATTTTATGTTATGTTATGTTATGTTGTTATAATTTCATGTTATTTTATTTTATTTATTTTATTTTATGCCTCTGAATTCTGAGTCCTCCCCCAGAAAACATGATATAAACCAATTCTTATGGATTTACCATGTTTCTTCTACTATAATTGTATTTTTATTCTTACATTATGCTGCAACTTTTATGTGAATTACATGCTTTAATTACAAGGCTTAATTATCTCCTAATGACCTTAAATGTATAATTCACTCCATTTTGATCCTCTGATTAATTACAGGGTGTGTGCACCAGAAGAAACCACATTTCACCTCCTACATTTGTCATTAATGAGAGAATATATTGACTATGAGTTTTCAATATTAAAAGTAAGTACTAATATGGCCATGGACCAAGGCTTTGCATGCAGAAATTTCCACAGGATTTCACTATTTCTCCATTTTGTCACAGGAAAAGATCACATTTAAATATGATATTGAAAGAATTATAGATGATTGGATTTTGATGGGATTTCTTGTTGGCAATGATTTTATCCCTCATCTACCTCACTTACATATTAATCATGATGCACTGCCTCTTCTTTATGGAACATATATTACCATCTTGCCCGAACTTGGGGGTAAGAAAACTTCAGTATGTTTTTGAGTGTACTTGAATTTAGTACTGAGTTACCCTAAATGTGTTACTCACTTTACTAGATTATTACAGGCACAACTAAAGTAGGTGACACTGGGGGTTTCTTTCAATCTAAAGTGCCAGACATTGATGTCATTTTCAGTGACTCCAAAGGAAAATAAATGACCAGAGTTAAGCTCCCTCACTTATTGATAAAGTAGTCTTTACCTTTAACTACCTAAAGAAAATCAGAACTTGTTGGTTACGGTTAACTCCTTTCATATTTAAGCATAGAAATTCAGTTATTGTGAATGTATATGTGTCATATTGTTTAATATGAAGAAAAGGATTTCAACTAAAATGGAAAACTGACAAGCACAGTGAGACTATATGAAACATACAACAGTATCAGGACATCAGGGTTTTTCTTAAGTTAACTTACTAAGTTGAATGACCTGGAGATTGTAGAACATAGTTTAATTTTTACCAAATGTTGGAAATGTGAGAAACTTATTATGTGGACCTGCAATTTCTCATATTTTGCTTCAGAATATATGTATTGTATATTACAGTGACATAAGGGTCTTAGAAACTAGGCATGGTTTATATTATAGCCTAACCTTGGGTTTTTTCTTGATTAGCACAATGTTAACACTCAACAGTTTACAGAAAGAATTGGGTAGGCTTGTGTAGAAAAACTAATGTCAGCTTTTAGTAAAAAGTTGGGTTTTGCTTTTTGTAGGTTATATTAATGAAAGCGGATATCTCAACTTACCTCGCTTTGAGAAATACCTTGTGAAACTATCTGATGTAAGTAACCATAGTTTTTGGTTTACTTTTCTCAGGTAGATATAAATGGTCAGTAACTAATTAAATACTGTCAGAAGAAAAAGATTTCATAATTTTATTTCAGCTACTTATGCTATATACCTTTACCTAAGTAAATCACATTTTTACTTTTTATATTTAATTTTTTGAGTAAAAGATAAGGTCCTTCTGTTTATAAAAAAGTAAATCTCCAATTTCCTATGTCCCAGAAATAATCACTGTTATAAGTTTGATTTTTGTTCTTTCAGATATACTTAAGTCATTTTAAAACAAATTTGTTTTTGACAGTTTGATCGGGAGCACTTCAGTGAAGTTTTTGTGGACCTAAAGTGGTTTGAAAGCAAAGTTGGTAACAAGTATCTCAATGAAGCAGCAGGAATCGCAGCAGAAGAAGCCAAGAACTACAAGGAAAAGAAAAAATCAAAGGTGTCCATTTTTTTAGATGTCCTTTCATTTTTTTACCTGTAAAGGTAAAACTGATATTCCTTGTTTCTCATTTTCCTTCTTTTGATTTTGGGATTACCTTATTTCATTTTCATTTCTTCTTTTCTATAGGAATCTAAAAACTACTTTGGTTTCTTTTTGCTATAGTAAGAGACTGTCATTTAGATCTAATGCTTAAAAATTAATTTATTTTTACTCTTAAAGAAGAACATTGTTTTCTTTGGTTTTTCATCCTATTAATAAGTACAGGAAACGTTTCTAAATGTAACAGCTCAGAAAATTACTTTGTAAAAAATGACCTTTTTTTAAATTGTACTGGGTATTAAACTCAATAATCTTGCAACTGCCAAGCAGGTGCTTATGCCACTGAGCTAAATCCCCAGCCAAAAATGATTATTTAAATCATTGTCTTTTAAAACAATGGACCAAAGCATTGATTTTTTTTAAAATGTGTGTATTTATAGCATTTCATTATATGAGACATTAAAACAATGAATTTTTTCTATAAATATTTTTTGTACAAAAAACCTAGCAATAGGCTAGCTTAAGAGTATTAGTGATACATTATCTAGTAAATGTTATTTGTTTAATAAATTAATGGTAGAATCAGTTAGAATGTACTAGCACTTTGTAAAACGTTTCTAATAAGCTCTAAAGAGTGATTTTTATGTTAGCTTCAGAAACCTCTGAAAATTTCTTTAGCCTGTCAATAATTAAGGGATCCTGATAAGTTTCTTATACTCTTTACAGTACTGATTGATCCTAATTAGTTTCAAATCTAGTAAAGCTTCCTTGAGGAAGGGCAACTACCCAGGTTTTCTCTAGCATTGTTTTTCCAATTACTTGGCTCTCTGTTGGAATTTAGCAGCAATCAGTCTATATTTCATCATTAGTTTCTGTTTGTTTTTTCTTGTTATATTTTTCCTCCTAAGAAAATGAGCTTTGTAACTTTTTGAGGACCTGTATGCATAAAATTTATATGTCAGTTTTGTGTGACTGTCCTGGCTCAGCTCAGTCCTTAAATGTCATCACTCTTCCTGACACATATGGCTAATATAAGAGACATTGTGCAGGAAAAGCCCCGGGGCACATGAAGTTGGTAGAGGTCAATTGAAGTTGGACAAAGAAAAGGAAACGGAGATAAGGGAGTAGTTAAGAACTGAGTCACTTGTCATAGCTAGGCAATCAGAAAACTAAGAGAAAGAAGATCACAGTGCACAGAAACCAGATGGGCAGGATATGAAAAATTTGATATTGATTATATACTCTTTTCTAAGTAAATGCAATACTCTTAAAAGTATATTCTTGGAACACATAAACTTAAATGTATTTTTCATTTATACTGGCATGAATCACTCATTAAATATCTTTGAATGGCCTGAATTCTAAGTTCTACCTTATCAGTCATTTTATAACAGTTTATAATTTTTATAGGGCCAGGAAAATTCTGTATGTTGGGCTGCTTTAGACAAAAGTGAAGGTGAAATGGTAGTTTCTAAAGGTAAGTACAAACTTTGTATGTTATATCTTTGACAGGATAGTAGTTATACTTTTCCTTTATTAGTACTAATTTAATATTGAAGGGGATAGATTTCCTAGTTCATAAGCATTAAATCTGATATATATATATATATATATATATATATATATATATATATATACATACATATATATATATATATATATTTATCAAATTACTGAGTGGGAAACAATATATTCATAATTGTCACTTACTATCTTTCTGGCTTTTTCTCCTAGATAATTTAGAAGATGAAACTGAAGATGATGACCTCTTTGAAACTGAGTTTAGACAATACAAAAGAACATATTACATGACAAAGATGGGGGTTGACGTAGTATCTGAGTATGTTTTTGCTAATCTTTTTACTTTAAAGAGTGGGAAAAACAGTTCTTAAGAAAACAGCATAATTTTTGCAAAATAGAAGAGTTTTTTTGGTTTCTTAAATTATTATAGATTTCAACTAGATTCACCTTGGAAAAGGTGATATTTGTCCTTATATTCAAGGGCGTTTCTTACGAAGTTTTTTACAATAGTAAAAATATAGAAATAATCTAAATGTCTGGCAAGAAGATTCATCACCATCATCCTCTGCTTCATCATCTGTCTTACCATCTCTGTGTGTCATCTACACATCTTTTACAAAATCTGTAGAACTACTAAACTAGCAATTACAGAAAGTTCATAACAATTTGGAAAGATACACAAATTTTAAAGGCAGGACAGCCAGGCATAGTAGCATATGCCTGCAATCCCAGCACTCAGAAGGCTGAGGTAGGAGGATCACTGCAAGCTCAAGGCCAGCCTGGGCTACATAGTGAGTTTAAGGACAGCCTGGACTACACAATGAGACCCTGTCTCAAAAAATAAAAAGTAAAGGCATAACATAAAATCATACTTGTCTGTGGTATACTCTAATACTTTGGCAAAACCAAGCTCAATATAGACAAAAGACTAAAACCAATGTGGTAGTTTGCACCTATTATTCACAAGGATAAGGTAAAAAGGTAGAAAGATGGCTGGAGCCCAGAAGTTCAGGATTAACCTAGGCAACATAGGAAAGCCCTATCTAAAAAAAAATAATAAATTAAAATTTTAAAACATGACTGAAACGAAACATACCAAATGAATAGTGAGTGCTATAAGGTGATAAAAGGAGCTTTTCTGAAAAGACACCTATCAAAATGAAGAGTGATTGCTATAAGATGCTAAAATACACTTTTCTTCATTATCTACGTTTCTAGTATTATGGAAACTCTTGTTTTATAATAAGAAAGTAAGAAATTTCATGTTTAAAATCACACCCACCCAGAAATATGGGAACAAGGAATTTCCATGTGACCGCTTTTGGCAGTAGGATGGAGCTCATTTTGTTTGATTTAGTTCTGGTGATTTGAAGATTTATTTTACCCAAACCTTAAGTGATAACATTGGGCTTTTGACAAAGGCAGGACAAAAAGAAAATCCTGTTCGGTAGATACAGCACTTTTCAAAAGGTAGGCTGGCTGCTATGTACAGACTTCTGAAAACATCCTGGTTGGGTCTCATCTCATCCCCACTGCTTAAGAAAGTGCTAGCATCACTTTATATAAAGCTTCATGGGCTAAATATTCAAACTTTTAAGCCAAAGATATAATGCACTGACTGGTTAAATAAGTATAGCAAGCCAGGCATGATGGCACACACCTGTATTCCCAGCTATGGAAGAGACTCCGGCAGGAGGTGCAGAGTGAAGTTCAAACCCCAGGACAACTGAGCAAGATCCTCTTTCACAGTTAATTAAAAAATATGGATGGAGCTCAGTGGTAAAATACTCCTGGGTTCAATTTCTAGTACCACAAAAAGGAAAAATGGGTTTGGAGGAGAGGCACAACAGGCTTAACTCTTTTGATACTTGATTTAGAACTGTAAGGCAAGTCTTTTATGTGAGAAGGTGGAACTTTTAAATATTGTAAAGTTTTCCTGATTAAATTCTCAGATATTATATAATTTTTAGCTAATTCATTGATAAGTAAGCTGTGTGGCATAAAATATGATATAGATGTGCTCTAAAGACACTGGCCTAACTTAAAAGACAATGTTGTAATGAAAGTATTCCTTTCTATTTTCAGTGACTTTCTAGCTGACCAAGCTGTATGTTATGTTCAAGCAATACAGTGGATTTTGCACTATTACTATCACGGTGTTCAGTCCTGGAGTTGGTAAGACCATATCTTTGTATAATGGTTCAGTCTACAAGAATTTCATCTAAACATCTCTTTTCTCTTTATTTATGATGTATGCATCAAATTTAAATGCAGGTAATTCGTTCTTAAATGAAAATATTGAACAACATGTTTTCTAAGAGAGACTTAACCCTACCAAATGGCCCATTATAAAAGGTCTTTGTTAATCTAAGAACATACAAATTCACTATGGGAATGAATCAGGACTGAGGATGTAGCTCAGTGGTAGAATGCTTGCCTAGCATGCAAGAGACCCACCCTGAGTTTGATCTCCAGCACCACAAAGCAAAAGGAAAAAAAAGATTAATCAACTATGATAAAGTCTTGATAACTGTTGGATTTGGATCATAGTTACATGGCAGTATTGATTATATCCTCTACATATTTGTGTTTGAGAATTATTCTCTGACAAGAGTAATCTTTAAAAAATGAGTATTTGTATATTAAAGAAGGAAAAAACAAAAGTTACTCATTTTTACTAGAAATAGTCATAATTCACCATTTCTCTTATGCTCCATATTCCTGCACATTTCATCTGCATTTTCAAACCAGCCACCAAAATAGGAAAATAACAACAACAAAAAAAATCATGTTCTGAAAGGTAGAGACTTAAATGACAATATAGTTCTATCTTCGAAGCACTTCTGCTAGGCTCTATTTTAGAACACTGTCCAACAATATAAACTAGTGCAAAGTAATATGGCCTTAATTATGATTTAATTTACTAGCAGTCTTTTAATAAAAATTTTTACAGTCACCAGATTTTCTGAGCCCTGTGGTGAATAATGTAATGAAAAACAAAAAATTAATTTGACATTTTTAAGAAAGTTAATATAAGTTATTCCTGCCATATTACAGACATTAAAGCCAGATCCCTAAATCCATGTTCTCATATAGTCTTCAAAACTAAAGTAAACATTGTCTGCTCTTTGATTCATATGAGGAAACTATGATTATATAATCAAGAATCAAATCCAAGCCAAAGTCTGTATGTCTTACATTATTCCCCTTGCCATTCTGCCTCCTAAACTTTCCTATCCTTTTGAAATTTATGCCATAATTATGGAATATAAGAACATTCTTTTTATGGTATCTTTAGCAAACAAGAGTATATACTGAAAATTTTTAAATTGTGTGTTCAAAGTTTTGTGAAAATATTTATGCCTATAGTTATACATGGGAACGTATTAAATTAGTGTGTATGTTTAAGATACAGTTTTATCTTCATTACAAATTTAATGATATGTACACTAATTGAAAGACAAAAAATCTTGCAGCTGATTGGTAATGGCAGTATAAATTTAGATTTACTGTTCTTCATTCTTCTCTCTGTTCCTGTGAACTAACTTGAACATTTCTCAGAACATTCAGTTGCTCCAGATCCCTTGCATTAGAGGTTGCAGAGTCAAATCACTAGACTGAAATTTCTCTGACTACCCTCATTACTATCCAACCTCCTGTCTGAAAGATTCATAATTAGTATTTGGGGAGTAAATAGAAACAATACATCGCTGAGGTATAGCATATTGGTAGAATACTTGCTTAATATGCTGGATTTCATGTCCAGCACCACAAGAGAAAACAAAATAAAAACAACAGCAACAGCATTACAAGCTTGGCTTAGTGGCATATGCCTATTTTCCCACCACTGGGAAGCTGAGGCGGGAGAATCCCTTGAGACAGGAGTTTGAGACTAGCCTGGTAACTTAGCAAGAATCTCCTGCCCACATCTCAAAAACAGAACAAAAAAGCATTATATTATATTTATCCTGAATTGACCTGATACATCCAGTTTTGTTTTTTGTTTTTGCTTTTTTAGCAGTAGCAAAGTTTTGTTAAAGGTAGGAAAAGAAACAGGCTCTGAAAAGCAATGTTAGCTCAAGTAAAACTAGAAAAAGAAGCACTGTATACCCTACAGAGTAAGGGTGGGCACCATGAAGTGAGAACAAAGTGGCCTACATCCAGTTCTATAAATGTAAGAAAATTTACACCGCACTTTAAGAAATGCTGTGTCGGTTTCCATCATGGATCCTAAATTTTTCAACATTGCTTGTTCTTGTTTTGGTTTTCTGACATATGGTCCTACCGTGTAGCCCGGGCTGGCCTTGAGCTCAGGAGTCCTTCTGCCTCAGCCTCCAGAGTGCTGGGATAACAGAAATGTACCATTAGACCTGGCTAACATTGCTAGTTTCTTATACTCAAGTGATAGAATTATGCGTGGTATTTAATTATTCTTTAAAATTGTTATGTGCTATAAAATATAGAAAAAATAGTATTAACCTGTTTCATAAAAGTTTACTGTTGTCTAAAGCTTATTTTGTTTTATAGGTTTTATCCCTATCATTATGCACCTTTCCTATCTGATATCCGAAACATCAGTACACTCAAAATCCATTTTGAACTTGGAAAACCTTTTAAGCCATTTGAGCAGCTTCTTGCTGTGCTTCCAGCTGCTAGCAAAAATTTGCTTCCTGTATGCTACCAGGTGGGTGTTAAGATTGATTTTCTCTTAAATTGAATGGTTTTTATATCCTTTCTGCTATACGCATTCTTTGTCCAAACCTAGAAACAATAATAGCCAAATTTATTTAATAGACAAGTACATTCATTTTCAGTTCTAAATACAGTATGTTTCTTTAACAAGAAAATGAAAAGTAATCCTTCGATTTAAATTGACTTTGTTTTAAAAATGCAAATTCCATAAACTATTCAGAGCCTAGCCGCTTCATTTATTGCCTATAAGTGCATCTTTAATTTGTCTCTACATTGAAGAAGGTAAACTAAAACCGATATAAAGTTGGAAGCCATCTCTTAACATACAATTAAAAGTTTATTCCTGTATTCTTTTACCCACTACCTATTTGACTAAAATACTGGGATGCTGTGTCCTGGGCAGCCAGCAGGGTCGAGAGTGGGGGATGGGAGATTAGGGAAAAGCTAGACACACTGAAAGGAAAGCTGGAAATGGGTGGGACCTGACTTCTCTGGTGGAAAGACAGCAACAGCCTGGCAGCCTGCATCTGCAAAAGTAGGGGAAGCTCATGACAAAGTCAAAAGTGCAAGGTCTCAGTGTTTTGCTGAGAACACTGAACGTGAAATATTCTCAGAACTATCCATGCTGCATTTAACAGGAAGAAACACTAAGGCCAGACTCCTACTGGACTGGCCTTCCTCTAGTCCCAAGGAGTTCACTAACGTCCAGCTCAATCATGGCTCAGCCACTCCCCACATTGTAATAAGCTATTTATCTTAACCTCAGTATCACCTGAGTCTATATTTGAATTTGGCATTTTCTTTATCAAATTGGGAGGGTTTTGTTTGGGTTTGGTTTTTGGTTTGGGGTGTTTTGTTTGTTTTCTTTTTTGTCTAATATATTTCACGTAACAAGAGGAGGACATTCACCAAAATTATATTAAATCTACTAAATTCATTATGAATATAAACTTCATTTAGTTCTTCTAAGATAACAGTCTGTTCTATGCTCTAATTCCAGAAATTGGAATGGATATATGCAATGTACACATACACAAAGAACTTTCGCTTCCTTGTCATTGTCAGATTCTTTGCTGTATCTTTCTGAACCTTAGCCTGTCCTTTAACTTCTAACTTCTCTTCATAAATTTCTTTGTTGCTTCTTTTTCCTTCTTTTGAATATATTGAACTTTGATGTTCAACCACTGTGGCCAAGTGTGGCTATGCTACATACATTATGGCTATATCTGTTTTATTTGCTCAGTACACATGCCGTATGATACTAAGTATTGAGGATTATCCTAGGAATATGCAGTTTTGTTTCTTTAATAAAAATGTTGTATCATAGTCTTTCATCATTTCTTTTTACCGTCTTTCTGTTTGTCTATCTCTGTTACAAAATCTCCATTAAAACATGAGTTGTGGAACTCTCTTTCTTTGATATTAGTGATACAGTGGTTCTTAGACTTTTAGGATTTTTTTTCTTGAATCAATTCATTGGTTCATAAAGGTAAGTTGTGAAATGAACTGAAGAGCTGAATAAAAAAACATTATTTAAGTGTCTTTATAGAATAAAAAGACAATAAAAAACAAAAGTGGCAAAATTAATATTCGGAATAAAGGTGATTTTGCTGCATAACTAGGTTAATGAAACTGAATTTTCAATGAGAATTCTTAATTAAAAATCAAAATATAGCATGTACATTAAAACATCTAAAATACAAAAATGTACTTTGCTTAGAAATTTTAAAATATGACATGTAAGGAAATATAAATATTTTAATGCGCTGTATTGATACTAGTTTTTATATTTCTGTTATACTGTTTTATATTTTCACAGCATTTGATGACCAGCGAAGACTCACCAATTATAGAATATTATCCACCTGATTTTAAAACTGACCTAAATGGAAAACAACAGGAATGGGAAGCTGTTGTATTAATACCTTTTATTGATGAGGTCAGTGCATATAGTTTTACACACACACACATACATTGTTCATCAGTGAACAATTGGTTTAATCTTCATTTAGCTATTCTGTTGTATCTGTCAGAACTTTTAGATATGCTAATTATAAAGTTGGATGGCTTTACTGATATTAAACAGAATAGTTAGACGTCAGAACAAGAAGTAATTACCAGAGAAAAAGAGGGATATATGATTTTAAAAAAATCAAGTCATCCAGAAGAAATAAAGGGCCCAGCATGGTGGCACATGCCTGTAATTCCAGCACTAGGAAGGCTGAGGCTGGAGGATCACTATGAGTTCAAGGCCAAGCTAGGCTACATAATGAGTTTAAAACCAGCCTGACCTGCATAGTGGGACCCTGTCTCAAAAAGAAGGAAGAGGAGGAAAAGCAGAAAAAGAAATAGAAATTAGGGCTGTTGATAGCTGAGTTGCAGAGCATGTACCTAACATTAGCAAGGCCCAAAGTTTGATCCCCAGCACTGAAACAACAAAAAGACAAAAATTTTATATGCATATGCACCTAATAACACAGCTTCAAATACATGAGTCAGTGGCCAGAATTAAGGGAGAAATGAACAGGTTCATAATTATCATTAGAAATTTCAGTGTTCTTCTCTAATGAATCAATAGCCCAAGACAGAAAATAAGTAAGGATAAAAAGATTTGAATTATGTTAGGCACCTAATCAACTTTACTTATATTCGAACACCACAATCAGCTGCAGAATTCATGTCCTTTTAAAGTAAAGTGATAGAAATTGCAAAAAAAAAAAAAAAAAAAGAAATTGCCAAAATGGAACACGTGATAGAATTTTTAGAATTGAGAGACTGATAATTTTTTGTTGTTGTTTGGGAAAGGTCTCTCTATATAGTCTAGGGTGGCCTTGAAACAGGATTACAGGTATACACCCATATGAGATCACACAAGTATTGCAGTCATGGGATCAGGGATATAGCTAAGCAGCACAGCACCTGCCTGGCAAGCGCAAGGTCCTGAGTTCAATTTGCAGTACCAAATAAATAAATAAGCAAGTAAGTATTGCAGTCATCTGTGATTCAGCTGAAGCTGGTGTCTAAGCCTGATACACTCATATAATTGGTGGTTGGCATTTCCACTCCCTTCACTGTGCTGGAAGCCTAGGGAAGTAGTGCATAGAATTCTTAACTTTCCCCTCCTTTGTCTCTCTTAAACTCAGAGATTGTACTGTGTCTCTATGTGAATATGGACAGTTAGAATTTGCAAACCTGTACCTATTTAGTTTCTCTTATTTACAAAAAAAATTTTTTTAAATGAAGAATAGAAAAGATCAGTAAAGTGTGGGTTTGGATGTTTGGGTGGGTTAAGTGGGCGTTTGACCCCATGGCTTTTCCTTTGGCATTGTGATGTTAATGGACATCCCTGCAGTTTAAGATGAAACCTTTAAAATAAAATTCTCTCCTAATGATGATGCCTGACATTATATATTACAATTTTTTTGGTTTATTTTTAAATTCTTTTTTTGTTTTCACTGGAAAGGGGAAGGTAATGTGTAATTTTAAATGTTCAAAGTATACAAGTTGATTTGTTAAAATAAAACTACATGTGTATCTATACAGAAAAAAGTTGGTGGTTGGAGTTTATAACTGAGACCTCTCTGTATGTCATTCCTCACCTTCAAGGAGGTTAATCCAGGTTTAATTTTCATAGTGACCTTAGATTCCAAGAAGAGCAGAGCAGACGTTAAAAGGCCTCTCGAATTTTGGAAGTCATATACCATCACTTTTATTGTATTGCTTTAAATAAAGCCACCCAAGCTGGGTATGGTGATGCACACCTGTAATCCCAGCATTTGGGATACTGAGACAGGAGGATTGCTGCAAGTTCAAAGCCAGCATGAACTACACATAGCAAGACCCTGTCTCAAAAACAAAAACAGAAAAAGGGGGAAATAAAAGGAAGGCAAAGAAGGGAGAGAAGGAAGGAGAGTTGCAAGCAAGTAACTCAAAAAACCAACCCAAATTTAAGGAATAAGGAAATTGACTTCTCATATACGAGGGCGGGAAGAACTGTTACAATCATATTGCTATCATTGCAGACCATCTGTTATATTCTGCCTTTTGACTAAAATAATTTACATCTTGTCCAAATAACATACTAATATATCTCCCAAATCCCATACTCATAACATCAGCAGGCTCCAAGTCCAGAATCTCATCTTCAGATTGGTTCCAGATACATGAGGTTCCTCAAATGCACCTCCTTGTATAAATTCTCTTGATTCAGAGACCTAAGTTAAAAAATGAAGTTCTCTCTCCTACCCTAGATTCCCAGTATAGTATTGTATAACAATTCTGAAGTTCAACTGAATATCAATTGTTAGGTTCTTCTTATGAATATAATGCTGCAATGAACATGAGAATGCTTGTCTTCTACATGCTGATTTTATTTCCTTTGGACATTTATCCAGTGGTAGGATTACTGAATCAAATGGTAGTTCTGTTTAATTTTTTGAGTGAATACCCCACTATTTTCCATTCCCAATATCCTACATTCCCAGCAACAATGTGTTCTCTTTACTCTATTTACTCTTGTCTTCACCAATAATTATTAACTTTAGGTTTTTTGATAATATCCTTTATAACAGGAGTGAGATTATACCTCATTGTGGGTTTTAACTTCTATTTCTCTAATGATTAATAATAATTTTTCATATAACTGCTGGCCATTTCAGTCTCTTTTTTTAGATACTAACCTCTTAAGAGACTATAGTTTGCAGGCATTCCCCCGTTCCTTAGATTGGCTTTTCATTTTGTTGCTGTGCAGAGATTTTTAGTTTGAGGCAGACTTCTTTGCTTTTTTTTTTTTTGCTTATTCCTAGCCCATGGAGAATAACACCTTTTTTGTCATAAAGTCTCATAAATATGAGTGTGTCAGGGCTGGGGATATACTTCTGTGGCACAGTGCCTGCCTGGCAAGCGCAAGGTCCTGACTTTGATTCCTGATACCAAAAAAAAGGATTTAAAAAAATGGATATGTCAAACCCATGTTTATTCTTTAGTATATTTTTATTGGTGATTTATCAATTTTAATTGTATGAGTTTTATTATATTAAATGAGCACTTAACAGGAAAAATAAAGTATCTCATTTTTAATATTTATTGAGTCTTTATAAAAAGCATCAAATTTTCAATATTGACTGCTTTTTGGTGTACAAAGTCTAAAAAAGAATAACAGAAATAAATTCCTGTGTGAATTGCAATGAAAATAGTAAGAGCACTCTACAAAAAAATTAATCTTTACTTCAGTTATCACACCTAAGGCAGTCTCACACATGACAACATGTTCCTTAAACATGTGTCACTTACACTGATAACACATGTGTTTTGTTTTCCTGGCCTTTTTGTATGACATAGTTATCATCTCGCTGGTCTTGCTGTTTTGTCAGAAGGTTCCTATTATGCATTTTGTAGTTAACAGGAACATAAAATACCGATAAAGCATTAAATTCTTAATATGTATTACACATTTAGAATGCTTATTAACATTATCAGTGAGCTGGGTGCTTACTTATAGAACCTAGGCTGTAACATTAAAGACTGATGTGAGCTACAATGTAAACACAAACAAAAGTCTATCACAAAAATATACTTCGCTTTATCCTCACACCCAAGGCAGTCTTCATATATGACAGTTGCGTGTTTCATCAACATATCTTGCTTTCACTGACAGCACATTGCTTACCTTTCCTTTCCTGTGCAGTAGGCCATTTCATCCCCTTTCTTCTCTTCCTGCTTTGGCAAGAACTTCCTTCTGTGTTGTACAGTATGCACTTAACAGAGAAATAAGATACCAATAAAATACCAAATGTGTAATGTGTGCTTAGAGTAGACGTCAGTATTTTCACATCAACTGTGTACTTGCTTATATAACCTAAGAGGTAACACCAGAAGTAAAAACGTGTGTGAACTACAGTGAAAATACTAAGAGAACTCTTAAGCAAAATAATCTTTGCTTCAATTGTCACATCTAGACAGTCGTCACACATGAAAGTTGCATATCATAGACAACTTTCCCTTATGGTAATGCCATCTACATTTTGTTTCCCTGCCCTTTCCTGTAGGGTACAGTTGACATCTTTTCAGTTTCCCTATTGTCATAGTAAGTCTTTGGGGTGTTGTATCTGCCTGTTAACTGTCAATGCAGTCTACAATTTGCTTGTGTAGTTCCCTGGGTAGAAAAATTTTCATTTCCTCTGCAGTAAATGATTTCTTATGAGTTCCAATCCCAATCCTTTTAAGAAAATTTATCCATGTCATTTTCTTTATAAACTATCAAACTATGTCACATATGTTTAAGATCTAGTAAAACACAACCATTGGCCAATACTTTGTGTTTCGAGTGACATCAACAACACCTACTCCACCTTTATTGTAGAAAGTTTCCATCTCAGTCTTCCATTTTGTCAAGATTTTCCTATCAGTATTTTCATCATGGTGCAATGTTGGCATCAGCAGTACTAGTTTCTTTTTCTTTGTCATATATGAGTCCAATGTTTCAAAGATTGCACTGTATACACTTCTCTGTTTTGAAATTGCAACACTTCATTTGGAATTTCTGCTTTGTTCCTGCATACCGTTTCTGCACTAGTCTACTTGTGCTCAGTTAGCAAACGTGACATCAGTTGGAAACCTATAAACCAGTTGTTGAATGTCATGTTCCAATTAGTTTGAGAGATAGAAGTAACAAGTCTGTTCACAACATCATTCGGTCTATTACTATACAAATAAGGACCTGATGACTGAGTTCCAAGATAAATTTCTAAATTGAAATTATAACAAGTCTTCACATCTACAAGGGCATACATTTTTAAACTATATTTTGACTCATTGCTCTTCTGTAAGTCTTACATTCCTGTGATTACCGTGACAAAATCCCTGCTAAGCATAGCAGACCTAAGAATGCTTTTGGTTCAGTTAGTGAAGTGTCATAATACATACATTTTTTAATATGGCTATTGGTGCATACAGAACATTTTACTTGTGTCCCAGCCTTTGTGTGTTTCACAGCGTCTTGTAGCGTTTCATCTGTTAAACTTCCAACATGGAATGGAAGTGCTGGCATTTTGTCCAATACGTTTCACCCCTGTCAAGGCCCTCACTATATTTTCAGACCACGTTCTAACTTTGTACATTAGCGGTTTTTTGGTTTTTGTTTTGGTACCAAGGATTGAACTCATGACCTAGCACTTGCCACACAGACACTTAAGCTGCTGAGCCAAATCCCCAGTCCTTGCAAATTCTAACTTTGAATCATTCTATTTGTGTAACCATTTCACCTAGTCAGATACGTACTCACATTGCTGTTATTTCTTCTTCATCATCTGAATCTTCAAGGAGGTCTGCATTCCCTGTGTCTGTATCAGTTGATTCTTGTTCCATTTCCCTGTTATGGGAACTTTGGCTCACATGGCCAACATTAAAGGCATCATCATCATCATTCTCATCATCATCTACTCACACTACTTTTCTGTTGTGAAAATAGGTATTTTATCATAATGGATCATCTTCATCATCCATGCATAAGAAATCACTTTTGATTTACTTTTGACCGCCTCTAAAACTTGAAAAACTGGTTTTTCCTGTACCATTGAACAGAATTGGGCTACTTCTAACCAGAATAATCAAAAGAAAACTTAAAAAAAAAAAAAAACAAACAAACCCTAGGATGGTGTGTTTTTAAAAAAAAAAGAAAAACAAGTAAACAAACAAAGAAAACACCCTAGAGTGTTGTATACCCTCTATGATGCTAGGTATACATGCAAAAGCTATTCCATGGAGCATAATATGGGTGCAAATTCTGGTTTGACATGTCTGCACACATGTACATACTTTGCCTTTGGTTATACCAAGTCAGTAAATGCAAAGATTCCTGTATCCCCAAGCAAAGGTACTGAGATGCACATCTGGCTGCTGTTACGCTACAGTAAAAATTTATAGTAGAAAAGGAATGTGTCTGTGAAACCCAGTGTGATGCTCTTCAGGCATCTAAAATTATTGTCAGAGATGCTTCCTTGTTCTAGTTGTTTTATAAGACTCAAGTCTTACAAATATAAATCTTTTAATTTACTTTCTGTAAGTGATGTAAGCTAAGGGTCCAATTTTGGTTTTGTACGTGTATCTTGTTTTTTCTTGTCCATTTATTGAAGATACTCTCCTTGCCATATTGTATGTTCTTGGCACCCTTGTCAAAGATCAGCTGACTGTAAGTTATAGATGTATTTCAGGGCTCTTTTATTGCATTTTTCATTCTCATGGGTAGACTTTTGCACTTATGTTTTCTCTTTTGTAAATTGCTGGTTTGTATTCTCCATTTTACTTGTAACAGCGTTGTATGGTAGGAATAGTGTTTACCACTGTCACATTTGTCTGTGGATTTCTATGCCATCTTTCTTTTTCTTTGCATTATTTTATTTTATTTTATTTTTGGTATCAGAAATCAAACTCAGGACCTTGCACTTGCCAGGTAGGCTATATCCCTGGCCCCTGTATGGCATCTTCTGTCATATACATTTTCTTTTACTTAAAACTATCTTCCCTTAAGTCTTTTTCTATCTTGTGGCTTAAATAGGAGCTTATGGCTCCAGACCAAACATCGTGTCACTTGCTTGTAATCCTTGCACTCTGAAAGGATCAACCCTAGGGCTGGGCGTAGAGCTCAGCAGGCATTAGTGCCTGCCTGGCAGTACAAGATCGTGAATTCAATTACCAGTACCAAAAAATAAAAATAGAAAAAAAGAAAAGAAAGAAAGCAACAAAATCAGTCAGTCAGTCAGTCAATCTTAAATTCAAATCCAGCCTGGACAATTTACTGACTTAGCAAGATCCTGTCTCAAAATTTTAAAAGGGCTGGAAATGTAGCTCAGTGTATATGACTTGGCTTCAATCCACAGTGTGGCCCCTCATCCTTAAAACTCTTCTAGATTATCTTCTGTTATTTTTACATGTGTATGTATCTTTTTTACAGTTGAATAGTTAATTAATACTAATAACAATATTATTTATTTGTTGAGTTTTTGTTTTTAATTTTTTTTCAAAATTTATCTTTTCCAAATTCATTTTATTTCAAGGAGAAAAAGTGAAAAAAAAAAAAAAAAAGAAGAAGAAGGAAAAAAAAACCCTAAAATTCCATTTCAAAGCATGTCTCTTAGGGAGCAACAATGGGGGGATTTAGCTGAGCGGTGTAAGTGCCTGCCTGGCAAGCGCAAGGTCTCAAGTTTGAGCCCCGATACCAAAAAAAGTCACAGATTGTACTGCTATAAACATGAGTGGACGTATATTGCTGTGTTATGTTTTTAATTCTTTTGGGAAGATAGCCAGAAAAGGAATAGCTGGGTCAAATGGGACCTCTAGTTTTAGTATTTTGAGGAATCTTCACACTGATTTCCACAGTGGTTGCACCGGTCTGTGCCCCCACCAACAGTGTAGAAGGGTTCCTTTTTCCCTGCACTCTGTTGGTTTCTCTTGCTGTGCAAAAGCTTTTCAATAGGTTGAGACCCCAGCTGATTCTTTGTGATATTCCTGTGCAATCTGGATTTTGTTCATAAAGCCTTTGCCTACACCAATGTCTTCAAGAGTTTTACCTACTCTATCTTCTAGCAGATTTAATGTTTCTGTTTTAATATCTTTTAACATTTTTTATATCTTTTAAGATCTTTGATTCATTTTGATTTTAGTCCAGTACATGATGAAGGATATGGGTTCAGTTTTAATCTTCAGCATATGTAGAGCCAGTTTTTCCAGCATATGTTTTAAAATATATTTGGATTCACTTTTAACTCTGTTCCATTCCTTCGGTCTATGAGTCCCTTATAGTAATGATAGTAAAGTGCTTTGCTTGGTGTGGTGATGTGTACCTGTAATACCAGCACCTGGAGTCTGAGGCAAAAGGACTATTGCAAGTTTGAAGCCAGCCTGGGCTACATAGCAAGACCTTGCTACAAAGAACCAAACCGAGGGCCGGGCATGGTGATGCACACCTGTAATCCTAGCACTCAGGAGGCTGAGGCAGGAGAATCATTGCAAATTTGAGACAAGCCTGGGCTATAGAGTGAGCTAAAGGACAGCTAGAACTGCATAACAAGACCCTCTTTCAAAAAGAAACAAAGACAAAGAAAAAAAACCACCAATAAAATAACCAAATATTTTTAATGTAATCTCTTTAACAAAAGTGATAGAATCTCATAAGACTAGTCCCAAGTTCCTTTTTGCTATTTGTGCTTTTTTTTTTTTTTTTTTTTTTTTTTCCAAAATTCAGGCTGGCCTTAAAATCACTGTAGTGCTCCTGCCTTCAAAGTGCTAGGATTAAAGGCATATGCTACCATATGTCATCCATGGGAACACTGATACCATTTTGGCCTTTAAAAAAAAATTTAAAAAAAAAACTATTCTGATTAGAATTATGTTAAGCATGTAAATTAGTTTGGAAAAATAGATATGTTTACCAGAATTTATAGAGATTGATACTGTTATAATTATGATATATTTATGATAAATTCACATTAAAACTTGACTCTTAAGCTGCGGATGTCACTCAGTTGTAGGGTGCAAAGCCATTTTTTGTTCTGTAAAAAATAAAATAAATTTTGCTACTGTACTTTAGTGGTTATGTTAGAAATAATAGTATCAGAGGAATTTGCAGTGGCAGCGGTATGAAGCAACAAAAAGTGTATCTCTCTTTCATGTAATAAAATGGAAAAAAATTTTCAGTAGATACTGATGTTTTGGGGCTGGCGATTTAGCTTAGTTGCATAAGTGCCTGCCTGACAAGCAGAGGTTATGAGTTCAATTCCCGGTACCAAAAAAGAAAAACAGAGAAGATGTTTTTCAAGAGCACAAGTAGTAATTCTGCTATGAATGGAAAAGATTTATTTTGTATGTTGACTTTAGGGATTTTTATAATTTTAATCCTTCTCTTCATTCTTTACATTTAGAAACGATTGTTGGAAGCCATGGAGGCATGTAACCACTCCCTCAAAGAGGAAGAGAGGAAAAGAAACCGACACAGTGAGTGCCTAATGTGCTGGTATGATAAAGACACAGAGTTCACCTACCCTTCTCCATGGCCAGAAAAGTTCCCTGCTATAGAACGTTGCTATACAAGGTAAGATTATTTGGGAGTTTTCAATAACAAATATACCCTGTCACCAAAATAGTTTTGATATCTATTTGGAGAATTATCAGTGAGTTTATGGCAGTCAGTTGATAATTAGCGAGGTATGCTGGCCTGAGCCTATCGTTCCAGCCACCTAGGAGGCTAAAGTAGGAAAATCCCTTAAACCTAGTAGTTCAGCCAGAGGTGATGGTGTACACCTGTAATTCCAGTACTCAGGAGGCTGAGGCAAGGGGATTGCTGAGAATTTGAGGCCAGTCTGGGCTACCCAGAGAGATCAAGGCTGGCCAGAATTGCATAGCAAGACTATCTCAATAAAACAAGTGTAATAATGATAAAAATTCAGTAGTCCAAGGTTAGCTTGGGAAATATGATAGTACACTGTATCCAGAAAAAACAAAAAAGTAATGAGTTGCCAGTTTGCCAAGGATTATAACATCAGTCACACTTTTCCTATAATTGTTTACTTAGGTCAGGTGGTATTTCCCTTTCTTTCTGTTAAAAGTTTTGTGTTGTTCTTTCTAGTACATATTTCTACACTGTGACTCCTTCTAGAGGATTTTTATTTTGAATATTTGTCAGTTTTTCACATTGTCAGCATTAAATAATATTAGCATTACAAAATACGCTGGCCCATTATGCCACCACTCACCTAACTAGAAAAAAAAATTAAATCCCTTTATTATCTTACCTTAAAATCATTTTTTTCTTTCTCTTTTTCATTAAAGTATCATTCTTGATTTTTCTGTAATCTTCCCAGCAAAGTATCTATTTGGTTGGCAGCTGATTTGCTAATACACTGAATATCTTTAGTTATAATTTTTCCTTTTGTTAAAGAAAATGTTGAAATAGATTCCAAAATGATAATTTTTCATTTTGAGGTTTGGAAAATGAGGGAAATAGAGATTTATATTATGCTTTATAATGTTCTTTATTTTAGAGATTAATGATATATAAATGTTTTAAATTAAAGGAGAGAACCTCTACTTAGCAATCTAAAGTACAGATTTTTCCGGACCAGTAACAAAAGAGAAGCTTGTTTGTTTTGGTCAGTATTTTGTCTTAAAGGACAAATTTGTGTCCCTTTATTAAAGGCAAGAAATACTTTCATAACAGTCAAAGGAAAATTGAAAAACTCTTTAATTGCTTATAATGTTTGAATTTTAAACACTTTGATTTACTTTCTAGGTACAAAATAATATCACTAGATGCTTGGCATGTAGATATAAACAAGAACAAAATAACCAGAGTTGACCAGAAGGCATTATATTTCTGTGGATTCCCTACTCTGAAACACATCAAACATAAAGTCAGTGATTACTTAACTGATAATTTTTCACTTTGTTATTCAAAGAAATTATGGAGAAAGAATTAAAATTAATTTTTTAAAACTCTTTTAAAGTTTTTTTTGAAGAAAAGTGGTGTTCAAGTATTCCAGCAAAGCAGTCGTGGAGAAAACATGATGTTGGAAATCTTAGTGAATGCAGAATCAGATGAACTTGTAAGTACTTTATTCATCTATCATTTATCAGCTGTATAATATGTGTAAGTTTTTGTAGCTGCCAAGGTGTTTACAAAAAAGATATAACATACTATTACAGTCACATGACTGTTATTTTGAAATCTTTATTTTCATAAAATTAATTTGGTGGCAGTATCATTGCACAAGAGAAATTAAAAAAAAAAAAAAAAGCCTGCAAGTTCATCCTTGAAAAGAGTTGATAAGAGCATTAACTGCAAGTGCTAGTAGGTCTAATGAACATAATGGAATGCATTTTATTCTTTGTTCAAATATACAGGGTGAAAAAAGAAAGAAAATAGTACATATGAGGTGTCTAGAAACCGAGTTTAAAGCCAGAGATTGTGATGCATGCCTGTAATTACTTGAGACTGAGGCAGGAGTGATCACCTTGAGTTTGAGGCCAGCATGGAGCTACATAGTGAGTTCAGTGCCAGTTTGGAGTACAGAGTAAGACCCTTTCTCAAAAAACCCCAGAATCATTCATTACTTTCTGGCCCTTTGGCTAATGCCAAGTATGAAAGAACAAAATCTGAAACAAAACCTCAATTTTGAAGGGCTCTTTACTTACAGTTAATACCTGGAGCTAGATAGAGATAGGGTTATAAAAATTATCAACAGAGAATAGATAGCTGAAGGCTTGAAGCTCACTTCCCTCAAAGAAAAGCCAGTAAAAATGACACAGTGGCGCCAGAAGTAAAAAAAAAAAAAAAAAAAAAAAAAGAATGATTCCTAAATCAAGTACCATAGAAGCTTGGAGCAGGGGTTGTTTGTATACTATGTATATCTGAAAGAAAGCAAAAACTGAAACAAAATCTGTGAATTTATCCATTAAGACATTGATGTTGAGTTTGAAGAATTTTATTCTGGTGAACTCATAGAGACCAGAAAAAGAGCCAGCACTCTGCAAGAACCAAAAACCAGCCTGGGCAACTTAGCAAGACCTTGTCTCACAAAATGAAAGAACCGAGGATGTAGCTCAGTGCGGAGGCCTTCCGTTCAATCTTCAGTGCAGGAGGAGTAGCGTAGGATGGGATAGAAAGGAAGTAAGAACAGATTAAAACCCTGGACTGAGAAATTTATCATTTTTAACAAAGGGCACAGTGGTACACACCTGTAATCCCAGCAGAAGCAGAGGCAGAACTGAGTTCGAGACCAGCCTGAGCTACATAGTGACACTCTTATCTCAAAAAAGAAAAAACAAATATAACTGTGAGAAGCAGCAGCTCACCAAGCAAACGACTATACCAAAGAACAGAGTTGCGTCAATGGAAAAAGGTCTCAAAGCCACTGTCATGGGGTGGGAATGGTGGCATGCCTATAATCCTAACATTCTGGAGGCTAAGAAAGGATTGCCAGGAGTTTGAGGCCAGCCTGGTCTACATAGTGCTTTCAAGGCCAGCCTGAACTACATAACAAGACCCCTCACACACAAAAATCAAAACACAAAAGTTAACAAAAAAGATTTAAGAATAATAAAAGGATGAACAAAAATTCGTATTTATGCCAGTTGATATCAGAGTTATTCTCTAACGTATATGTACAAGTTAAAGTGAGTAATATTTTCCTTTTATAACTAGAAATTGAGTTCAGGACCTTGCACTTGGCAGGCAGGCACTTGTCCCCGACCCTTCAACTAGAACTTTTATTTAAAATAACTTAAACAGAATATTTACACAGCATTTTGTATTTACAAAAGCTTTTTTTAATTTTATGGGAAAAAAATTTCATAATAAAATAATAGAACAATGATAGTTAATGCATTGTATTTTTTCTTTAAAGTAGTCATTCAGAGTATAAGATATGGGCAGTAAAATTTCTCTAACCAGTATTAACACAAATCTTTCCTTTCAGTGAGCTCAGAGACACTGATAGTGTAACTGACTTGCATTTTTTCCCTTTTCCCTCTGTCCTTCCTCTTTTCCCCCATCCTAGTTGCTTTTTCCTGTTGAACAATTTCTTCCCATCTCACAGTTATCTGTTGTGCATTCTCACACCAGGGAGACAATAATAGTGTTTACACAGGGGAGTCTGATTTATTTCACTTACATATATGCTCTCAGGTTATCCATTTACCTATAAAAGTCTCATTTTTTTCCTCTTTAAGGCTGAGATAATACTCCATTATATAAAAATACCACATCTTTTTTATCCATTCCTCGGTTAGTGGGCATTTGCATTGTTTGCAAGATTTAGCTACTATTAACTGTGCTGCTATGAACATGGGTGCACATATATCACTGTGGTATGATGTTTTTAAATCTTTAAGATACCCACAAGGGGAATAACTGGGTCAAATGGGTATGAAAGCTTTTATTGATAGTATTTTCTTTTGTCATCATCACAAGGGAGATACTCTTCTCATGATGGAAAACAGCCTCAGATGAAATGATTTGCATAAGATTCTGTAGGTGAAAGATTGAAAGGCCCAAATTTGGACCTGTGTCCCATCATCTCCAGGATTCTTTTTTTCATTTACCTGCCACAAATTAAATTGCATCACATTTCTTAGATTTTAAGTCTATTCATAAGAACTAATAACCCTTTTCTACACATTGCTGCTATTTTCACTTTTCTCAGTTACCATAAGATAAACAACCAAAATAATTATGAAACTAGTAGAATCAAAATTTATTACTAACAGATGGAGTTTTGCAAAAACTAATCCAATTTGTGCATTTCACAAATTTAAAACTTTAAATGTAGCCAAATTCATTGGCACTTGTGTTTTCCCAGCTATTCAGGAGGCTGAGGTAGGAAGATTACAAGTTTGAGGCCAATCCGAATAGTTTAGTGAGATCCTCTCTCAAAAAAATTTTTTTTTTTCGTTTTTTATTTCTTCATTGGTTTTGTTTTTTGAGACAGGGTTTCATCATGTAGTTCAGGCTGGCCTTAACCTCACTATGTATCCCAGGCTGGTCTTGAACTTGGAGCTGTCCTGTCCAGCCTCCCAGGTGCTAGGATTATAGGCATGTGCCCATGTGCCTGATTCTCAGAATAATTTTTCTTTTAAGCTAGAAATATAGCTCAAGACTCAATTGCCAGTACTCGGGGTGGGGGAAGAGAGGTAGAGATTAGAAAATTTTATCTATTTAAAGTTTTCTCTTGGACATGAATTGACTTTTCTGCTTTTCCTTTAAGAGTATAGAAAATGTAGCTTCATCAGTGCTTGGAAAGTCTGTCTTTGTTAATTGGCCTCACCTTGAAGAAGCTAGAGTTGTGGCTGTATCAGATGGTGAAACTAAGTAAGTAATACTTGATTTATAATTTTTCTAACATATTTACTTTGCTTTTCAATTGATTTTTTTTTCAATTTTTTGAGACAGGGTCTCACTGTGTAGTGCAGATTGATGTTGAACTCACTGTAGCGTCCAGCCTGGCCTAGAATAATTCATGGCAGTCCTCCTGCCTCTGTCTCCTTAGTGGGATTATAGGCATGCACCAGCACATCCACTTTCTATTGATTTTTTTTAAGTGTTGAAGTTCCTATAAGAACATTTATACTCTGTAGTAAAAATACCTGTACTCACACCACTTGAAGTTTAACTAGGATCAACAATTTATCTATACCTCTTGCAATATTTTAGATGCAAATGTTATTTTTGTTTTTTTCCTTTTCTTTTGAATAACTCAGAAGTTATATATCCTAATGCTTTCCTACCAGTTACTATGTTGTCTAGCAAATATATTCTCTTTCTGATAAGAATTTCTAAATATATAACTTATTTTACTATGCTTTTCCTAGGTTTCATTTAAATAATACTTTTTGGGGGTGGGGTACCAAGGATTGAATTTATAACCTCACGCTTACCAGGCTGGCACTTATGCCACTGAGCTAAACCCACGACCCTCTTTTTTTTTTTTTTTTTTTTTTTTTAACACTTTAAAAAAGATTTTTGAAGACTAGAGGTATAGCTCAGTGGCACAGCACCTGCCTGGCAAGCACAAGATCAAGTTTGATTCATGGTACAAAAAAAAAAAAAAAAACAGTTTTGAGACAGGTTGTGGCTATATATATAGACCACATACTTGAACTCTTCCTACCTCAGCCTCCTGAATACTAGATTTCTAGGACTGTACACCTCTTTGTGTCTCTTTTTTTTTTTTTTTTTTTTCTTTTGTACAAGGATTGAACTCACAACCTTGCACTTGTCAGGCAGGGCTACAGTGGCTAACCTACATCCATAGCCCCTTGTGTTTTCTATTTTAAGAATAATTTATTTTTTCTTTTAGTAGACAGGGTCTCGCTATATAGTGCAGGCTAGTCTTGAACTTATGTAGTCCAGACTGGCCTCAAACTCATGGCAATCCTCCTGCCTCAACCTCCCAAGTGCTGGGATTAGAGGCATGTGCTTACCATACCCAGCTAAAAATAATATCTTAACATTTTATTCAAGTTCACAGTCATTCTATCATGAATGCATAAGTTTTCCTTTGTCTAGCTTTCAGTTATGTTTCTAGTCCTCTTTTCAGTGATAAACTTCTTTATTAGGGCTCACTACCTGCTATCTTTACTCCTACCTACCTGATTCTATCTGTTCTCTATGAATTGGACCTCGCCTCCACCAATCTACTGGGATAGAATTTCAAAGACCAACATTTTTATCTTACTGGACAAATTCATGCACCTTGTTTTAGTTTTCATTTTCCTTCAAACTTAGAGAGCAATTATATACCTCTGCTTCATGGGTTTTTTTTTTTATGTTACTTAACTTAGGAATCGCTCTTTCTTACTGTATATAGTATCTTTTTGTTTCTTGCTGTGTGAGTTTAGAATTTTTAGAGGTGAGATCCTTTTTCCTTAGCTCTGCTGCGTACATCTCTCAGTTATGTTCTGTCATGTCATATGATTGAAGAAAAGTCAGTCCCATGTGATTTTTTTTTAACCTTTATTGACATCTGTTTTTCTCTATGAAATCTTGAGCTTTCTTTTTGAGTCATCAAAATTAAGATCTCCTCTATTTTGTTGTGGTGTAGGTTACTAATTATTCTCTTGGTATCATGTCTAAGAACTCTTTACCTTGCAGTAGGTCCCTAAGATTATCTCATGTATTGTATTTTCTTTGTAAAGTTTTATAGTTTTAACTTCTTTTACATTAAATCAGTGATCCATTTTGAATTAACTTTTGTATCTTTGTCAAAAGTCTGTTAGTATCTTGGTGTATGTTTTTCTGAGTTTTCTGTTCCATTGATTTATATGGTTCATTTTAATAACTATACCAAACTAGTCTTGATTACTGTAGCTGTATAGTAAGTCTTAATATCAAGTAGGATGATTCCTTTAATATTACTTTTTCAAAATTGTTGTAGCTATTCTAGGTACTATGCTTTTCCTTATAAATTTTAGAATAATTGTTTAGTAGCTATGAAAAATCTTGAGGGTATTCTCTTTGAAATTTTATTAAACCTAGATCAGTTTGGGGAAATTTGACCTCTTTGATATTTTGAGTCAGCTCATGAGAACATTACTATATATATGCTTATTTAAATCTTTCATTTCTTCATCAGAGAAATGAAGTTTTCATCACAGAGATCATATATGGTAATCATACATGTTTTATTTATACCTATTTTATTTTTCTTGGAGTGACTATAAATGGTTTTTGCTTGAGTTTTGTTGTTGTCTTTGTTGTTTTTCAGATGAGGTCCTGCTACACTGCACAGGCTAGGCTCCTCCTATCTAAGTGTTTCAAGTAGTAAGGACTATAGTGTGCAAGCCCAGCTTACAAATTTTTTACAAGTCCTCATTCTGTAGTTTATAGTTTTTGTTTGTTTGGTTGTTTGTTTTTTGGTACTGTGGATTGAACTCACGACCTATCACTTGCCAGGCAGGTGCTTATGCTACTGAGCTAAATGCCTGACTCCAGTTTATAGTTTTTACAAAGGAGATTTTTTTTGCTATATTGTACTATATAAAATTTTGTTACTTTAAAGACTCATAATTTGAAAGAAAAGAACAAATCTGATGATACATAATTTTTGATTTTTAAGATTTTACTTGGAAGAACCTCCAGGAACACAGAAACTTTATTTGGGAAGAACTGCTCCACCTTCTAAAGTGATGCGTCTTGGAGACAAAGAGCAATCTAACTGGATAAAAGAAGTACAAGGAATATCAGAACAGTGAGTATCATTAGAAGGGTTTACTCTTATCAAGCTAGAATTTTTCATATACCCATTTTTTGACTTATTTCCATTTAACTTAGCACTCTAACTATTGATATCTTCATCCTGTTGTCTAAAGTAATGAATTTTAGTTTAAAATATCATCTTCTTGGTATCAGTTAAAATCTTGTCCAGTTTGTCATTAATATATTTAATGAACTACAGAAAAAAAATTAAATGAAGTACTTAGTAGTAGAATTAATATTTAATATGTTGCCTGAATTTCACTGCTATTTAACCATAATGTCATTTATTTTCTTAACCAAATGTAAGTATTGGAAATAAGGATGACTCTGTTTTGTTTTTTATTCTCTTTCCTTCACTCTTCCTACTTCCCTTCACCGAGTCTTCAGGTGATTTACAGATAAATGTATCGATCTTAGCCAAACTGAAAACTTGGCCATCCTCACAATGCTGATTTTCAAGGTCACAAGTGTTTTTTGATCTATGATCTCATTCTAACATTTCCTTTCTTTCTTTAAGTATTAGAAGTCTCAAAACAAAGACAGAATGATAGAAGCTGATACTGACATATGAAGTGATGCTGTAAACATACATACATCAGCACTGTTGTTTAAACTGTTGTTTAAACTGTTGTTTAAACCAAACATCCTTTAATAAACTTGAAGTGAACTCAAAGAGACGCCAACTCTATAATTCTGGAGCTAATGTTAGGCCTAGCATAAAAGAACATAAACATAGCTCCAAAGAAATGGAGGCAGAAGACATTTTTACCTCCCAACAATATAAACTAGATATTCCTATTATATCATTCTGAACTTGCTTTCACATAAATAAAATCAATAATAAACTATGTGATTATGTTAGTGACTCTTCCTGGTATGCTCAGTAAGTGTAGGGAACATGTCTATTTTTGTCAACGTTGTATTCTAATTTCTTGGTTAGTATTGAGGTCTCCAGTAATTATTATTGTTTCTTTGAATAAATACTGTTTTAATCAAGACTCTTTTCATTGGCAAAAAATGAAACTCATTCAAAATACTTCAGATAAATTATTGCGGGGTGTAGTGACACACAACTGCAATCTCAGCACTCGGCAGGCTGAGGCAGGAGGATCACTGTGAGTTCAAGGCTAGCCTGGGCTACAAAATGGGTTCAAGGCAGCTTGAACAGTATAGCAAGACCCTGTCTCAAAGTGGAAGAAAAAAAAATAATAACTTAGGGCCTGAGGATATGGCTCAGCAGAACAGCACCTACCTGACAAGCACAATGTCCTGAGTTCAATTCCCAGTGCCAAAAAAAGAAAAAAATAATTTAGCTATTTGTTTATACATTCATGATACTCATGAGTTGCTATTTAAATATCAGTACCACTACTAGGTATGGTAGTGGCACAATAAACATGCAGTCCCTACACTGTTGATACTTAGCTAGAGGATGAGAGAGACAGACATTAACATGGGACATTTGGTCCTACTGCAATATGATAATTATTGGAAGAATGGTGCTCTGAGACCACATAGTAGAGGAGTTTTGACTCATCTAGGGAGGAATTTTCCTTAATCAGGACAACTTTCCCAAAGAAATTTTAACTAACCTGTTATTCAAATGAGGAGTAGAATTTAAGCTAAGAATGAAAAAAAAAATATCTTTCAGTATGATGAAAGACTTACCTGTGAAGTCCCTATAGCAGGAGAAAAAGTATTATATATTGAGGAAAATAGAAGAGCGAAACTCAGAGACAGGACATCAATGGGGAAAGAGTTACATCATGTAAATCAAAGCAAAAGAGCATGTTATAAAATAAAGCAATAAGTCGTGTCAGATGTTTCAAAAAGACTAAGCAAGAGCTATTTTATGGGGCTGAAAGCCAAACTAGAATGGGTATAGGAATGATCAAGAGTTATAGTCATGAAAAAATTAAAACCAAAGAAAACATAACTAAAGAAGGACATAGAAATGAGTGGATTTTTGGTTTATTCAAAATGTAATATCATGAAAAAGCAAATGAGAAGGAAAAGTGCAATATTCAGGAAGAACAAACAGTACAATACATGTTATGATAGAGATCCAGAATGTCCCTCACAAGCCTCACATGTTTAGAAGAGGAGCATTTGGAAGCTGACTGGATCCAGGTAGTGCTGTAACTGACTTGCGGTGAGGAGTGAGGGGCCTGCTTTGAGCTGGATCACTGGGAGATCATCTGGAAGGGCACGTCCATCCTAGATCCTCTCTTCTCTCTTTGCTTCCTGGCTGCCATGGAAGGAGCTGCTGTCTTGTATTTTAACAGGATGGGATGGAAATATAGGTTGGTTGGTATGAATGACATGGGGAATAATAAGGAACTATCATTTGATTCCTTTTTTTTGTCAAGTAAATGTTGAAAATATTGAAGAGAGTAGAAGAGGGAAGATAGTCATAAATTTGAATAAAAGCAGATTTAAAGATAATTATTGAAGGAAATAGAAAAGTATCACTCATAAAGATATAGTGGAATTGTAAGCAGTATTGAGTTGAGGATCATGAATTTACAGTGAAACATTCTGCTCAATGATTTGACAGTAGAGCTAAGTTCATCAATCACTAAAGAAAACAGATTTAACAAACACTGGATTTTGCTAGCTAGATACGGTGCAATAAAAAAGAGGTGAAGGAATTTAGGTTACAGGCCGGAATATTACTGAAATGGTAGACAGTGAACTCTAAGTGCGATAGAGAAGTGAAGAAAGTAGAGGGTTAATACTCTGAAGAAGTTGAAAATAGCCCAAGTTATACTGCACAGAGAAGTTTTTAGACAAAATATGCTTGAATTTGTTATTTTGGGGGTGAAACAATTATATCAACACCCAAAACATAACCCTGGGAATAGGTGCTTCAAGTGGGATGAAAAGCAGCTTACTAGAGGTAAAGAGATTGTACAAATGTGTTACTATCGTGTTGAGTAGATCTTACAAGTGGACGTTAAAGTCACTCTGGATGATGATGTAAGAATAGGATGGAAAGTGTAGGATAGTTTAGAACTAGAGATTTGAAAGTTATGAGTTGCAAGGAGAACATCACCACACTCTCCTATTTTTAAGGTATATAATATAAAAACAGCTAACACTCAGTAGGGCTCTATGTAGAGAAATGTGGTAACCTCAGATGAGGAGGAAGAGATTGAGGATATAATGGAGTGAAAAAGATGAAGAATGGAAGATCTGGGAAAAGCAACAAGGAAGTACTTTATGAAGAAGATGCTACTCTGAGAATGTAATTTGAACAAAAGCTCTAACATCCTGTAACTCCACCAAGCAAGGGGTAGATCAACATAAAAAAGATAATTAAATTAGTAAGGATAAACATTGGATTTTTAAAATATAGAATTACTTTCTTAGTGCTAAAATTGATATATCAGAAAGGTTTAAAAGTTAATTTACTATAATTTAGATAACAAGACTAGTACGATTTTTTTTAACTTTCATTTTTTGAGACAGGGTCTTGTTATGCAGTTCAGGTGGCTTTAAGGTCACTTTGTAGCCCAGGCTGGTCTTGAACTCTCAGTGAACCTCTGCCTTAGCATCACGAGTACTAGGAAGTATGAAGTACTGTTGAATTTAATTTAGAAGTGACCATTAATCTGGGCACAGTGGTACAATCTCAACACTCAGAAGACTGACGAAAGAGAATCATCACAAGTTCAACCTGGACTACTGGACTGCATAGTGAGACGCTGACAAAAAAAAAAAAAAAACTAACCATTAATAAAGATTGAAATGTTAGATTTTTAACTTGCCACTGTCAAGAAAAATCAAATGAAATGAAAAGCAAACCAGAATATCATTCTGTGCAGTACTAGCTTATTTTGGTTTAAAGTGCATTTACCTGATGAGTAATGTGAATGCACATACTATACTACTTTATGGAAATCCTGCAATCTTTTAAAATTGAATGGATTCTTTTTCTTGTTATGTTGTAATTTTTGTTATTGATTTACAGTTTCATTTTCAATTCCACAGGAAACTTTAAATAACTTGTCATTGAATATTATGGTTGCTGTAATCTTGTTATTAATCAATATTTTTAACTTAAAGTTTCCTTATACTCCTAGAGTGTTGAGTTTTTATAATTAATTGATACTTACTTTATCAATTCTTTTTCTAGTTTGGATAATGATTATCACCTTAGACTATATACATACTTATATGTACATTTTTTTCTTATTTCTTTTAGCTACTTAAGAAGAAAAGGAATAATAATAAATGAAACATCTACAATTGTATATGCTCAATTACTCACAGGTCGTAAATATCAAATAAATCATAATGGTGAAGTTCATCTAGAAAAGCAGTGGTCAAAACAAATCCTTCCTTTTGTTTATCAAACCATTGTCAATGTAAGTCTCCATCACATTTATATTAATGTTTATTTATAAAGAAGACTAATTCAATAATGTGTAAAGAGATTATTACTTAATATAATTTGCTGAGTGTTTTTAATGGAAAAAAGATAAAACAAAATTTAATAACAAAACAATAGAATAACAATAGTTAATACATTGCATATTGTTATTGTTAAAGTAGCTATTCAGAGGACAAGACATGGGCAGTAACTTCCTTTTTAGTGAACTAAGAGACACTGATAGTGTAACTGACTCACATTTCTCCCTTTTCCCTTCCATTTTTTCTCCTTTCCTCCATCCTAGTTCCCCTTTCCCTTTCAACAATTTCAAGACAGTACGATGTTTACACAGGGAAGTCTAATTTATTTCACTTATGAGTATGGTCTCAGGTTGCATCCATTTACCTATAAAGTCTCAAGTTTATCCTTCTTTAGGGCTGAGTACTACATCTTTTTTTTATCCATTCCTTGGTAATGGGCATTTGCATTATTTGCAAGATTCACCTATTACAAATTGTGCTGCTATAAACATGGTTGCATATATGTTGCTGTGGTATAGTGTTTTTAATTCTTTTGGAAAGATACCCACCAGGGCTAAAGCAGTTCAGCTAGCAGTAACATCAAGTACAGCTGAACTGACAAACTAGTGACTATTAACCTGATACCTTTGACCATAGGATCAAATTCTACAGTTATATAACAAAATCCAATACATGCCAGCAACAAATACACAATGATTTATTTTCCCCTTAGTGGAGTGGTTTTTACCTTGTTGTAGGGGTAGGGATGGTAGCAAGAGGGATAGGGGACAGGGTAGAGATTATTGAAGTCAGATATAATAGAAGCAAGACTGAATGGCACAAGATGATCACCCCAAGTTTTGGAAAGTTGGAGGACACGTGAGAAAAATGCTGAAAGAGAAAATGTAGGAGTTTTGAAGTGAATCAGAAAGAAAAGAGACAATCTTTACTCTCTTGAAGATATCATAATTTCAAGATATAGTTGAAGAAAAAGAAAGATTGACTACAAGTAGAACAAAACAAAAAGAAAGGTAATAAACCTAACTAATGAAAACAAGAGAAGGAGAAATACAACAAAACTGAAACCCAACCAAAACAAAGATAGCCACAAAAAACTCAAAATAAAATAACCATTCACTTCAGACAAACAGAAAAATGTAGTAAAGTTCCTCTGCTTTTCATAGGTCTGAGGTAGTGTCCATGTCAGTTCCCAGAAATATGCTGTGTTCTCTAGCCAGGTTTGCTATAGGATTTGTGCTGGGTGCAGAGCTGATCTTGGCCTGTGGAAGTGGGGCCTGGGACTGGTCTGTGCTGAAGTTCTCCGGAGCCCTGTGATGTAGAATCACGGCCCCACCTGCTTCTGTTCCGCATGTTCAGCGGAGGAAGCACTAGGCTGGGTCACCTAACTTACCAACTACTGGCCCCTCACTGTTGCTTCAGACTCTTCCATACTACTGGTTTCACCTGTGGCTGTGTGTGCACCTCGGCCAGGGTCTAGTCTCCATCTCGCTGGTCCCACCCACTAGTCAGGTGGGTGCACCCACACCTAAGCCTGAGCTTGTCTCTGGTCCCTAGGGCTGCTTGATCCTGCCTGTGATGTGCACTACACGCTAGGCTGGCTGGCTCGGTAGTGTTTACCACCTGCAGAGTGCACTGCATGCTGGCCTCTAAATATGTTATTCTAAATAATAAACCCTATGTGCTCTGAAAAAGTATGTATAATAAATAAACTTACGGTCCTAATATTTTTAAAGACTTAATCTCTAAAAACATTTTCAGCATTAACTTATACCCTTGCATTTCATATTTTCTTAAAATTTGCCTTTAACTAATAAACATAAAAGGCACTTACCTTTTGTGTTAATAATCTTAGATATGGTAAGTAAATAAATTTTTAAAAATACAATAGTCCTTCTTTATCCAAAGTTTTGCTTTCTGCAGTCTAATTTGCTTGCAGTCAGCTAAGGTCGAAATATATTAAATGGTAAATGACAGAATTAAACAATTTGCAAATTTTGAACTGCATGCCTCTCTGAATCTTGTGATGAAATCTTGTGTTGCCATTCCTATCTCTGGCCTATCCGTACTCTGTACCAGTGGTGGTCATCCTATGCCACACATGCCACAACAGGTGTTTATGAAAGCTCTAAAGGTTCACCATCACTGCTCTGTACCCGTCCAACCATTGATCCCCTAAGAGCTATCTCTGCACTAGACATATGTTCCATAACCCAACTTCTACCTAAAAATGGTTCCAAAGTATAAGTGCTGTACTTTGGAACAGATAGGATATGCCAGTGAGAAGCAATAATGTGCTTCCTTTAAGAAAAAAAAGAAAATGAAGATAATGGACTTAATAAGGAAGGAAGAAAAATCATATGCTGAGGTTGCTGACATTATAGTAACAAATCTATACACAGTTGTGAAGAAGGGAAAGAAATCTGTATTGCTTTTCCTGTTGCACTTCAAACTGAAAAAGTTAATACCACACTTCATGAGAAGTGCTTAATCTTTCATTGTACCTCATCTCACCTTATCACAGGGAGAAAGATGACAGTACAAGATATTTTTTAAAAGACATATACCTTATTCACATAACTTTTATTATAGTATATGATTATAAACATTCTATGGATAATTGTTGTACTTTCTTATTGTGCCTGATTTATGAATTAAACTCATAGAAGCTGGGCATGGTGGCACATACCTATAATCCTAGAACTCAGAGGCTGAGGCAGGAGGATCCCCATGAGTTCAAGACAAGCCTGAGCTATATAGCAAGTTCAAGACCAGCCTGAACTACATAGGAAGACACTGTCTCCAAACTAAATAAATATAAAATAAATTTTATTATATGCATTTATAGAAAAATCATGGCATATATATTGTTTGGCACTGTCTAGTTTCAGACCACAGTGGTGTGGGGTGTCTTGGAAAGTAAGGAGGAACTGCTACATTTCATGATCCTGTAATTTTAGGGGTAGATGTATAGTAATTAAAAGTGTAGCAGTTTCTTCTTGAGAGGGATTTGGTGGCTTTCACCTATAATCCTGGCACTCTGGAAGGCCTAGGTTGGACAGATTTCATCCAGCTTGAGCAATCTGTTGACTTAGAGAGACCTTGTCTAAAAATAAAAAATGCAGAAGTCCCAGTGCAGACACCATGGATTCAGTTCCAGTATCACTCACACACACACACACACACACACACACACACACACACACACACACACAGTGCAGACTGCCTGAGCTGTCTTTGCAATGTAATCTTGAAGAAGATTCATCCCCTCTAATGTGTCCTTTCCCTTCTTCATCTGTCATTCAAGAGTGATAATAGTCTCTGCCACAGAAAATTGTGCTGAGAATTAAGAGAAAGGGACAAAAATATGTGAAGGACCTAGAAGAGTATAGATTCTAATCTTGTAATTTAAAAAATTTTACTTTTGACATTTGCAGACAGCATAACCATAATTCCAGAGAGAAAAACATGATGTACAATTTATAGAAGTTTTGACTGACTTTATTTTTATATTTCATTTTACATAGGACATCCGAGCTTTCAACTCTCGTTTCTCCAGTATCAAAACATTGGATGATTTATTTCCTCCTGGAAGTGTGGTGTTTATGCTGGGGACTCCTTACTACGGCTGCACAGGAGAAGTTAGTTTCAGATTTCTTACTAGTTAAATTTCTTTCTAGCTTCAAGTTAATGCAATTATTTTTTGTCTTCAAAATATGTTACCAAGGAAGAAAAATGAGGAAGAATTAATTCATGTAACTTGTGGGCATAGTATTTGACTGAGTGTCTTTAATCTTGAGCAAATTCAGCTCCTAATCAGACACAGATGTACACAACTGTAATCCCTGGACTCTGGGAGGTTGAGGCAAGAAAATTGAGCCCAGTTTGGCCAGTTTAGTGACTCACATAAAGATACATCGAAATATTTGCATCATCTTAAAATATCTCTTCACACACTGTTTATTAGTTGCAAGAGAAAAAACTCTAATTGTGCACTAATGAAGGTAAGCAACATATTGTGATCAAAGACGGTGTTACAGTAAGGAACAGATGAATGTCATGTACTTGCAGGTGTGTCCTAGGAGGGACGTAATTACCTATGCAGTATTCCAGCTGATAAAATATACTTTTCACCCAATTACAAAGAAGCATCAGAAAAACCTAAAGTGACAAACTTTTTTTTTTCCAAAATAAAGAACTTTAAAAAAAAAAAAAAAAAAGAAGTGAGTTTATAATCCCAGGTAATTGGAAGGTTGAAGCAGGAGCATCACAACCTCAAGACCAACCTGGATAATGTGTCTCAGAAAATATAAAAGGGCTGGAGAGATCAATGGTAGAGCACAGTGGTATAATTCCTAGTAATTCCTAGGTGTGTAGGAAAAGCTACCAAATGGATGGATTGAGAACATCAGATTGAAGAGAAAAGATGTGTTCTTCAAAATGACACTAATGGGGGCTGGGGATTTAGCTCAGCGGCATAAGCACCTGCCTTGCAAGCAGGCAGTCATGTTTGATCCCCGGTACCGATAAAAAGGAAAAAGACCAAAAAAAAGGCAATAATGGGGCTGGGGGTTCAGCGCCGTAAGTGCCTACATGACAAACACGAGTTTGAGAGTTAGATCCCTGGCACCAAAAAAAAAATGGCAATAATATTTTTAAAAAGGCTCTGGATATATATTCTACATTAAAGCATGCTAACAAGGTAACTAAATGCCATATCTAATCTTATCCTAGATCATGTAGGAGAGGAAGAAAAGAATTTTATTTAAGACATTACGCTAGGCATGGTGGTACATGCCTATTATCACAACACTCAGACTGAGACAAGATTGTTGCAAATTCAAGACCAGCCTGGGTTACAAAGTAAGCTCAAGGGCAGCCTGAACTGCATAGTGAGACACTGTCTCAAAAAACTTAAAAAAAAAAAAAAAAAAAAAAAAAAGATTATGAGATTAGTGACAAAATTGGAATATAGCAAGTAACTATGATAAAAGGACTTTTTTAAAATTTTTTTTTTTCTTTTTATCGGTACCAGGGATCGAACTCACGACTGCCTGCTTGCAAGGCAGGTGCTTATGCCACTGAGCTAAATCCCTAGCCCCTGTGATAAAAGTATTATGTCAGTGTAAAAATTATATGTATCTCAACATATACTCAGTACATACAGTTTTCTTTAAAATGTTAACAACAGGGCCCTGAGATACAGCTCAGTGGCATAAGTGCCTGCTTGGCAAGCTTGAGATCCTGAATTAAAGTTCCAGAAACCACCCCCCCCCAAATGTTACCAACAGATGAACCTAGGTAAATATTTTCCACTGTTCTCAGTAATGCTTTTATTTTTGCAACCTTTTGGTACTTTGAAATTTCTTGCAAATCATTAAGTAAGGATTATTAATAGCTATTAAAGCCAGAATATAAAAATAAAATAATTTAATTAAAAAATAATAAAGCCAAGATAAAATGACTCAAATTTACAATATTGTCAAATCCATTTATGAATTCCAGGAGAATTCCCACTATCCAATTTTATTGTCAGACTGTGTTTTTTTTTCTTTCTATCTTTTTTTCCCCCCCCAAATCCATTTCCTTTCAAGGAGAAAAATCAAAGCAAAACTAAAACTAAATTTCAAGACACATGGTGCAACAATGGTACATACTTTGCACATTGTCATCTCCACATCATTCCCCCAGACCACAAGACAGCTGCATTCAGTTCTCCAAACAATAGCAGCACAAATCTTACCATTCAGTGAATCTAGAGAAGTCTGTAGTATAACTGTCTTAACTGTTTTTATGTACATGTACATACGTATGTACATATGTTGCTTCTTGTAGCTTTTCACACTAATGCGATCAATATGATGTTTACACATGTGTCAGACTGTATTTTAGAAGTAATACCCATTCAAATGAATAAATAAAATTGAACGGATGAGGCTAAAGCACAACTGAATTTTTTTTTTTAACTCGCAGGTTCAGGTTTCAGGTGATGTGATCACAGAAGGAAGAATTCGTGTGGTTTTCAGCATTCCATGTGAACCCAATCTTGAGGCTTTGATACAGAACCAGCATGTGAGTACAGACCTCATATAATTTCATTTGAAAGCAACAAACTTTTAAAATATTAAAAGGATATTTTACCACCTCCTTTAAATTTATTTAAAATATTTTAAGAATAGGTGTGGAGCCTCACATAGTGGCTCATGCCTCCCGTAGTCCCAGCTGAGGCCATAGGATTGCAAGTTCAAAGCCAGCCTGAGTAATGTAATGATACCTTATCTCAAAATAGGGCTGGACTGTGATTCAATGGTGGAACAATTCTGCGTTTGGTCCTCAGTACTGGGGTGGGGCAGTGCTTAAAAATTCTTATTACTCCACCTTAGCATGTACAGGTCTCTGGGCTTGATATCCAGCACCACACACACATACACCACAAATTCATGTGAAGTTTTTAGTGGAAAAATCACTTAATTTTTTTTATCCATTAAAATATTAAAAATGGGCCCATTATTAATCCATAAGTTTTATTTTGGATGATTATGATCAAACTTATAAGAGGTACATTGATTAAAATGCCCTCTAGGAATAGATTTCAGTTTTTTAGACCTTATAGTTCATAGCCTGCATTTTTAATTAAAAATTGCAAATGGGCCGGGGATTTAGCTCAGTGGCATAAGCGCCTTCTTTGCAAGCGTGAAGTCATGAGTTCTATCCCCAGTACCAAAAAAAAAAAAAAAAAATCCTTTCTGCTAAGGTTGTTTATCCTGCTAAAATGGATACTGTCAACCCTACAGAATCCTAAGAAACTGTACTTAAGTGTCCTTTTTAGGACTTTTTCTCTAAAGATGTTCATTGGTGGTCTCCTTTTCCCCTGTTAAAATGGGATAAGTTTAAGACATTAAGCACCAGCACACCCCCGAGGAAACGTTTATGTGTGGAAGACTTTAAGGTCCCTATTGCAAAAAGAAGCTAGACAGCATAGTTAAAAAACCAGCAGAAGCCGGGTGTGGTGACATAGGCCTATAACCCAGTACTCAGGAGACTGAGGCAGGAGGATCACTAGCCTGGGCTACTTAAATTCAAGAAGCTTGTACAGCACAGCCAGACCCTGTCTCAAAAAAAAGAAAGAAAAAGAAAACACCAGAGAAGCCTATTAGATAAAGAAGCTGGAATTTTGTTCAGGGAATCAATACAGGATGGAGGAACTAGTTAAAATACCTTTCTTTTGGCTGGGGACTTAGCTCAGCAACTCAAGTGCTTGCTTGGTAAGCATGAGGTCATGAGTTTGATCCCCAGAACAAAAAAAAAAACCTTTCAACTTTCACTCAGGCCACTTTTTCTCTACCCCAGTATTCCCAACTGTATATTTTATATATTGCAGGTTATTTGTGATTATTTAATTTGAAATTATCACATAGCTAAACATAGTAGTATTGGTGTCTAGAGCATCTGTTATTCTATATATAGATTCTTTTGTGTATGGGAGCACATTGGTATTAGTGGCCCTTGGGCAATAAGTGCAAGTAGCCCATCCCAATTACTGTGACTGTGAATGTGTGTTTAGACGTTTCCAAATGATTATTAGAACAATGGCATTAGGCTGGTGGTATAACTCAGTGATAGAGCCCTTATCTGTCTTATTCTGGACCTTCGGTTCAATCCTCACTACCAAAAATAAAGAAAAGGAGGGGGAGAGGGAGGCAGAGAAGGAGGGAGGAAGGTAAGGAGGAGGGAAAGGAAAAAGGAAAGAAGGAAAGAATTTACTACTTGTGAATGAGAAATACTACCTTAATTCTTAATTCTTCTGATCTATTCTGAAAAACATACTTGTTTGCCTTATATTATTGCCAAATCTTACTGTGTTCTTTATGAAAAAGAGTTGTTCTTTATTGACTTATTTACACATTTTAATATTAACTTTGTATTTCTGGCCACCAAAAACAATTGTCCATTTAGGAAATTCATCAGTAAAATAATGGTGGCTGTTTTAATTCCTTACCAATCTCTTGATATTTGTGGGATTTTGATAATGAAGTTTCCTTATATTCATATCACAAATGAACATAAAATAATAATATAAACTATTAACATAATTAATTCATGAATAAACCTTTATTATGTGCTTTTCCATGTACATTATATAAAGAATACATGAAAGTTAATCTCAGCTGGTACTGGTTTTGTAGGTCGTTTACTTCCTGGTTAAAAATTATCAGTTGGGGGGCAGGGGATTTAGCTCAGCAGCATAAGCACCTGCCTTGCAAGCAGGCAGTCGTGAGTTCGATCCCTGGTACCGATAAAAAGTTTAAAAAATTTTTAAAAAAAATTATCACTCCTGTAATCCCAGCACTCCAGAGGGTGAGGCAAGAGGATTGTTGCAAATTCAAAGCCAGCCTGGGCTACAAAATGATCTCAAGGCCAGCCTGAACTGCATAGCAAGAGACCCCGTCTCAAAAAGACAGGAAAAAAAAAAATCATCATCTGCAACTTGTATTTTGTGTTTTGCTTTGGTAGCAGGGATCAAACTCATCACCTTGCGCTTCTCAGGCAGGTGCCTATACCACTAAACTAAATGCCTGGCTGTTTTTTTCTTTTTTCTTTTGATGTTATACTTTCGTCCCTAAGTATACAAAGTCAGTTTAACGTCATAGTATATATTAATCATGCATCTATGCATACTTCTTCTTTTTAAGAGTAGGAAATTATTTAGCTAGCTACCTAAATGAGTTGCCCTATGCACACTTATTTTTCACACTTTCATGTAATGATACTATTAGGAAGAAGCAGTATTAATAATATCCATATAAGAACATCTATAATTTCCCCCAGTGGCAATTATTTTGCTCATATATTTATGTTTTAATCCAGTGTAATTATTAAGACCTCATTGTGTCCCAGGTCCTTTGCTAAACACTTCTCAGAATGTGAAAATAAATTAAAAAAAAAAAAAAAATAGAGCTTGGCATACCCCTGTAATCCCAGCTACTTGGGAGGTTAAGGAAGGATGATCACAAGTTTAAGGCTAGCCTGAGCAGCTTCGGGAGACCCTATCTCACAATAAAAAAGGTTTTAAGGGGCTGGGGATTTAGCTCAGCAGCATAAGCGCCTGCCTTGCAAGCAGGCAGTCGTGAGTTCGATCCCTGGTACCGATGAAAAGGAAAAAGACAAAAAAAAAAAAAAAAAAGGTTTTAAATACTTGGGGTTGTAAGCTCAGTGGTAGAGTACTTGCTTAGCATATGTGAGGCTATGGGTTCAGTTCTGCCATAATTGGGGGGGAAATTGTCCTGTAGAGCTTGTCATTTAGTACTTAAGATTGCAACTTTTTTCTTTTCTTTCTTTCTTTTCTTTTTTTTTTTTTTTTTTTTTTTTTTTTTTGGTTTGTGTGTTTGTTTGAAGGAGGGTTTTACTACACAGTTCAGGCTGGCCTTGAATTTGCATGTGTAGCCCAGGTTGGCCTCAAACTCACTGAGATCTTCCTGACTCAGTCTCCCAAGTGCTATAGCTTATTTCTTGAGAGAGTTTCACAAACTGTAATATTTCCTCTCCCTTTCATTCATCCTTGTAAAAGAGACATAGAAAAATTCTGCCTTCAGATATTTTTTAAAAAGAGGGGAAGTGAAATTAAGTGAGAATCTTTATATTACACAATACAATGGTGATGTCTTGATTATCTCCAATTTTAAAGGTAAAGAAATACGTAAAGTAAATTGTGTTTCCATAATTGACCTTTTTGTTTTTATATTTAAAGAAATATTCTATAAAGTACAACCCAGGATATGTGTTGGCCAGTCGCCTTGGAGTAAGTGGATACCTTGTTTCAAGGTTTACAGGAAGTATTTTTATTGGAAGAGGATCTAGGAGAAAGTAAGTTTTTGTTAGAGAAATTTACTTAAATGGCAAAAAAATAAAATGATAAAGATTAAATGCTTAATATTTCAGTATTTATTTTCCATATTAATTGCTGTGAATTTTCTTTTAAAATTGTACATAAATGCCTTTGACGGTAATCTTTTATCTGAATGCCATGTGTTTTAGATGATTGAAAAGACAGTTTTTATTTTTAGCAGCTAACAAGTTGAACCTTGAAAAAAGGTATCAGAGGGTATGTGTGAAGTTCAGTAATACACTTCCTTGCATTTTGTTACTCATTTTCTTTTGTGATTACCTGATTAATTTAGAGGGTATATGTGAAGCTCAGTAATACACTTCCTTGCATTTTGTTACTCATTTTCTTTTGTGATTACTTGATTAATTTACATGCTTTGTTGACTCTAAGTTTGAAACCTTTCTTCTAGTTTTCTAGTTACTGCTAGTTGGAAATAACTATAGTAACTGAAATATACAAGAATAATCAAAATTGAGCCACACGTGGTGGCATATTCCTAGAATCCCAGCACTCGGGAAGCTGAAGCAGGAGGAGCCTCGGTTTACAGCCAGGGTGGGATACATAAAAACTTTGTCTCAGAAAACCATTTTTAAAAAGAATAATCAAAACTGAACTTTCTAAGTTATGAAACCAAAATGTTTTATTGCTTGAACAGACTTTAAAATTTGTCTGTGTGGTTCAAATTCAGCCCTCACGGAGACCATAAAGCAAATGTGGGTTTAAATCTCAAATTCAACAAAAAAAATGAGGAGGTACCTGGATATACTAAGAAAGTTGGAAGTGAGTGGATGTACTCATCTGCAGCAGAACAACTTCTTGCAGAATACTTAGAGAGGTAAGTGCCTAGCAAGGTCCCACTAGTCATCCAAAAACTTACAGAATGTACTACTTATTTTGGTTTGCTTATACCAGTTTTACAAGGAGATAGTTTCATTAGCAACCTGGGCAGTAGCACATTTGTATTAACATTGCTTTAATAAGCGAAATAATATTTTCTTTAATGTTAACTGAGTTACTTGGTGACAAAAAGTTACAGGAAATATGTACATTTCTGATTTATAGCTTAATATTCTTTCCGTTGTTCCACTGGTTTCTAACCCTTTGGTTGAAGATCCTTGTATTAGTTTCCTAGAAGTCCCACAGCAAACTATACAAACTGGGTGGCTTAAACAGCATACACCTTAGTGTCCCAGCTCTGGTGACCGGTATCAGCATGCCAACAGGGCACTGAACGAGTGCCTCTCTTCTAGCTTTTTGTAGCCTTATATGTTCCTTGGCTTGTGGATGCAATGCTTTAGTCCTCATCTTCCCTGTGTATCTTCACATTGTCTTCTTTTTAGTTTTTATTTAATTATTTTTAATTTCTAAAAGTCTTTCCTTTCTGGGTATTCCTTTGGAATGTTTGTTTTATAGAACTTACCTTGGACCTTGCACATTGAAGACAAAGACTGTAACTGAACTGTAACCCCAGATTCTTTTCCTTTTTGTAGCATCATCCCATGGTGAAGAGAATGTCTTATTTTTATTCTCTACAGATAGTAATTTTTCCCCCCATTCTTGAAGATTGAATCCAGGGCTTTCATGCCAAGCTGTACTTCTAGTCCATTTTTTGAAACAGAATCTCTCTAATTTGCTCAAAGTGTGCCTGAACTTTCAGTCTTACTTATTCATCCTCATCTACTGCTAGGATTATAGTCAGGCACCACCACACCCAATTTAGTTTTTGGGTTTTTATTTAAGTTCTTTGTGTTTTTCGTTTTCTCCAACACCTCTCCCCATTTGATTTGGTGTTCCCTTTTATGTTAAAGATATTTTTTAACTTATCTGATTGATGATTTTTTAAAATATCTGATTATATATAAGAATGAAGCACTAAAAAGCCAATTGGAAATACTGTGCACATAAGAGGGTCTTATTCCATGAGACTTTGTTACTTCTAAGGAAGACCTCCTAATGTCACTACCCTATGTGTATCTTTTTCCTTTGATTAGTTTTCCCAACTTCCAGCTTTCTTGCACAATAGAAATGGGGGACAAAAATGACTGCTAGAATTCTGGAAATTAATAAGGGAAAGGGAGTCCTGCTGCCTAGCAGATAATATAACAAACCAGTCAGATCTTTCTTTAGGCCTTGAGCACCTACTCTCCTTACAGCAGTAAAGGCTTCTGACAGCTCTCAGTTGCCAGCTCTCTTCATGAACTGCCCAAATGAAGAGAACTAGTATGAGTTGACCTAAAGTTACATCCCCTTTCCACAGCCTCCTCAGATCCAGTGCTTCATCTAGGAAAGTGCAAAGGCCCAACAACAATCTGTCTGTCTCAGTTCAAAACAAGTCTGAAGGACCATTCTAATTTGAGATCTTTATTGGGCTGGCCAAGGGATTCACTGAGAATGAATTATATTTCAACTTCTCCCTTTGCCCAATTCTGTTTCCTTCCCTTTTTTCCCTGGTATTGACCCCACATATACTCCATGCTAGACTTCTGGCATGTTTCCAAGTCGGCTTCCTAGAGGCATTATGCTTCCTAATGACATGTTGTATAGTTGACACTCATTAATTCTGTTTTCAGCATGACACCTGTCCTCTTCTTGCACCTGACCCCAAATTCCAATGTCTGGTATACCAAACGCTAGAGTATCTCCTTTTTGATTTCTTAAATGTAAATAACAAGTCTTATGCTAGGATGTAGGAAAGTAACCACATGACTAACTGCTTGTTATTTAAATGTTCAACAAAAATCCTATGAATCTCAATCCCATGTATACCCTTCAAATATACCTAGAGCCTATAGTGCCTGGGCTTTTGCAGATTCCTGTAGTTTATGGTCTTGCTCCTTATGTATGTGATTTGTTTTTTGTTTTTTTCACTTTTGCAATTTGAAGTTAATTGTGCATACAAAACAACAGTTGATAAAGTGAGAGACATTGAACTGAGAATAAGAAGCAGCTTACCTAATAGTACAGTTAATAAAACAGGAAACAGGTAGTATTTTGACTTTTCTTATAATTAAATTTCTTTCTCATTGATTTTCCTTACTGGTGATTTAGGATTCAGCGTATTTTTGCCTGACAAATCAGTTAACACTCATCCATTCAGTTTCCAATTTCTAAAAATTTGTTGATTCATATATTCTGTTGTTATATTCTGGAATATAACAAAACTGTTTCAGTTTTGTTGCAAAAATTAGAAAATGAACTTGTAAATACTATTTTGTCCATTTATCACCTGTTACAATCAAAGAATCAGAATCACAATTTTTTATGTTTATTAACTGAACCATTTTGTTTCTCAGCCCAGTAAGAGTACAACAATACTCTGGCTTTCAAATCTTTCAATCTTTATTAGTAAATCCCTTAACAGTACTATAATCAGACTGGGGATTTAGCTCAGCGGCATATGTGCCTGCCTTGCAAGCACACCATCAAAAATTCAATCCCCAGTACCAAAAAATAAATAAATAAAATTTAAAATAAAAAGAATTCCTTTGTCATACATTACATTTCCTGTTAAGATGTGAAATTATTACATAGGAAATTTATGTGATTATCACTCACTTATTTTTAAAACAATGTGTTTGATTGTTTGTTTGTCTAGAGCTCCAGAACTATTTAGTTATATAGCCAAAAATAGTCAAGAGGATGTGTTCTATGAAGATGATATTTGGCCTGGAGAAAACGAGAATGGGTAAGAAAGATCAGTATCATTTATTGTCTGATAGTTCAACTTAGTTCCATTGAAAGGTATAGCTACTTTATCAAGAATTTTTCATTTGTTTTGTTTTCTGTTATTTATGCTTTAAGAGAGCACTGAAATTTTTATTTTGTTTCTTTGTCTTTTTTTTTATAGGCTCTCCCTAGGTCTATTGTATTTGTATCTTAAAATTTTTAAAACTAATTTTTATAGGTTTTTATTATTGAGAGTTAACATGTCTGTATTTCTTATAAATTTGTAATATCCAATTAAGTTTAGTGATTAATAATTATAAATTTGTAACAGTTCTCAGAAAGTTTTTATTTTATATAAATTCAAAAAATTTAATCATAATTTTAATTATTGTTTTTGCTATAGTGCTGAGAAAGTTCAAGAAATTATTACTTGGCTAAAAGGACATCCTGTTAGTACTTTGTCTCGTTCATCTTGTGATTTACAAATTCTGGATGCAGCTATTGTTGAGAAAATTGAGGAAGAAGTTGATAAGTGCAAGGTACTAACTTTCAGTAGCCAAGATTATTGATGAAATTTGAAATTAAATTTACTATATATTATATTACAAATAATTCATATGTGTCAACCAACTATGATAATATCAAAAATTTGTTTAGCCTAATAGATGTAAATACACTTCAGTGTACTGAGGGCATAACATTTAAATTTTATTTCTTCATAGTGTTTCCAATTGTAAGAATTAGTGTTTTGTAATTTGAGTTATGATAGCTTGTGACTGAGAAACAAGGTTAATCCTCTGATCCTTCTGGTTTTAACTGTATTCTATAAAGAATAAAATACAGGTTAGCCCAGTGTGATCCACAAGCCTATAATCTCAGCTGAGGCAAGAAGATCACTGTGAGTTCAAGGCCAGCCTGAAATGTGTAGTGAAACCCTATCACAAAAAGACAAAAAAAGACCAAAGAACAAAACAGAACAAAAAAAACAGATTTTTTAAAGTGCAGTGACATAAATTTGTCACTTGGAAGGCTGGAGCAAGAGGATCTCTTGAGCTCAAAGGTTTTGAGCCTACCTTGGCAACATAGCAAAGCCCCAACTCAAAACAATATGAATTTTGTTTACTTTTGTTTTGTTTTGTTTGTTTGTTTGAGACAAAGTCTACTATGCAGTTCAGGCTGGCCTTGGGCTCACTTGTAACCCAGGTTGGTCTTGAATTTACAGTGATCCTCCTGCCTCAGCCTCCCAAAGTGCTGGGATTACAGGAGTGCGCCACTGTGCTGGCATTTAATTTACTTTATAAAATTACTTCTAAATTGTCCTTCTTCCTTTTTGTCATTCATTAACTCATTCAGGTATTAAGTTTTGAAATTTCCTGTTTTTTATATATTTTTTAAAGCAGTAAACATCTGTAGTAGTCTTATCTATTGAAATCCTCCATTTGCATCAGAGGAATTTGGATTGATTAGGCTGGGTGTACCTCAGTGGTAAAGAGCTTGCCTAGCATGCATGAAGAACTAGTCATAATGCCCAGCATTACAGAAGAAAAAAATGCCTAATAATAATAATATAATGCCTATTTATTTTTAATACCTGATAATGCTTATTCTTCTTAGTATTATTACTATTACTGTTGCTATTATTATTGAATTCTGTTATCACCAAGAGCTGTCATTACAACTTTAAAAAAATCATCACTGGATGACTTTTTTTCTTTTTTTTTTTAAGAACAGGATATATTTATTAAAAGAAAGAAAGCTTCCATCAGAGAAAGACAGATGGCATCCCAACTGGGTTGCCTCTCTTTTTCTTTAGAAAAAGGCTGAGAGTCAGGAGTTTAATCATTATTATAATTTTTTTCCAATACCAAGGATCAAACCCAGAACCTCACTCATGCTAGGCAAGTTCTCTACCATGGAGCTATACCCTCAAACCAGAGCTTAGGTTTTCTAAAGTTACTCACCTAAGGATAGGAAATGTATATTTCTTTTTAATTGTCTTTCAATAAAGAGTAAAATCTGTTTGGGAGCACTGTTTTTGAAATAAATCATTTAATTACCAAACATTTTTAACTTTAAGATCTCCAATTTTTTAACCCATGTTCTGGATACACATTTGTAACTTTAAGATCTCCAATTGTTTGCTTTACAAACAGAAGGTGTATATACAAAATTATACTGTTTTTGAGTAGAATTTTTAAAAAATAAATAAATTCATATAAATATGAATTTTCTTTAAAACCTGCTTATATGCCAGGCATGGTGGTGCACGCCTGTAATCTCAGAAGCTGAGGCAGGAGGATTGACATGAGATGAGTTTAAGGCCATCCTGGGCTACATAAGTGAGTTCAAAGCCAGTCTGCACTATGTAGCAAGACTCTCTCAAAAACAACACCTGTTTATGTTTCAAGGGAATGTACTTTTTACTTTTAGAGTTATAATTTATATTTTTATTTATTATGTAGGGTCATCACTAAAAGTATCAGTAGTAGCCTGGCACAGAAATCACAGTTACTCAGGACACTGAGGCAGGAGGATCAAAGGGATAAGGCTTGCCTGGAAATAAAAATATGTTGAAAAGACTGACTAGAGATGGAGGACAGTGGTAGAGCACTTGCCTAACATGTGCAGGCCCCTCGATTCAATCCCCAGCACCACCGTTTCTTTTTAACAATAATCTTAATAACTTTATTAGTGCATACTAGTTATACAGATAACGAGTTTGATTGTGGCATATGCGTGCATGCACATGCCATACTCTGATCATAGCTGCCTTTTATTCCTCTTCCCTTCCTCCTTCCACTGATCCCCTTCCTCTTCTCCAACAGTCACCCTTCTACTTTCATATCTTTTTTTTTTCTTTTTAGTGGTTCCCAAACTCGGGTAATTTTCCAGATTACTATGAAAATATTAAAACAATATAAATTTAAAAGAAACATGCAAACACATAGGTTGTGAGCATAATTTATCCTAAAAACATATTTGTAATCCAAAGAACTTATACTACATATCAAAGCAAATTTCCCTATATGAAATAATGCATCTCAGATAATTCATCCCACAACTCAAAAATATTCATATAAAAATGACACAAAGTAATAAAATACCAAATATAGGGGCTGGGGATTTAGCTCAGCGGCATAGGTGCCTGCCTTGCAAGCAGGCGGTCGTGAGTTTGATCCCCGGTACCGATAAAAAAAAAAAAAGTTACCAAATATAAAGAAAAATAATTTAGCCTGCACTTACCCTTGAAACCTTCATGGCACATGTGAAGGAGACTAGAAAAAAGAGGGAAGAGTTATCACATCGAACGACTTTCACCATCACTAACAGGACACTTCTATCCATTGGCTCAATGTAGTCTTTTTCTTTTCATGCAACTTTAGCAAGGAACTTATCTATTAACGTTTGCTTTTGGTCCTTTCCACAGAATCCTCAATTTTGTCCTTAAACAGATTCATCACTCACACTGCTACAGCCTTATTCAGGTGGTGCTTTTCTACAAAATTTTGCACTGTTTCCCCCATTTACACATCTCCCTAACCATCTGAAGTGAAGGATTCCTCCTCTGCTTTTCTCTCCTCTTCCTCTGCAGACAGGACCTCCTCCAGAGCCTCTTGCTGTTGGGAGAGAACCACCCATAACCCAGCAAAAGCGAGAGAAAATCCATTGGCTCAGTTGTGATTTTGTGACAATGTCACATACTACTTGTATTGCAAGATACCACTTGTTTATCAAGTTAAAATTTTTCAAAATTTTTTCTCATCTTGTGGAACACTGCCCAAACAATTACTCACAATCCAAGGTTTTACCTTAATGTTTGTTTTGCTTTTTGAAGCAAGGTCTCACTATGTAGTGCAGGCTGGCCTTCAACTGACTATGTAGCTGAGTCTGGCTTTGAGCTCAGTTATCCTCCTGCCTCAGCCTCCTGAGTGCTGGGTTATAGCTGTATGCCTTCACATCCAACTTGCAGTTTGTATTAGAGAAAAACATTTGAACAGGATAACATTTATATAAAATTTAAAACAAGCAAATCTGATCTTTTGTGTTAGAAATAAGTTTACTTTTGGGAAGGGTAATAAATGAATGGAGAGGACTTAATGTTGTGCTTAGTAATGATGTTTCTTGGATCAGGTAGAGTTATCCATAGATATACCACAAATTTACATCTGGCTATCTACTTATAACTTTGCCTCACTCCACCCCATATGGGATGAAACAGGCCTTTGCACTGAGCCTCATTCCTAGCTTTAAAAAAAAATTTTAAAAAAAATTGAGGTAGGGTCATACTAGGTTACTATATTGCCTAGGCATTGCCCAGACTTTCAGTCCTCCTGCCTCAGCCTCCCAGAGGTATGCAGTACCACACTGGGCTTCATTTTGTGTTTTTGTGTCTTTAAAAGTTTTTAAATAAGAATTTAGGTTATAATATTTTTAAAATGTTTATTTCTCACTGCAGTTGCAGAACGTTAGTTTTTAAATTAATTGTTTCATTTGCCTTATGTAAATCAGACACGTTGAAATAGTGAGTAATGTAATGATTTCATAATTTTATATTTTAAACTTTTATTTTTTCTCAGCAAAGAAAAAACAATAAGAAAGTACGGGTGACAGTGAAACCCCACTTGCTATACCGAGTAAGTTTCTGTCCAACAATTCAAAGTTGTTATTTTTACTTTGAAGGTATGAAAAGAACAAAGCTGTTATTAAAAAGAACAAAAATATTTTTAATGTATTAGTAAGACTTTTAGTCATAATTAACAACTTCCTTCTTTTCAGCCTTTAGAACAACAACATGGAGTCATTCCTGATCGAGATGCAGAATTTCGTCTCTTTGACCGTGTTGTGAACGTGAGAGAGAATTTTTCAGTCCCCATTGGCCTTCGGGGCACCATCATAGGAATTAAAGGGGGTAATATCTCAACCCTTGACATGTCCTCAGCTGCCTTTCTATTGTAAAGGAAAATACAAAATTGTGTGTTTTATATATCTAAGCAGAAAACAACTTAAATAAGGAAAAACTAAATTCTTTTATATATTAGTTTTTTCCCTCTCCTCCTTTCTTATTAGGTTGTACTTTGCAGAGAAAATTCTCTTTCTCTGACTGGTGTAATCATCTTGGTAGTACTTAAAAGAGAGGAAAGTTGAGAAGGGGGCATAGAGATTTTGGTAGTTTTTATATAGTACACTAACATTATATAAAATCTTGGAAGATAAGCATATGTTTTCATGAAACTGAGAGACATTTTCATCGTCCTTTTTTTTTTTTTTTTTTTTTTTGTCTTTTTCCTTTTCATCAGTACCAGGGATCGAACTCACGACTGCCTGCTTGCAAGGCAGGCACTTATGCCGCTGAGCTAAATCCCCAGCCCCTTTCATCAAGTCTTAAAAAGTACTAACTATAAAAAAAAAAATGTTGACCTTTAGATTGCGTCAAGATAATTTTTCCTCTCTTCAGAAGACCTTGTCACAGAAGTCAAAAGACAAGCCACATACAAAGAAAGTGCTAGCAAACCATAAGTCAATAAAACACTTGTATTTAAAATATATAAAGAATTGGGCATGGTGTAATTGCAGCACTTGGGAGGCTGAGGCAGGAGAACTGCTGGGAGTTTGAGGCTAACCTGAACTGTATAATGAGACCCTATCTCAAAAAAATAAAAATAAAATAAAATATATGAAGAATTGTTGTGACCTAGTAATAAGCAACTTAAATTTTTAAATAAGTAGAATAGCTGAACAGAAATTTTCCACAGAGGATACATGAAAACATGTTCAGCATCATTAATCATTAGGAAATATACAGAGTATGGCAGCATATGCCTGTAATCCCAGTACTTAGAAGGCTGAAGCAGGAGAATTGCTGCACGTTTGAAACCAGCTTCTGCTATCCAGTGAGTTCAAGGCCACCCTGAACTATATAGCAAGACCTGTCTCAAAAAACAAAACAAATCAGTCATTATGAAATACGTGTTAAAACCACAAGAAGATATTAACACACAGCAACTAGACTGACTAACCCAAGTGTCAGCAGTTCCATAGCACAACTAGGACTTTTCCTCTACTGCCAGCGAAAATATAAAAATGATACAACCGCTTTGGAAAGTAGTTTGGGTAGGTTGTTAAAAAGCTGACAGGTGTGATAGTACCTGTCCAACACTCAGGAGGCTGAGGCAGGTGGATCATGGAGATTGTGAGGCCAGAAAGGGCTACCTAGTGAGTTCAAGGCCAGCATGAACTCCACAGAAAGACCTTGTCTTTAGATTAGATTAGATTAGATTAGATTAGATTAGATTGGCTGGCAGGCAAGCAGGCTAAACATAGGACCCAACCATTCCATTCGTCAATACTTACCCAAGAGATACTAGGATTTAAAGCCCCTTAAAACCTGGTTCATGAATCTTCATAGCAGCTTTATATATACGATCCAAAACATAGAAACAACCCAAATTACTATCAACAGGTGAATGGATAAACAAATTGTTGCTACTCATGCAATGAAATATTTCGCAACAAAAAGAAAAAATTACCCATACAACAAAGTAATTATATACTGAAAGAAGCCAGACAAAAAGAAATAACATATACTCCTAAATTTTTAGAAATATGAATTGGTGTATGATGACAGCAAATTTGTAGTGATGTTCTGGGGATCAATATGGTTACAGGACACAGGAAACTGGTGGAAACAATTATGCTGGCTTCGTGCTTAAATACATACAGTAAAACTCATTAAACTGTATACTTGAAATATGTACAATTTATCATGTCACTTCAGTAAGTCTGTTTTTTAGCCAGGTGTGGTAGTACACACCTATAATCCCAGCACTCAGGAGACTGAGGCAGGAGGATTACTGAGAGTTCAGGCCAGCCTAGGCTACATAGTGAGTTCAAGGCTAGTCTGAACTACTTAATGAGACCATGTCTCAAAAACAAAAAAGAAACCCGTTTTTTAAAAAAGTTTTGCCAGAGTCCGGGGATATCACTCAGCAGTACCTACCTGGCAAGCACAAGGTCCTGAGTTCAATTCCTAGTACCAAAAAAAGTTTTGCCATATGTAGTGATGTAATCCCAGAAGTCTAGAGGCTGAGGCAGGAGCATTGCTGCAAATTTGAGACCAGCCTGGGCTACATTATGAGTTTAAGGCCAGTTAAATAGGCCCTCTCTAAACAAAACAAAAACAAAAACCTTAACACCCAACAATTTCAGTTTCATTTTGTTTCTAAACTAGGGAAGGATTCAGTTATGTAAAGGATACATTTACATGATTTTCACTGGTAGCACTGTTTATAATTGTAAAGGTTAAAAACAAACTAAATGTCCATCAGCAGGAGAATGGACAAATTAAGGTATATCCATATGCATACATTCAGAAAATTGCTAAAAAATAAAATATAATGTTGAAAAAATTCAAGTTGCAGAAAAATTGTACATATCATGGTTATAATGTTTCAAAACTTGAAAAACAGTTCCATGTACTTACAGATATATTCATGGACAGAAAGGATGTGAAGAAATGTACAGGAATTGGAGGACAGTGTCCCAAGGCCCAGTACTCTGTTTCTTAGATTCCATGTTCATTGTGTTATTATGTCATTCGTCATATCTAGATGTTTTATGTGAATTTGAGAAATAAAATAAATGCTTCTGAGTCCTCCAAAACCCTGTCTGCTGTTTTGTCATCATAAGATTTTTATTTTCTGTTTTTTAACAGCTAATAGAGAAGCTGATGTACTATTTGAAGTATTGTTTGATGAAGAATTTCCTGGAGGATTAACAATAAGGTTTGTATTTCCAGATTGCACTTTGTGAATATGCTTATGTGACTTCTGATTTTACATTACTTAATTTATAATATATATGCAGTATTGTCACGCTTTCTACTATGGACATATCAGTAAGACAGACATGCTTTCTGTCTTGTTTGAGCTTTCACTTTAGAGAAGTAAATTAAGCAACTGATTATACTATTAATTGTTTAATTACAATGTAAGAAGTGCATGGAAGGAGAAATGAAGAATAGTTAACTAGAAAAAAGGAAAACATAGTGAAGAATGCTTAGACAACAAAGTAGCATATGCAACACAGGACACTTATAATTAATTAATAGAAAAGTCCTTTAAATTCAGTGACATGTAAGGCTGTATCACCCACTTTTAGTGGGATTATGGGTGCTTAAGCCAGATTTGGTGAATGGCAGGTGTAGTAATGGGGACAGGAAATTGAGAAGACACGTGATAAGTCTGGCTATGAAAAGGAACAAATTAATAAATTAATTGGGGTTTAGCAAGCTTAAGAAACTAGAGTTCAGGGGCTGGGGATTTAGCTCAGCGATGTAAGTACCTGTCTTGCAAGCAGGCAGTCATGAGTTCAATCCCCATTACCAATTTTAAAAAAAGAGAGAGAGACTAGAGTTCAATTGTTTTTCATTTAATATTGGTGAGACTTGAGTTCATTTGGAAGGGCTCTAATACAAAGTTACACGAACAAAGATTATGAGAGAATGAGGACAGCATTGTGTATTAGAAGAAGTGAACTCTCTCACACACTTTGTGTTAGACTGCTTAATTAAAAGCATCTGACCCCAGTATCCTCTTCTGTAATTAATTAGTATATTTTGGCAGATTAATTTCTTTTTGACCCTGATAGAACTTTCTGCTCTTAGATGCTCACCTGGAAAAGGTTATCGATTGCCAACAAGTGCCTTGGTAAACCTTTCTCATGGAAGTCGCTCTGAAACTGGAAATCAAAAGTTGACAGCAATTGTGAAACCACAGCCAGCTGTGAATCAATATAGCTCAAATTCATCAGTTTCTCCTGGGCATCTGGGAGGCCTCAACCATTCCCCTCAATCACTTTTTGTTCCTACTCAAGTAAGTCTCTCAGTATTGTGAGTGTGTGTGTGTGTGTGTGTTAGTAGTGATCAACCCAGAGTGTGTGTGTGTGTGTGTGTGTGTGTGTGTGTGTGTGTGTGTGTGTGTGTGTTAGTAGTGATCAGCCCAGACACCTACCATGCTAGGCAGGTGTTCTACCGTGGAACCTCATCCTCAAAAGTCTTTAATTTCTCTCTCTTAACCTTTTTTTTTTTTTTTTTTTTTTTGACGTGGCGACTCATTTTATAACTCATGCTGTCCTCAAACTTGCTATGTACTCCAGGCTGTCTTTTCAACTTGTGATCTTCCTATCTCAATCTCCCAGAGTCCTCAGATTGCAGGTCTGTCCTACCTCACCCAGCTCTCTGCATTTTCTTTACAAATTGCAAATCATCGCAAGCTTTCTAAGTACAAACCTAATTTAACTTCATTGTTTGGATTCAAATCAATTTCAGATTTGTTTTAAGGTAACAGGCTAATTAGCATGGTTGTACAGGTAATCTTGTAATCTCAGCACTCTGGAAGGCTAAGGCAGAGGATCACAAATTGGACCCTAGCCTGAGCAATTTAATCACTCAGCAAGACTCTCAAAACTAAAAATTTTTAAAGGGACTGGGGATATAGCTCAGTGGCACGTAAAGGTAGTGGATTAAATTCCCAGTATACACTCTCAAGATAATAGTCTAGTAAAAATGCTACAGGAAGTGTTCTATCTCTGTTATAAAATTAGTATATACATTTATTTAAGTAGTAAGCTTGAGATAGTTGTCCATGTTTTCTCTTTATATATTGCTTTTCAAATTAATATTTAAAATATATAATCCAAGCATTCCAAACTTTCTGGTATACATTATATAATTCATTTTATTAAATTCATTTTTGTTAGTATCTATTTGCAGTAAATAATTGTGGCATTCGTTGGCGGGGAGTTGGTACATGTGTATAACACATTTAATTCTTTTTATACTGAGGCAGCAGGATTGTGGAGTTTGAGGCCAGTCTGGGCTACATGACAAGACCTTGCCTCAAAAAGCAATAACAAAAAAATCTGTTTATGTCCCCTTCACCTTCTTTTCTTTCTTTTCTTTCTTTTTTTTTTTTTTTTTTTTAAGACAGGATTTCTTTATGCAGTTCAGGCTGGCCTTAAATTCACTTTGTAGCCCAGGCTGGCCGCAAACTCACAATGATTCTCAGCTTTCATAGGTGCAGGGATTACAGGTACGCACTACCACACGTAGCCCTTCCTCCATTTAGAAATGATGTAAATTTGAAAGGTAAATGAAATATGACTATATTATATATATCAAAAATTCCCATTATATAATTCATGGGTGGTTTTCTCCATCTTTCTGGGCATAAAAATTGAGTTAGATTTTTGGGACACTTCTTTTAATTCCATGGCCCCAAATCTTAGGTTTAACCACATTTTTAAACTTTTACAATACATACTTATTATCGACTATTTGAAAAACACCCATAATTAGATGATGATAAAGGAAACACAAGCAGAGTATCCTCTTAGATAGCATACATAATCACTGTTAAATTTTATTGTGTTTTTCCAGAGTCTTAATGTGTATTGTCAATTTCTTGTAATAGCTGATTTTTAAATTTATTAGATTACTTCTGTAAAGATAAAGCTTTCCAGCAACTACTTTGAAGATAATAATGTACAATATATTAACCATTATTAATATATTTTGTTTTGAAATTCTCTATAGTTTTTATTTTCTTCATTCTAAAATAAAATTTTAAAGCATAAAGATTTTTAAAATAGAATCTTTAGATGTTAGTTTGAATGACATATTAATATAGTGTATATTAGAAGAAAAGTCTGTTGGTGAGGATAATTACTGAATATAATTTTTATACTTTTTGCTGTGCTTTAACTTTTTTTTTTTTTTTTTTTTTTTTTTGTCTTTTTCGTTTTTATCGGTACCAGGGATCGAACTCACAACTGCCTGCTTGCAAGGCAGGCGCTTATGCCGCTGAGCTAAATCCCCAGCCCCTTGTGCTTTAACTTTCAATAAAACCATTTGCATTGGGGCTGGGGATTTAGCTCAGCTGCATAAGCGCCTGCCTTGCACGCAGGCAGTCGTGAGTTCAATTCCCGGTACCGATAAACAGGAAAAAGACAAAAAAAAAAAAAACCATTTGCATTCAAAGACAAATTTATTTTCAATAGAGAATACTTTTGTAATTTCTATGCTGAACTCTTAAAAGAGTGAACTGAGGGATTTTAAATAATGAAAGTTTAGGCCAGATATGGTGGTATGCACTTTTTAATACCAACGTTCAGAAGGCTGAGGCAGTAGGATCACTGCAAGTTCAAGGCCAGCCTAAACTGTGTAGTGAAACCCTCTCTCAAAAAAGACCAAAAAAAAGAGAGTTAGTTTACTATCTTGTCTACCACTGAGTAACTTTAATCAATAATTGTTTTATTTTCTATAGGAATATTTTCTTCTGTTTAATTTCCTTAAAAAATTGTTTGTGCCGGGCTGGAGATTTATCTCAGCGGCATAAGCACCTGCCTTGCAAGTGTGTGGTCGTGAGTTCAATCCCCAGTACTGACAAAAAAAGAAAAAGAAAAAAAAAAAAATGAAAGAAATTGTTTGTGCTCTGCTAGGTATCCACTAAAGCTGATGACGAATTTTGCAACATTTGGCAGTCCTTACAAGGGTCCAGAAAAATTCAACACTTTCAGCCAACTCTACAAGAGAAGGTTAGTATTCTAATAGTTCCAAGAAAAAAATTTTTTTGTTTTTCCTTATGTCTACAATGATTAATTTCCCTTTAAAATCTCATCAAATCGTAAATGAGAGTTTTGGTTACGAATTTTCATAACTCTGATATAGTTAATAGTTTCAAGATCTGTGTGAGTAAGAGTATTTTTCTGGGGCTGGGGATTTAGCTCAGCGGCATAAGCACCTGCCTTGCAAGCAGGCGGTCGTGAGTTCGATCCCCGGTACCGATAAAAAAAAGGAAAGAGACTAAAAAAAAAAAAAAAAAAAAGTGTTTTTCTTTTAAATCAGTTTTAGATTGTTTTTAATTGCTTACAAAATCTTAACTGTATTTTAAGCTCAACAAAGGTCTTAATAGCATTTATTAACTATTTTTTTCTACTTGAGTATATAATCTAATCCTGACAGTTGATTTTCTTAAATATGAATGAGCAAATTTATATTCCTTTGTAAAAATAAAGGAAAGGAAAGAAGAATACGAATGTAAGACTTTGGAAAAAACTTGCTTGGCATGCCTGAGACCCTGGGTTCCACTCCCAGCATGATAAAACAACAAAAGGAAAGAAATGCTGCTAAAAGAGTAGAAACTCAGGCAATAAATGGAAAGGAAAATGAATGAATTCCACTAAATGTTTTGTGAATTGCTGATCTGCTAGGTTAATTTAGGTGAAAACGTAATAATGTATGTAGAAAACAACAGCCCGAAACATTACAGCTTTGTCTACTTTCGTGTTCTGGATAATAGTGACATTGTCAGAGCTGGAAAGCAGGAAATTCCCAAGGAAGTGATGGTAAAATGAACATAAAAGTGACTGTGCATCTGGGGCTTAGCTCAGTGAAAGACCATTTTCCAGTATTCAGGTAGCCCTGAGTTAATTCTAGAACAAAAAATAGTAAAAAGTAAGAGTTGACCACAGAATTTAGTAAGATCATTGGGAACCTTGAGAACACCAGTTTTAGTAAAGTGATGGGAGTAACAGACTGATTAGAATGGGATTAAAAGACAGAGAAAAATTGGACACAGAAAATCTAAACAGTTCTTTCCAGGAGTTTTACTAAAAGGGAACATTAGCAGGCTGGACATGGCACGTGACATATGCCTATAGTTCCAGTTTTCCCAGCCATTCAGGAGGCTGAAATAGAAAGATATTTTAGCCCAAGAGTTCAGGGTCATCCAAGGGGATATAACAAGACCTAGTCTTAAAATCAGTGAATAAATAAAAGGGAAAAAAAATGAATGGCGACAATACTCTGTCTTTTCTTGCATATGCCAATTTATGGTCAACTTCTTTATTCCTATTTTCCCAGCCTTCACTAGGAATTATTCCTCCCCAGACTCAGCAAGAATTTTCTTTTCCCTTTTACCTAATTATTTAAATAATGACTTTGACTCTTATTTCTCTGCTAAGTATCACTACAATTTATGGTTTCAACATCTCAATCAGGCTTTATCTAATTATCCCTAATCTATATCCCTGGTTATAAACTCAATCCAGTATTTTCAGCTTTTAAGAGAACTAGTACAGCTGGATACTCTGTTATCACCTCATCCTCAAGATGCCCCCAAATTGACCTCACCTAAAGCCTCTTTTAGTTTCTAACACCACCATGACCCAGGTATATAATCTAAAAACTTTAGAGTCAAACATTTTTTTCTTTCACCTGTTTTTGGCCATATGCCATATCAGACAAGATATCTTCTAGATTTGAACTCAGTTTATGCTCTGAAATAGTGTCAGTGTGGCAAGTGTGTTGCTGGGCTCAGAATCAGGAGACAGAGTTTCTTGACTCAAATTGAGCAAATCTCTTTCCCTGGGCCACTGTGGTCACAAGTAAAATGAAGACATTTGGACTTACATTACTGCTCAGGTAGTAGATGGTAGCATAGCCTATTCAGCCCAAATTGGTCTCTTCCCTATGCCATTGGTAATTTCTCATTCTTCAATTAGAATAACCTTTCTTCTCTCCTAGTGAAATCCCCCTAGGTCTCAATCAAGATCTGTGAGTTTCTTAAAAACCCTTACTAATAGTTTTTCATCATCTTCTTGAAGACCATTATGTAAAATAACAACCCTAATTATGCTCCTACCACCTTGTTTTGAAGGCCTATATTGTCATTGTTCAGGGCTCTTTGTTACTGTTATTTATTTGTCTTTTTCGTTTCGTGTTTTTCTAGTAATTTGTTTTATTTTTCCGTCTAATACAGAAAGGATAGGTATATATGTAGAGACTTATACAAGGGTAGAACTTCCCCTAAACAATTTATGAGAATCAATTATATAATGCATGTTGAAATGAAAAGCTGCTTTGAAGGAAAAGAGACATTATGTTCTCCATCTTTGATTCCATATCATCATGCTGTGAAATCCAGTAATGCCATTATTCTTTGTTTAGAATGATTTTAGTCTATTTTGTACTGTTTCATTTCCACATACATGAAGGTATAGACAGCTATTTTGAAGAGAATGAGAGATATCGTAGCAGCCATTGTTGATTTTCTTATCGTCTGGTTTTGAAGGCCTATAATGCCTTCATCACTCTGTTCTGATCAGTTTAATACTATTTTGTTGGGGCTGGGGATTTAGCTCAGCGGCATAAGCACCTGCCTTGTAAAGCAGGCAGTCAAGAGTTCGATCCCGGTACCGATAAAAAGTAAAAAGACAAAAAAAAAAAAAATACTATTTTGCTTTGTATGAATTCATTGTGTGTGAAGATAGGGACTATTTAGAAGAAAACAAGGGACATTATGGTAGCCAATGATGATCTGTTGTCTTACTTGAGATCTGTGTCATTTATATTGTTTTCTTCTGATCGGCTTTGTTCTATTTAGTTTACCCTCTTTAAAATAAATTTTTTTAAAAATTACATAATTGGTTACACACATTGAGTCATATATTGAGAGGCAGGCTAATCTTACACAGATTTGTTGAAACAAAGGAATTATTTATTATAATATAGAAACATTCCAGGAATAAAGGGAGGGGCCACTGTATAAAAATGCCACATCTTTTTTGTCCATTCCTCAGTTGATGGACATTTAGGTTGTTTCCAAGATCTAGCTATTACAAATTGTGCTGTTATAAACATGGGTGCACATATATCACTGCGATATGATGTTTTCATTTCTTGTAGGAATATGCCCAGAAGTGGAATAGCTGGGTCAAATGGGACTTCCCATCCCAGCTTTTTGAGGAACCCCCAGAATGATCTCCACAGTGGTTGCACCAGGCTGCACTCCCATCAACAGTGCAGGAGAGTTCCTTTTTCCCCACAGCCTCTCCGGCATTTGTTGTTGGTAGTTTTCTTTATCTTGGCCATTCTTTCTGGAGTGAGATGGCATCTCAGTGTGGTTTTAGTTTGCATTTCTCTAATGACTAATGATGCTGAACATTTTTTCATGTACTTATTTACCATTTGTGTTTCTTCATTAAGAACTGTGCATTCATTTCGATGCCCATTTTTGGATTGGGTCTTTGAATTTTGGGAGCCTGGGTTTTTTAAATTCTTTATATGTTCTAGATAGAAGCCCTTTGTCTGAAGGACAGTTGACTTAAGTTTTTTTCAAAATTCATGGGTTTCCTTTTTACTCTGTTGGAGATTTCTTTTGACATGCAAAACTTTTTAATAAGATGAGATCCCACTCATTGATTCTGTGAAGTGTTTCCCATGCACTTTGATTTTTTTTTTTTTTTTTTTTTTTTTTTGGCTTTTTGAGACAGGGTCTCTAGTTCAGGCTGGCCTTGAACTTACTTTGTAGCCCAGGCTGGTCTCGAACTTGCAATGATCCTCCTGCCTCAGCCTTCTGAGTGCTGGGATAGTAGGCGTGAGCCACCACGCCCTGCTGTCCTTTGATTTTTGTTCCAGAATTTTCTAGCGACCCCTATGTCTTCAAAATTTCTACCTACTTTGACTTCCAACAGATTTAGTATTTCTGTTTTAATATTTAGATCTTTGATCCATTTTGACTTTAGTACACGGTGATAGGCATGGGTCTCTTTTTAGTTTTTGGCATAGGGAGAGCCAGTTTTTCTAGCACCACTTATTAAAGAGACTGTCTTTATTCCAGTGAACATGTTTATCCCCTTTGTCTATGATAAGGTGGCTGAGGGTGTTTGTAGTTGTAGTTATATCTTCTAATCTATTCCGTTAATCTTCAGGTATGTTTTTATTCCAAGGTACCATACTGATTTTATTACAGTAGCTTTATAGTGATTATAGTAACTTTGTAGTATAACTACAAAGTCAGAAATTGTGATACCTCCTGCCTTGCCTTTGTTGCTTAAACTTGCCTTTGCTATTCTAGGTCTCTTCTGGTTCCAGATGAATTTTAGGAGTGATTTCTCTAGATCTGTGAGGTACTCTAGTGGTATTTTGATTGGGATTGCATTAAATCTGTATAACAGTTTTGGGAGAATAGCCATTTTCACAATATTTGTTCTTCCTATCCATGAGCAAGGGATGTCTTTCCATTTTCTGAGGTCCTCTTCGATTTCTTTTTTTTTTTTTTGGGAGGAGGGGTATTATAATTTTCACTGAATAGATCTTTTACTTCTTTTGTTAGAGTGATTTTTTTGGATGTTATTGTGAATGGTGTGGCTTTTCTTATTTCTTTCTCAGTGATTTGGTTGTTAGTGTATAGGAATGTGATTGATTTTTGAGCATTGACTTCATATCCAACTATATTACTGAATTTATTTATTATACTAGGAGTCTTTCAATGGAGTTGGGGGGGGGGTCTTCTATGTAGAGTATCATGTCATCTGCAAATAATGATAATTTAACTTCTTTTCCTATCCTTACTCCTTTTATTTCTCTGTTGTCTAATTCCTCTGGCTAATATTTCCAGCTCTGTATTGAATAGGAGTGGTGATAATAGACATCCTTGTCTTGTGCCTGATTTTAGGGTAAAAGCTTTGAGTTTTTGGCTGTTTAATATGATGCTGGCTTTTGGTTTGTCATAGATGGCTTTTAGCATATTGAGGTAAAGACCATCTATTCCAATTTTCTGTAAGGTTCTTATCATAAATAATCACTTGCTTTGTACTTCCCACTTCTAAATGCTGTATAAACTAAACTCTTTGTAAACTCAGGGCTGTTGCCTTTGGGAATGATCCCAGAATAGTCCACTGGTGTAAAGACTGAATGCTGCCTTCTTATCTCCTCATTGCAAAGAGTCTTCCTTTTAGTTTGATTTGGGAATTTTTCCACAACAGGAGCTTTCAAGAAGTACAGTCAGAAATGTTTTTCAAGATTTTTTTAATGGAAAAAAATTAAACATAAGTCAAAAGAATAGTTTGCGAGGACGTACTGGTTCACCTACCCCAGTTTACTCATGTCCAGCCCTATTTCTTCTATAATTCCTACTCACTTGGTGCCCCCCCACCCTGAAGGCAGGATTATAGTATTTTAATGCATGTCTAAAGAAGCCAATGGTAGTGATGCACACCTGTAATCCCAGCACTTGGGCTGAGGCAAGAGGGTTGCTGCAAATTAAAGGCCAATGTGGGCTCTATAGAGCATTCATGGCAAGTCTGAAATACATAGCAAAACTTTGTCTCAAATAAAACTGTCTAAAGAGACCTGTAGAGACTGATTTTTTCTGCTTTAAAAAAACATTACCTAAAATTTAGGATATTTTTGAGTTTTTTTTTTTCCCCCTGCGTTTATTAACTTTAAGCTAATTTCTTCTATTGGAAGAAAATTTTGGAAAATTATTGTTTTCCACTTATCTGCTATCAAACTAATACATAGAAAAATGTGTGATGGTCATTAATGATTGTTATTTCTGATGGTGGATCAGAAATTATTTTGGGAAAATTATTCTTTTCCATTAATCTGCTGTCAAACTAATACATAGAAAAATGGTGGTCATTAATGATTGTTATTTCTGATGGTGGATCTGGGATAGTTTTATTAATTGTGTACATTTTTCTGTATTACTTGTTTTCCAAATGTATATAGTTTTTATTTTAAAAGAAACTATTAAAAGTTAAACAAAGTAAATAGCTATAATGTTAAAAACTTTACCTGATTTGTAAGAACTTTAACTTGCAGTGTGCAGTTCTACCTCAAGAAATAAGTCAAGTAACTCAACAGCAGAAATCTGGCTTTAATGACAACAGCGTGAAGTATCAGCAAAAAAGACATGACCCTCACAGAAAATGTAAGTTTGTTTTCTTTTTGTTATTGTTGTTGTTTGTTTGAGGAGTTGTTTTTTTTTTAGTTTTCAGGTTTTTTGTAGGATTTGGAGGGGGGGTGGTTTTTGAGACAGTCTCACTATATACTTCCAGCTGACCTTAAACTCAGCATGTAGCTGAGGCTGTCCTGGAATTCCCAAGATCCTCCTGCCTCCCCACCACCTCCAGCTCACCCCACCCTTGTGCTGGAACTCCAGGTGTAGACTACCACACCCAGCAAGTATAAATTTTAAATTAGAGAGGTATACTTGATACTACTTTGTATAAAAAAACAGTAAATACATTTATTGAGATAAATTACATACCAGCAAAAGTAAATTCATCTGTTAAAGTATACAATCAAAGCTGGGCAAGGTGGCTCACATCTGTAATCCTGCCACTCAGGAAGCTGAGGCTGGAGACTCACCTGGAGTTCAATGTCAATTTGGACTACGCAGTATATTCAAGATCAACCTGAACAGTATAGAGTGAGACCCTGTCTCTGTGTAACTCTGTTGTTGTTGTTGTTGTTTGGTACTAATAATTGAAATCAGAACCTTGTGCTTACCAGGCAGGTGCTCTGCTGCTGAGCTATATCCCTGGCCCAAGACCCTATCTCAAAAAAAAAAAAAGTGTATGATCAGTGTGCTTTTGGCACTTTCATAAAGTGTGCATAAAGCATTTTCACTTTCAGAAAAGAAATCCCTACTCATTATCATCATTCTTCTGGGCCCTAGGAATCCCTAATTTTTGTTCTGTCTCTATGTATTCATCTATTCTGGACATTTCATATAAATAGAATCAGAAACCATCTGACCTTTTGTGCCTGCCTTCCTTCATATCACATGGTATTTTTAAGGTTTATTCATGTAACAGCATGTATACTAAGAACTTCATTCTTTTTTATGCTAAATAATATTTCATTGTAGGAAATACCACATTTTGTTTATCCATCACTACAAAGAATAGTGCTGCTATGAATATCTGTACAACTTTTTGTGACTGTGTATTTGCAGTTCTCTTGAATATATATTTATCAGTACAGTTGTGAGTCATGTAGTATCTGTGTGTTTAACTTTTTATGAAATTACTAGATCATTTCCCCAAATAGCTGCACTATCCTAGCACCATGTGAGAAAAGGGCCCAGCCTGGTTTTGCCACACCCTCCATAGCACTTTGGATTATCTGTTTGTATGATGATCAGAGGCTCATAGGTGCAGAATAGAATCTCCTGTGACTTTCATTTGCAATTCATTAATGACAAAGAATGTTTGAGCAGATTTTCAAGTGTTCATTGGCTTCTATTTATCTTTCGAGAAATGTATTCAAATTGTTGGTTCTTTTTTTTTTATTGTACTGGTTGTCTTTTTGTTCTTAATTTGTAAGAGTTCTTTATATATTCTAGAAGTTGTATGCTTATGATTTGCAAATACTTTCTTCCGTTATGTGAGTTTTTAACTTTATGGTATTCATAAGCACAAAAGTTTTATTTTTTATTTTTTATTTTTTTACCAGTACCAGGGATTGAACTCACGACCACATGCTTACAAGGCAGGCACTTATGCCGCTAAGCTAAATCCCCAGCCCCCAAGCTTTTAATTTTTATGAAGCCAATGTATGAATTTTTTCAACTTTTTCTTTGGCTGCTTATACATTTGTCATATCTAAGAGTAATACAAAGTCATGAATAGTAAACATTTGTGTTTTCTTCTAAAGATTTTATAGCTTAGCCCTTACTAATAAGTGTTTATTGTGGCATTAGGTAAGAGTGTCCATTCTTTCATATTTGGAGATCCAGTTGTCATTTTGTCATTTGTTGAAATGACTATTCTTTCCCCTACTGAATTTGATTTGCTTGTAATTTTTAAGGATTTTTGTATCCATATTCATAAAGAACACGTGTAATTTTCTTAGTATGATCCCTTTCCATCTATGTTTGGGAAGAAGTGATTTTGTTTCCTCTATAAATGTTTGATAGAATTCACCTGTGAAACTATTTGAACCTAGACATCACTTCTCCTTATGGAAAGTTTTTGGTGTTTTTTGTTTTTTAAACCAACATGTATTTAATTGTACTGATTAATGGGGTTCATTGTGTCTTCATACATGCATACAGCACAGATCAAACACAGCCTCCATTAATCTACCCCCTCCCACACATGCAGCCTACCCAGCCTCTTTATGAAAAGTATTTATATTTACTAATTCAGTGTCTTTTGCTTGTTACAGTTCTACTCAGACTGTCTGTTTGCACATGAGTTCATTTAAATAGTTTGTATCTTTGTACAGGTTTCTCTGTTTCATCTAGGTTATCTAAGTTGTTAGCAGGTGCTGGGGATTTAGCTCAGCGGCATAAGCACCTGCCTTGCAAGCAGGCAGTGGTGAGTTCGATCCCCGGTACTGATAAAAAGGAAAAAAGACAAAAAATAAAAAAAGTTGTTAGCATATAACATCCATAATACTTCCTTGTAGTCTTTTTTTTTATTTCTCTAAGGTTGATAGTAATATCCCCACTTTCACTTCTAATTATTTATAACTTCTGTGTTTTTCTTTGTTAGTCTAGCTAAAGATTTGTCAGTTTTCTTAGTTTTATAAGACCATGTTCTAGCCAGATGTGGTGGCACATACCTGCAGGCATAGCTATGTGGGAGACTGAGAGATGAATCACTTGAGCCCAGAAGTTGAAGGCCTGCCAGGGTATCACAGCAAAACCCCATAAAAAATCTGATTTCATTAATTTTCTCAATTGTTTTTCTGCCACTTCATTTATTTCGACTCTAATCTTTAGTTTTCTTCTTTCTGGTTTTTTTTTTTTTTCCACCATTACTATCACACAAGACTTCCTTCTGTTTTGTTTGTTTGTGTTTTTGTTTATTTTTTGGTAGCAGGGATGAAACACAACATTATGCTTGCTAGACAGGCGCTTGTTGCCGCTGAGCTAAATCCCTGGCCTTTCCTTCCTTCTTCCTTTGGATTTAGCATACACTTCTTTGGGGTTTTTTTAGCCAAAACTTGAACTCAGGATGTTGTACTTGCCAGCCAGGTGCTTTGCCACTGAGGTACATCCCTGCCCCATGTAAGCATCTGTTAGTTCCTTAATGTAGACGATTAGGTTATTATTTGAATGCTTTCTTCTTTCCTTTCTTTTCTTTTTTCTTTCTTTCTTTCTTTTTTTTTTTTTTTTTTTTTTGGTACATTTTAGATATACATGTTGATACCATTCATCTTAGGGAATTTGTACCAAGTGTACATGATGCCTCTTGCTTCTATTTTGTTTTCCTGTTCCCTTTCACTCCCTTCAACCTTTTCTCTTCTGGTTTCTTAATATAGGCATTTACAGCTGTAAATTTCCCTCAAAGTATAGCATTAACTGTTGTATTTGCGTGCTTGCTTGCTTTTTTTGTTTTTGTTTTTTGCTTTGTTTAGTTGTTTTTTTGTTTTTTTGGTTTTTTTTTTTGTTTTGTTTTGTTTTTGTTTTTTTTTTTTTTTTTTTTTTTTTTTTTTTTGAGATAGAATCTCACTACGTTGTTAGGGTGACTTTGAACTCACTATTTAGCCCAGGCTGGCCTTACTCTTGTAGCAATTTATTTGCCTCGACCTCCCAAGTGCAGAGATTGCAGTTGTATGTCACCATACCTGGCAGTTATGTTGTATTTTTACCCTACTCAAAGTTTTTCTAATTTTCTAGCAATTTATGTATTTTTGACCCATCGTTTGTTTAGTTGTGTTGTGTTGTTTTGTTTTGTTTGTAACAGGATCTCACTGTCCTTGGACTGTTACATAGCCCAGGCCCATGCTTTATTTAAGAATGTGTTTCAATTTCCAGCTATTTTTGAACTCCTAAACTTTCTTCTGTTACTTATTCTATTCATTCTCTTGTGGTCTGAAAACATACTTTGTATGAAAACATACTTTCTATGTCGTTTAGGGTAGCCTTTGACGCATGTGGTGCTCCTACCTCAGCGTCCCAAGTGCTGGGATTACAGTTGTGCACCACGACCCCTGGTTGATTTCAGTATTTTTAACTTTATTGAGTTTTGTTTTATGGCCTCATATATGGTCTACAGAATGTTCCATGTATACTTGAGAAGAATATATATTGTAAGCAAAGTGTTCTATAGACCATCCGTTAGACACATTGGTTTATAATGTTGTTCAAGTTTTCTTTAGTCTTGTTGATTTTCTGTTCAGTTATCCTATCCATTACTGAAAGTACAATATTAAAGGCTCCCAAGTGTTAGTATTGAATTTTTTTTTCCCTTCAATTTTTTTTCAGTTTTTCTTTTGGTATTTGGAAGTCTTTGGTTAGGTACATGCATGATTTTAAGAGACATTTTTACCTGAAATAGCTGGTATAAAAGTTTCTTTAGTAACAATTTTTATCTTAAAGTCTTGTGTTTGTTTTTATTTTTGAAACAGAGTCTTGCTGTACAGTCCAGGTTGGCCTCAAAGTCTCAGTGATCCTCCTGCCATAGTCTCCTAAGTGCATATTGTTAAATAGCAATAGTTCTTTGGGAATAATGCTTAGAAAAAGCCCCAGTTTCATTCTGATTGCTCTGATAGATGCCAGCTTTAACCCGCTGGTCTCACCCTGAAAGCTTATAGAAGATAAATAGTGAAGCCAGGCTTGGTGGCTCATGCTTGTAATCCCAGCACTCAGGAGGCTGACGGAGGATCCGAGACTAGCCTGGGCTACAAAGTGAACACAAGGCCAGCCTGAACTGATAACGAGACCCTGTCTCAAAAAGACAAAAAACAAACAAAAAAAGAAGATAAATAGTGGATAATGGGACAAGTAAAAACACCACAAAACGTTCTTACTGAGATGCAATCTGTTTTCTTAAATACATACTCCTCTGTATTGCTATAAGCCTTTGATTGACTTCTGTAGTTTTAAATGTTTGGATTTTGGTAAGATATGCCTATTTCTTTATTGCTTTTATGGAGTGAAGAGATTTTGGAGGTCTTTATTCTGACCTTTTTGCTAATGTCCCTTCACTAATTGCTACTTGAGACAATTTTTTCTTTTTCACTGGTCCTGGGCTAAACCAGGGTTTAGCACATTTTAGGCAACCAATCTACCACTGAGCTACATCCCCAGACTACTCTTGATAATTTTTAAAATTTATTTATTTATTCAATCATTTTGCCAGACTGGAGATCAAATCCAGGGCCTCTGCACTGAAATGCATCTCTTGCCCGCTTTATTTTGACACAAGGTCTAACTTACCCAGTCTTACTAAAACAAAATTGGTAGTTCTCCTTCTTCACCCTTACCCTCACCCTTCCAAGTAGTTGGGGTTCTAAGTGTGCTCCACTATTCCTGACTTCTTTTACTTTTAACCTTATAAATTAATGTCCCTCTAAATCTGATAAGTATAGCTTTAAGATTTTTTTTTTAAATGTGGTTTCACTCAGCACAGAATGTCAAATTACAGGGTGTATTACTTTCTCATCACTGAGACAAAATCCCTGACACTCTCAATTTAAAGAAGGAAAGATTTATTTTGGCTCATAGAGTATAGATCTCACAGTTTATAGTCAGCTGACTTGAAGGCAGAGGAGAACAGCTCATGGCATGGCAGAGGGAAGCAGAGAGCAGTGGAGGAGACAGGGCAAGATAGACCCAAGTACCCCGTGACCATTCTCTCCCAACCCAATCTCCCTTCCAGCAGCAAGTCAGGTAGAAGCCCTCACCATCCAGTCACCTTACAAAAACTCCACCTATGAGTGGATGAGGCTTTAGGGGACATCTAGCAATAAACCGTAACAGTGGACTCCAGTCATCCTCCCACTTCAGCCCCCCAGGTACTGGAATTTTGGGCATGCATGCCACCATACTGGGCTGAAGATTTATATTTAGTTCAAATGCACTGATATTTCTTCAAACTATTGTTCATATAAATGTAAGTAATCTTAGTTACAATTAATAACAATCAATGAAGTTACAATTAGTTTTCTTGTGTTTGTGTTTCTCAACAAAAATTTAGTGTTGAGTATTTGCTAGCTCACACTTTTCCTTTCTTTCCTCTACTGGTGTTGAAGGTTGAACCCAAGGTCTTACACACGTTAGTTCTATCCCCAGTTTGTTCCGTTTTGGGATGGGTCTTGCTAAATTTCCCAGGCTGACCTCAGACTTCCTTTCTTCCCACCTCAGCCATCTGTACTTGAGATCCCATACACTTCAGTATATCCATAATAACAAAATACTATACAATGATTACTATAAGGAACATGAGAGGCTGAGACCACCAGGCTTGTAAAGCCATATGTAAAGGCAACATGATGGGGAATGTATTATGTCTGTGTCTAGACAGACAGAGGGCAAAAGGGCTGTCTGTAGGGAACAAAAAGTGGACCCTTTTTATAGGGATTGAAAAAAGCAGGGCATGTGAGGCAGGAAGATTTTAATAAACATCTGCGTCAAAGTTTTCGGCTCTCTTACATTTCAGTGGGCAGGTCCTTGAACGGTCTGACATAAAACCTCAGGTGTTTACAGATGTCCCAACCTGCAAAGCTCCCATGTCCTATCTCTCCTTTCTTAGGATGTCTTGTCTGCAGATGACAGCCTGGGTGCCAAGCCATGTTCCTTGCTGAGAATAGCGCCTGTGCTGGCAGGAGGTTGGGGACTGGAAGAGTCAGGTCCAGTCCCAACCTTACAATTACAAACTGTTTTTCATGCTTCTTTTGTTTTGTGTATGTATGTTTTGGGGGATTTTTTTGGTTTGGTTTGGTTTGGTTTGGTTTGGTTTGGTTTGGCTTGAGACAGGGTCTCTCTGTGTTTTAGGGTAGCCTTGAACTCACTATGTAGCCCAGGCTGGCTTCCATTTGGAGTGTCTTGCTCAGCATCCCAAGTGCTAGGATTACAGGCGTGCACCAGGCTTTCATGCTTATCTATTTCATCTACACATCCTTTCACTTGCTAAGTCATAATTGCTTACATTTTCATTTCTTCTGTCATCTCACTAGTTTTCCTTTAACCGGAATATTAAATAGCTTCCTAATGTATCTCTTACCCTTTTATCTAATCACTATGCTGCCACTTGTTTGTTTGTTTGTTCTAACAATCTTGCCTCAGGCTCTTCAGTATTGGTATTATAGGCGTTGCCACCATGCCCAGCCTTGCTACTGCAAATTTAATAAAACACAGTTCTGGTCAGATAACTACCTGCTCAAAACCTTTTTGTAATTGCTTGCCTCTGACAATACTCTTGCCTAATTCCATACTCTTCTGTATCTTTCACAGTATGGCGCTGGCCTGTTTTCATTACTTCTTTTAGTTACCTTTATACTCATTAACCGTCAGTAAAAGTAGTCTATTTAGACTTACATAAACAAGGCCTTGCTTTCTGTTTTAATGCTTTTTCTCCTATAATTTCTTTAGCTTGGAATACTTAGCTTCTAATTCTGCCCTTCCATCCTTCCAGGTCCAATTCAGATATCACTTTCCTTTTCCTTTATTACTGACTACACAAGTATGTTTTCTCCTCCTCACCTAGATTATAAATTCCTTGAGAGCAGTAGTTATGTATTCTTTGAATTCTGTGTGTTTCTCACGTGCCCTACTATGGCAAATATTTGGTAAATCTAATTGTTGTGCAAAAGCACTTTGGTTCATCACAATTTCTGTTTTCTTGTTTTTAGTGAAAGAAGAATGTAAGAGTCCTAAAGCTGAGAGTCGGTCACAAAAGATGTCTAGTAAGCAGGTAAGCTTTCCTAAAATCAAATTTCTGGTTATCAAATTTTTATTTAGTTGGTGGCTCTGTTATCTGACTGAATTTTGCAGGCTTTACAAACAGATCTATAAGATGCATGGCAAAAAGCTTCATGAAGTACAGGCTGATAGTTATCGGCTAGAACTATCCAACCTGGAGTCCAGGATTTGGAATTAATGGGCACCTGAAATCCCAATTTTGCTATTTAATACCTGAGTGGACTTAAGCAGTTCTTCATCTCTCACATACTCAATTTCATCTTTAAAATGTAAATAAAAATATTGATCACTTATAGTATTCCTAAATACATAGACCCGTATACATATGTATAAAATATGTATTTTAAACAGAATTTATATTTCTGTTTACAATAATATTAAGTATAAAGAACAGTGGTGCATAGTTAACAGACTATATGCCAGTGATGGAGAACCTTTTAGAATTTCCAGGAATTCAGACACCCTCAGAGTGTGTGAGCCATAAGTTCACCAGCACTGCTATATACATTCTATGGAATTAGAGTGGTATGGGAGAAACTGAGGTCATTTACATTTATTTTATGTAATTTCTGATAAGGATTGTACTTTTATAATCAAGGAATTGGACATGCTGGGCATGGTGGTTCACGCTTGTAATCCCAGCACTGGGAGGCTGTGAGAGGAGGATCACTGTGAGTTCAGAACCAGCCCAGGCGTCATAGTGAGTTCAAGGTCAGCTACACCATATAATGAAATGCTGCCTCAAAAAAGACCAAAAAATAAGCAAAGAATTAGACATGTGTATCTGGATTAGATGCCTATTACACTGTGACACTTTTCCTTGTGCTACTGGGAAGTAAACCAAGGGCCTTTCACGCTTTTTAAATTTTTATTTTTAGCAGGCTCTTGCTACTAAGCTTGGTTTAACCTTGGAATCCTTCTACCTCAGCAGGGAGCTCAGACTGGCCTTGAATTCATAGCACTCTTCCTGACTCAGCCTCCCAACTGGTGGGATTAAAGGCATGTGCCACACGCCCAGCATATAATATGTTTTGGGGTTTTTTAAAAAAAGAGAATAAAACCAAATGAGACAAAATAGAGTCAATCAAAACAAGAATCAACATGGTACATGACTTAAAAACAAAGTACAAGGAGATCAACAATGGCTACCTTAATGTCTCTTGTTATCTTCAGAAAAATTACCCATATCATCAGGCATTATAAAATTGAACAAAACAGTACAGAACAAAACCAATAAAAACAAACATTAGAGACAGTATAGGACTTCAAAAGAAGATACTAGTCCAACCAGAATGGGTATCATAGTGTATCTTACTGTCTTCAAAGTAGTAGTATCAGACTTGATACTATCAAACAGAACAGAATAGAATAAAATCAGTCAAAACAGCCAGGCGTGGTGGCTCCCATCTGTGATCCTAGCACTTGGGAGGCTGAGGCAGAAGGATTGTTGAAAGTTCCAAGACCAGCCTAGGCTACAAAGTGAGCTCAAGGCCAGCCTGAACTGCACAGCGAGACCTTGTCTCAAAAAGACAAAAAAAAAAAAAAAAAAAAAAAAAAAAAAAAAAATCAGTTAAAACAAAACAGTGAAAGCAATACAGGGCTTCAAATCAAGCTAACAGGAAATAAAAAATGGTTACCATAATATATCCTGCTATCTTTGGAATAGCTCTCCATGCCATCAAATCTAATACAAGTAGACAGACTGAAACAGAATAAAACCAAACTAAACAGAACAATGAAAACAATATGAGTTTCAAATCATGACAATAGATTAACAATGGCCTTCCCTTTTTTAACAGTTGCTCTCCTTTCACTTTCACAGGATGTATTGTACATTAAGGAGGCAACCCGCTATTCACCTGAGTAATTCTGAACCTTTTTACCCCTGAGCATGATCTCAAGTTGTATCCATTTGCCTACAAGCACCTCAAGATTTTCTTTCTGTATAGCTGAGTACTTTCCATTATGTAAAAGTTTATGGCTTTCTAACCAACCTACAGCTGATGGGCAAGCTATCCTCACTTTTTTCTTGTTCCCTGTCACATAGAGAATTGTTTTCTCGTCTTTGACTTTCAGTCTATAAACCGCTTTCGGGTTAAATGTATTTATTATGTAAAACAGATTGATGGAAGCTATCTCCTGATCCACTTTGCCTGTGTTTCTTTTTATTGGTGAATTTAGGCCATCTATATTAGTAATGATGGCCAACCTTCTCTACCTCATCTTTGCCATGCTATTTTTCTGCCATTGATTGTCTACTTTTCTCCTTCATTCCACTGTCTGCCCCATTCAGTGAGCCCCCTCTGCCGCCATTCCTGAAACCATGGTCCTTTTTCTCTCTTTAGAATTTCCTTCAGTATTTTTTGTAGGGTTGGTTTGGTGATCATGAACTCCCCCCAGTTCCTCTTTGTCATATAAGCATCTTGTTTCTCCATTAATTTTGAAGGATAGTTTTTGCATGGTACATCAATCTGGGTTGGAGGTTATTTTCTTTTAGGACTTGGAATACATCACTTCAAGCTGTTCCTGATTTGAAGGTTTGTGTCGAGAAGTCTGTCGTGCTTCTGATGGATTTTCCTTTATAGGTGATGTTTCTTTTCTCTGGCAGCTTTTAATATTCTATTCTTGTGTTGAATTTCTGGGATCTTGATTATTATATGTCTGGGTGTAGATCTGTTTTGGTTATAGCTGGCTAGAGTTCTGTATGCCTCATTTATCTGAATATCATTTCATTTTCATATGCTTGGGAAGTTTTCTTTAATTATTTCTGTAAGTAGCCTTTGTATTTCATCTGTGTTTACCCCTGCTTCTTCACTCACATTTTTTATTCTTTTTCTTTTTTTATCGGTACCAGGGATCAAACTCACTACCACATACTTGCAAGGCAGGCACTTATGCCGCTCAGCTAAATCCTCAGCCCCTCATTTTTTATTCTTAAGTTATAGTTCCTCTTGTCATCTTCTAGCCTTTGTCTTGTTACTTCCTGGTTTCTTGTTAATTTTTAAGAGATCTTTCCTTTCGCAATCATAAGTTGCAAACTTGTCTTCACGGTTTGATAGTCTGTCTTTCCTGGTAATCTCTTTGAATCTGTTTCATTATTCTAAATGTTTTTTATATTCTTCATTGAAGGTTTCTCTCCTTTTTCTATGCTCCTGTATTCCTCCATCTGTGTCTTTAGAGGTGCTTAGCAATTCTTTTATTGTGTTTCTCATTTCTTCTTTTACCTGAGATAGTATTTCTGTTCTAAGTTCTTTTAGAGCCTCTTGAAGTTGTTTGTTTCAGTTACTGTTGCTTCAGAAACTTCAGGTGTACAACTCCCAATCTCTTCTGTGTTTACATCTCTTGGACCAGTGCTGTTTGGGTTGGAGGCAAAGACTGCCTTTTGCTTCTTCCTCTTGTTAATGTTCCTGATTTCTTCTGGACAAGTGGGTAGTGGAGTCCCCAGCACTTTCTGTGTGGTTATAATTTCACTGAAGCATGCGGTCTACGGATATCTGATGGTGACCATTGGGTGTGTTGTTGTAGGGCTTATCCATGGCTGGTGAAGTATAAGCAGGGGCGGGGAAGGCTGGCACCTCCCTCCCAAGCTGGTTGACCACAGGGAGCCCTCACCATGTTAGTATGCACATAGCAGGCATGGCTGGTTGGGGATAGCCTTAGGGAAACTTCAACAATGGCTGTTGGATTGTACACAGAGGCAGGACTCAGTCCAAGCAATTTTCACCAGTCTGTTCTAAGCTAGGAGTGGCTTAATGGAGCCGGCTGTAGTTCTGTCTCCAGGCTCATCCAGCCCGACTCCAAAGTGGCCCCTGGCCAATCACCCACTCACACAGGAGGACTGAGTCCCCCACACTCACCACCCACCAGTGCAATTCTCCAGTCCACTGCTCCCCTCTGCTACCGCATCTCCCTGGAGAGGGCTTCGGGCTTGCCAGCCACCAGCTTCACTTCACCAGCATTCCCAGGTTCCAACAGCACTTCTCGCGTGGTGGTTCTGGCTCCAGGTGAAAGTGCTGCCAGCTTCTGCCTTCTTCTGTTTAAGTTCTTTCTTTTTTTTTTAAATTCTCTCTGTGGGCTTCATTTCTCACTCTAGGTTCTTCCTGGGTCATAGGGACCCACTTCCTTCCTTCTCGTCTTCTCCAGAAAGCTGTATTCCAGTATTTGGACTGTTTCTCCGAGAGGCTGTTTACTCTTGTGCTTACTGTTCCACCATCTTGCTAGGATCCACTGTTTTGTATTGGTTTTTTTTTAAGTGATTTCTTGCTCTAGGGCAGTAACTCAACTGTGTGTAATCTCCAACTCTGTAAAACATTTTAAAAACTTTTTTTTTTTTTTTTTTGTCTTTTTCATTTTTATCGGTACCGGGGATTGAACTCATGACTGCCTGCTTGCCAGGCAGGCACTTATGCCTCTGAGCTAAATCCCCAGCCCCTAAAAAACTTTTTAAAGTCTTAGAATATATGACCTATAGCATAGTTATTGTAATCCCGTATAGTAAGTTCAGTCATCCAAGTATTGTAATCCTCTTTCTAGTCTTCCTCACAATCCAAAATGTTATATTTGTAATCACATTGAGATGTTATTGGAATCCCAGCAAGTTAATTCCGATCTACCACCACCACTCCAACCCATGGCAAGAGTAAAGACACTAAGACATATTCCAAGTTAAAGGCAGCCAAGGAGGTCCTAAGTCCAGTCCATGTGAGGACCTGAGGACAAAGGCCTTGATCCCAGGCCTCTCCTAGAATTTATTATCTTGTGAAGAAGAGGGATGGCTCAGGGGTGAGTGATAGTGAGGATAGCGGGGAATTACCTGAGTAACTTGAGCTGGCTGGCCAGGTACAAGAATGGCTTCTCTGTAAATTGCAGAGAAAGATATGCAGAAGGATCAATTTACATATTCCAATTAAGGTAGCAGTGGTATTGTTTTGGGGGGCTGTCTCTTCAGTTTCTGATATGCAAACTCTTGTGCCCTGGGGAGTCATAGCTTTTTTTTTTTTTTTTTCCTTTCTCTCTTCCATGCTTGAAAGTCATAGCTTCTTATCTTGAGGCTCATACCCAGTTGACATTCCTAGAGCTATTTGCTCTAACATCTCATATATCCTATACATATCGTGAGAACACTGTGGGAGGATACCTACCGACTGTCTGTTGGCTTTAGAGATTACATATTAGCACCTTGGCTAGCCTTATTTGCAATCTTAGAGCCAATTAAAGAGAGGGAAATATCCTGGTCAGTTTTTTACTTATCAGTATAAGGAAATGAGTCTCCAAATAATCAAAGTCACAGTAATTGTTTTGCATTCAGAGGGAGTCACTGGAGTTGTCTCCCACTGTAAGTAAAACCTATTAAGGGAACCATTATGTAAATATGTAAATAACATAAATAGTTTAATTACCTGACTTTTAATGTCTTCTTCTTTTGAAACACTTATGCTATAATTTCCTTTCTTCAACACAATAGATTATTAACAGTTTTTGTGCAATAATACCTTTAGTGAAGCATTTGGACTTTCAGAGATGCTAGTATTCTCCAGACAGTGTTTTGGCACTTACAAGGCAGGTGCTTATGCCTGCTGAGCTAAATTCCCAGCTCCTAGACAGTGTTTTAAATGCTAAAGTAAAATACTTAAGATTTGAAAGAAAATAACTTGGAAATACAGTGAGATCACTGCTACTATCATTTTCACATTGGGCTGCTGTAACAAAATGACAGAGTGAGTGGCAAATGGCAAATGTTTATTTCCTCACAATTCTGGGAGATTTTGGTTTTAGTGTTTTTTTGTTTGTTTGTTTGTTGTTTTTTGTTTGTTTTTTCCTGTTCTGTTGAGGGGGCTATTTATTGGTTGGTTGGTTGGTTGATTGGGTTTGGTTTTGGTTTTGGTTTGGTTTTTTGAGGTAGACTCTCACAGTATACTTTAGGCTGGTCTTGACTTCATTATATAGTACAGGCGGATCTCAAACTCTTATAATCTTTTTTTTTTTGTCTTTTTTGTTTTTATCGGTACCAGGGATCAAACTCACGACTGCCTGCTTTCAAGGCAGGCACTTATGCCGCTGAGCTAAATCCCCAGCCCCAAACTCTTATAATCTTGTTGCCTCAACCTCCCAAATGCTAGGATTACAGGTATTTGCTGCCATACCTGACTTCTTCACAATTCTAGAGGCTGAGAAGTCCAAGATGAAGGCCCTGGTAAAGTAATATTTTTAATACTAAAATAGATAAGATTTGAGGAAAACACATACACACATATATTGAAATACATTTAAAATCTGATGAGGCAGGGCTGGGAGGCATAAGCACCTGCCTTGCAAGCGAGCAGTCATGAGTTCAAACCCCGGTACCAAAAAAAAAAAAATCTGATGAGGCCTCTGATCTTGGCTTGCATGTGGCTCTTCTTAAATTCTAACATAGTATTTCAAAAGAGTTCTGTTCTCCTTATAAGGACACTATGATTGAAAAGAAAAGGCACATAAAACATTTTCTACCAACTTCTTTAGATTACTATTAAGTAGTAACTATGAATTTATTTACATAGAAAGCTGGTTCATTTTTTTATAGGCTTTTGGAGGGCCTGCCAATATTAAGTTATTGAAGAGAAATGAAAGTCCAGATGTCTCAGAAATCCAGAAGGCTGTGACTGGTTACCCAAATGCTATTGATAAGGTAAAATATCGTTTACTTTCTCTTTGCAAACTTTCACCTGAGATGATAACTGAGTGAAAACTGAATTACTGTTTTTGAGCATCAAACTCTTAGCTTTTTCCTATGTCTTTTTCCTTTCATCTTCATACACATATTTTTACATTTTAGCCTAACTCTGGAATTGAGAACTTTCTAGCACACTTGAATATCTCTAAAGAAAGTGAATTGCCATCACCTCAACATGGAGAGCCTCCCAGTGAAGAGCATTTGTCACCACAGTCATTTGCTATGGTTTGTATATTTTTAAGAACTTACACTATGATGATTCTTCACCATTGACTAGTGTACATATCCTATGCAGCTGCTCAGTTTTCCCTCGTGTAGATTGGTGTTTCATTATGATAGTCTTGCTGTGGAACAAACCCAGCTGCTAATTTAGCCATCTTTTTCATTTATCTTCTCTTAGACCGTGGGTGACAAACATATGGCATGCCTGCTGGAGCAGGCGCATAAAGCCCTCTATTGGCATGCGACCTAGCATCACCCCAGCAGCTAAGCATCAAATAGTCAGGTTTAATTGCAGTGTTAGCACTTTGCAATAAATAAATGGGTTTTGGGTTGCAGTTTGGGTACTTGATTTTTAACATTTGCCATCGCTGCCTTAGACCATAGTTTCCTTGCTTCTCAAACTTTGCTATTGGGTAACTAGCCCTGAAGTTAAACAAAGGATAAATACTGTTTGGATGTCCATTAATAATGGATTTTTTTCAGCTATTAACTATTGATTTGCCTTACTCCCTATACAAATACACTTCACATCTTATATAACTTTTTTTTTCTTTTTTTGCCTTTTTTTTTTTGTCTTTTTGAAACAGGGTGTCTCTGTGCAGTTCAGGCTGGCTCCGAGCTCACTCTGTTTTTTTGTTTGTTTGCTTGGGGGTGGGTTTTTGTTTTTGTTTTTGTTTTGTTTTGTTTTTGTCTTTTTTGAGACAGGATCTTGCTATGCAGTTCAGGCTGGCCTTGAGCTTACTTTGTAGCCCAGGCTGCTTTCAAACTCCCAAGATCCCCCGGCCTCAGCCTCCCGAGTGCTGGGATTACAGGTATGAGCCACCATGCCTGGCTAAATTTTTTGGTACCAGGGTTTGGACTCACAACCTTGTGCTTACCAGGCAAGCACTTAAGCCACTGAGCTAAATCCCTGGCAATAATTTTGAAAAAAAAAGCTCAAGTGCTGAGACACAGTTCAGTGGTAGGACCTTTGCCTACCAAGTCCTGGTTTTGATCCCCAACAAGCCAAAAAAAAATCACAAAGATAACTACATAAGTCTAATATTAACTCTTCTCTCCCCATCCCCATCATTTCCATATGAATGATTTTCAAAAAAGAAGGGAACACGGATGCTTAAAGAAATTCTAAAAATTGATGGTTCTGATACCATGGAACATAAGAATGAGATGAAACGGTATGGAAATGAAGCTACTGTTTGTTCTAATAGAAGAGATGAATATGGACCATCCTCACAGTCCAACCAAAACAAGAAATTAGGTAAGTAAATTATACAACTACTAGTAATGCACAGCATGTATACGTATGTATACATACCAGTGTATAAAAAAAGAAAAAATAGTTACACTACTGATTTCTCTTGAGTTCAGTGAAAAAAAGAAATTTGTACTGATATTGTTCAAACAATGGAATGCAGATGTCTTATGCTCTGGGGGAATGATTTTGGGATGATAATGTGCAATATATAATGTTTCTCATTTTCTTCAGAATAGCTTTCCATACCATCACACACAATAAAATCAAACAAAACAGTTTGTGGTGTTTTTTTCTGTATTTGTGGCAGGATGGATTTGAAATCATTGTATAGCCCAGCCACTCACTGTGTAGCTCAGGATGGCCTTAAACTCACAGCAGTCCTTCTGCCTCAGTCTTCCAAGTGTTGAAATACAGGCATGTACCACGCTGACTAACAAAACTTCTGTTTTTGCTGGTGCAGTTCTTGTAATCCCCGCACTTGGGAGGTTGAAGCAAGGAGGATTTTTGCAAACTCAAGGCCAGCCTGAACTGTGTGAGACCCTGGCTCAAAAAAGACAAAAAATCTTTTTTTTTTTTTTTTTTTTTTTTTTTTGTCTTTTTCCTTTTTATCGGTACCGGGGATCGAACTCATGACTGCCTGCTTGCAAGGCGGGCGCTTATGCCGCTGAGCTAAATCCCCAGCCCAAAAAACCTTTTTTTTTTAACTTTTATTTTTGAGAATCATTTTTAACCTGTTTCATTGGTATGGTAGTATATAGCTATGTGTCCAGAATATCTACAGTCCTTAAATATCTTTTTGTGATCACTTAAATTGTTCTATTTAAATAATACATTCTGAGCTAGGTGTGGTAACACATACTTGTAGTTCCAGCACTCAGGAGGCTGAGGCAAGAGCATCCTTGTGAGTTTTAGGGCAGCCTGGGCTACATAAAAAGACTTTGTTTCTGCTAGGCATGGTGCACACGCCTATAATCCCAGCACTCAGGAGGCTGAGGTAGGAAGATCACCATGAGTTCAAAGCCAGCCTGCACTACATAAGGAGACTCTGTCTCAAAACAAAAAAAATAAATAAAGGTCTGGTCTCAAAAAATTAATTTTGTTGATAGCCAAACCTTGAAAGGTTTTCACATTCTAGTCTTTTCCCTCAGTAATTTATATATAAATTTTTGTTGGTTTGAGACAGGGTCTTGCTATGCAGTCCAGGCTGGCCTTGAACTCATTATGTAGCCCAGGGGGTTTGCCCTAACCTTGCACTAATCCTCTTGCCCCAAGTGCTGGGATTACAGGCATATGCCACCATGCCCAGCACATGATTAATAAACTTGATTTTTTTTTCTAGTTTATAAAATGAGAACATACATTACAGATGAGTATCGTGGTGCAACCTGTAACATATACTTAATCACGTAACACTACCTAACACATCATAGGTGCTAATTAATATTGTAGTAAAATAATTTGACCAGTATAAATATAGAAAAGGTATAAAATCACTTAAAATTGTTAATGGTGGTAGATATTGGAAACTGAGTAATTATCATAAATATAAAACCAGTAGCTTAACATAGTACCTAGCCAGATTTCAGTGAATATCTATCATTGCCCCTGTTCCCTGTGTCCTTTAAACCTTATTGTCTTGTACAAATATGGACAGAAGTTTCTGGAGAAATAGGAAAAAATGTTAATGCTGGCTGTGGTGGCACACACCTGTTACTGAGTGAGGCTGAGACAAGAGGATCACTGTGAGTTGAGGCCAGCCTGGGCTCCATAGCAAACTCAAGGCCAACTTTTACTACACAATGAGACACTGTCTCAAAAAAAAAAAAAAAAAAAAGATTAAGTAATCAGATCTCAATTTATTAAAGCTCAGTGTCTGGAGCAAAAGTAGAGCTCCTCTCTATTTATACTCTAGTGAATGTTAGAATAAACAATTCACAAAAATTTTCAAAACCTGTTAGAAAACTAATTATTTGTCATAGTGACAGATCCACTCCTGAAATAGAACAAAATGTTTCAGTTAATTTCATGTGTAATGACAAAACATAAAGACCTTAGCAGTCAGTAACTCAGAATCCAGCCCATATATTATAGAACAAGCTGGCACTACGATATTGGGCAAGCCACTTACCCTCTGTTCTTGTTTGTTTGTTTTTGTTTTTTGAGACAGTCTCATTATGTAGTTCAGGCTGGCTTCATCCTCCTGCCTCCGCCTCCCAAGTGCTGGAATTACAGGCTTATGTTACCATACATGGCTAACCTCTTTTTTTAATCTATAAAGGTTAGAAATTTAAATTAAATTTTTCACTGAGGTATGCTTTTGTTCTAGTGAGTCTATTAATCATAAAGATTGTGAACATTCAGAAATTTTTAATCATCTTTATGTACACTTAAAAAGTTTAATTTCAGAAAAACTTTTAAGAAGTATCATTTTAACTAGATGCAGGGGTGCACACCTATAATCGCAGCACACATGAAGATCACTGCAAATTCGAGGCTAGCCTTGGCTACAAAGTTCAAGGCCAGCCTGAACTGCATATCGAGACCCTGTCTCAAAAAAACAAAAAAAAAGTATCATTTTAGAGCAACAAAAAATATTCAACCGCATATCTTAGAATGTAAAGTGGTAATCCCAGCCCTTTAAAGGCTGAGGCAGGAGGGTCACCATGAATTCAAGGATAACGTGGGCTACCCGTAATTAGATCAAAACTAGCCAAAACTGCATAGCAAGACCCTGTCTCAGAAAAAGAAAAAAAGTAAAAAGCATAAGATGGCATTGCAAGAATTAAATTGAAGCCAAAGCCTCAAAACTTAAGAATTACTCATATATCTGCTCAAGAAAGCCATTTACCAAGTTTTACCTCTTATAACAATACCATATAATCATTGGTTGCCCAAGGTTTTAATTTTTGGCAATCAAGTATTTTTAAATCACCTTAATAATTTATTATTATAAAGCATCTCAAATTTTATGAAAGTCTCAGCAATTGTAAGCAATACTAAATAGTTCTATTTGTTTCATGGGAGATTCATTTTTCACTAAACTTTCAGCAGATTTTCTGCCTAATCTACTATAAAACCTTGCAATAGTTGCTTATCCTTCGATATTTTATATTAATACAGTATATTTGTTTGTCTTTTTTTGTAACAGGTTACATAAACAAGCCTCCCAGTGCCAGTGAGTACCACAGTATTCCATCTGTGGACAGTGTGTGCTGGCCTATTCCCAGCCAGATCCCTCCTGTGTCCACACCGGTAACTGAACTTGCTCGAATTTGCTCCCTTGTTGGAATGCCACAGCCAGATTTCTCCTTTCTGAGAACACCTCAGGTATAGTATATTTCTACTTCATTTATATACATTCTTTAATGCTGAGCTTAAATAAATTGATTGACAGTCCATAGCTAAGGAAATATAATGGGGCTTTTAAATTTTTATGAACAGTATGGATTTATGTTTCTCACTCAGATTGTTACATTTATGTATGACTAGAGCCCTCAAAAAGGCTAACAGAAAAGAACATGGGCAGCAAGTATCCTGGCAGGATTCTTCAGATTGACCGAGCTGGGGATATTAGAGTACAGCAATGATTTTTTAGTTTTTTTGGTTGTTTTGTTTTGTTTTTGAGGCAGGGTTTTATTATGTAGTTTAAATTGGCCTCGAACTCATTATATAACTCAGGTTGGCCCCAGATGCACAGTGATCCTCCTTATTATAGGTGTGTGTCATCACACCCAGCCATTTAAAAACTTTTTGGTCTCAGATTCCCCCATTTATTTGGGAAGAACCCAAAGGAGTTTTGTTTACTTGTGTTACATCTATGTTTATCATATAGAAATTAAAACTAATAAGCTGGACTTATGCTTTTTATGGGGGAATAGTACTCCATTGTATAAAAAAACACAACTTTATCCAGTTATCAGTTGATGAATGTTTGACTGTTTCCAAGATTTAGCTATTACAAACTGTGTGACCATAAACATGGGTGTACATATATCACTGTGGTATGATTCTAATAATTATTTCTAGAAGATACCAAGAAAAGGAATAGCTGGGTTGAATGGAACTCTAGTTTTAGTTTTTTTGAGGAATAGCTACACTGATTTCCACAGTGGTTGCACCAGTCTGTACTCCCACCAACAGTGGAGAAGGGTTTCTTTTTCCCCACAACCTCTCCAGCACTTTTTGTTGATAGTTTTCTTGATAATAGCCATTCTTTCTGGGGTAAGATGGAATCTCAGTGTTGTTTTAATTTGCGTTTCTCGAATGACCAGTGATTTTGAATTTTTTTTACATATATATTTGCTGTTTGTACTAATACTTTTGAGAAGTGTCATCTCAAGTGCCTATTTCTGGATTGGATCTTTAAATTTGGAGGGGATGTGATTTTTTTTTTTTTTTAGTTGTTTATGTATTCTCAATAGAAGTCCTGTGTCTGTGGAACAACTGGGAAAGATTTTTTTCCCACACTGTGCATTGTCTCTTCACTCTTTTGGTGGTTTCTCTTGCTGTGCAAACACTTTTTAATAAGATGTGAGAATTCCTATGTGATAAAGGTTTTATTCATAAAGTCTTTGCGTGTACCAGTGTCTTAAGAATTCTACCTATTCTATCTTCCAGCACATTTAATATCTGTTTTACTACTATTTAGATCCTGGGTCCATTTCTGTTTTACTTTAGTGCATGGTGATAGCCATAGGTCTAGTTTTAGTCTAGACATGTGGGAAGCCAGTTTTCCCAGCACAATGTATTACAGAGGTTATCTTTGTTCTAATGAGGGTGTTTGGCACCTTTATCTAAGACAAAGTGGCTAATATGTCTGGAGTTATTTCTACATCTTCTAATCTGTTCCATTGATCCTTGGGTCTGTTTTCTGCCATTACCATGCTGATTTTATCACAGTAGCTCTGTAGTATAATAGCAAGTCAGTGATTGTGATGCCCCCCCACCTTCACTTTGTTGCCCAGAATTGCCTGTGCTATTCTAAGTCTCCACTTGTCCCCAATGAATTTTAGGATTGTTTTCTGTAATTCTGTGAGATATATTGTTGGAATTTCAACTGAGATTGCATTAAATTTGTGTAACAATTTTGGGAAGTATGGCCAATTTTCACTATGTTCATGCTATCCAAGAGCAAGGAATGTCTTTCCATATTCTGATATCTTCTTTAATCTCCTTTTTCAGAATGTTGTAGTTTTCAATGTAGAGATCTGTTGCTTCCTGCATTAGATTGATCCCTAAGTATTTCAGTTTTTTGGATGCTATTGTGAAAGGTGTTCTCTCTCTCAGGGAGTTCCTTACTTATATATAGGAAGATTCTGATTTTTGAATGTCAACTTTGTATCCAGCTATGCTACTGAATTTGGTTATTAAATTTAAAAGTCTTTTGGTGGAGTTTTTGGAGTCTTCTATCGTATCATCTGCAAATAATGATAATTTAACTTCTTCCTTTCCTATCTTATTTCTTTCTCTTATCGCTTTGCTCTGGCTAATGTTTCTAGAACTATATTGAATAAGAATGGTTATAGTGAACATCCTTTTCTTTTTCCTGATTTTACAGTGAAAGCTTTCAATTTTTGTTCATTTAGCATGTTGATTGTTGGTTTGTCATAGATGACTATTTACCATACTACTGAAAATTTAACCAAAACAAGGGTTGGGGATTTAGCTCAGCGGCATAAGCGCCTACCTTGCAAGCATGCGGTCATGTGTTCGATCCCCAGTACCGATTAAAAAAAAAAAAAAGTTTAACCAGAACAGTTGAGCAATAAAAGGCATCCAAATTAAAAATAAAAAAAGTAAAATTATCTGCACGTCTAGAAAATATGTTACATGGAGTCAGGTGTGATAGGAGGCTGAGGCAGGAGGATCACCACAAGTCCGAGGCCAGACTGGGCTATATAGCAAGACCCTGTTTCAGAAAGCAAAGAACCTGGGGCTGGGGATTTACCTCAGCAGGATAAGTGCCTTCCTGGCAAGCACAAGGTTGTGAGTTCCATCCCTCGTAACAAAAAACAAACCAAAAAAAAAAAAACCCTTATATGTAGAAAACAATAAATATTTTCATTAAAAACTATTAGAACAGGGTCTGGAGGTTTAGCTCAGCAGCATAAGCACCTGCCTTGTAAGCAGGCAGTCGTGAGTTCGATCCCCCGTACCGATAAAAAGGAAAAAGACAAAAACAAAAAACTATTAGAACTAATAATTTTAAAAACTTGCAGAATATAAAATCAATACAAAATTAATTGTGCAGGAGGATGAAGATTATCAGCAGTTCAAGGCCAGCCTGAACTACACAGTACGACTTTGTCTCCAAAAACCAAAAACAATGGAATAGAGAGACCATAAATAAACTCTCATATATAATATATATGGTCATTTGACCAGACACCAAAACCGTTTAGGGGAAAGATATTGAGGGGAGGGAAAAATATTATCCTACTTGTTTAGATTAGACTGAAGTTTGGAAGAAATTGACATTCTAGGTAGATAATTTCATAGATATCCATGTTCTCTGTGTTTTAGACAATGACAGTTTGCCAGGTGAAATTATCAAATGGTTTACTGGTGCGGGGACCACAGTGCCCCTCTGAAAACGAAGCCAAGGAGAAAGCTGCACTGTTTGCTTTACAGCAGTTGGTAAGAACTGTTGATGGCTTCTCTGTAAAATCTGTAATGTTGCTACGGAAACTTTCATTATGCTGCCTTATATCTTTAAATACGTCCACAGGGCTCTTTAGGAGTGAATTTTCCTTTGCCTCCACCACTGTTTGCAAATTATCCTCCTGCTATACCACCTGGAACCATCCCTCCAGTTTTCCCACCACCTACTGGTAAGACAGTTTGCTTTTCTAAGTGTTTGTGACCACATTGATATTTTCACTAATTTTTCTTAAGAATCATCATTTTTAAAAATTCAAAAATGTAACCACGGTCTCAGAGTGTGAGAAGAAATTGCGAGACATTAGCCTAATGCTGAAGTCTGCAAACTTACCCAGAAATGCTATTTCTCACTCTGTATTGCCCACATGGTGCACAGAAGGCAGTTTGCAGTGCACAGGCCTTTACTCTCCAGGAGTTGCAAACAGGTCACTTTGATTCCAGTCAGACATAAAAATTACAGGTAAAAAAAATCAGTTACTTCGGTGTAGCAGACTCTTCAGGATCGCTTGTCTTTTTTGTGTGTGTGTATTTTTTTTTTTTTTTTGTCTTTTTCGTTTTTATCGGTACCAGGGATTGAACTCACGACTGCCTGCTTGCAAGGCAGGCGCTTATGCTGCTGAGCTAAATCCTCAGCCCCTCGCTTGTCTTTTTGAGACAGGGTCTTGCTGTGCAGTTCAAGCTGGCCTTGAGCTCACTTCATAGCCTTGGCTAGTCTCAAACTTGCAACAGTCCTCCTGCCTCAGCCTCCCGAGTGCTGGGATTACCATGCCTGACTTTTTTTGTTCGGGATCTCTTGGACACTAGCATTTTATGACTTTATGATCCCAGATCTTAAATTATTAGTCTTTTCTTTTATCATTCGGCCTTTTTGGGGTTGGGTTTTAGTTTTGGTTTTGGTTTTGGTTTTGTTTTTTTGAGTAGGGGTTTCACTGTGTAGTTCAGGCTGGCGAAAAGTCTTCCTGCCTCAGCCTCCTGAGTGCTGAGATTACAGTCATGCACCACCATGCTGGGCTTGCTTTGAAATTCAGGCTGGCATTGAATTTGAGGTGATTTTCCTGTCTCATCTTTTCCAAAGTACCGGAACTACAGGCATGTGCCACCCCCGCCCATTTCTTCTTATATTTTAATAATTGTCATTTGAAAGCCAAAAAATTAGGTAGGAAGATGGTTGCAAGTTCAAGACCAGCCTGGGCTACAAAATGAGTTCAAGGCCATCCTGAACTGTATAGCAAGACCCTATCTCAAAAAAAATTTTAAAAAGCCTATAGTAAGCATCCCTGAATTTGCTGATTGACATTACAAAAACATTACATTAGCAACAGAAGTGTCTTCCTGAGCTGATAACAGAGGTGGCTACTCCCCTACACTGCTAAGTAAAACAGTATTATTCATTAATATTAAAATACTAAATTTTACACTGTACCACTTTGAGCTTTGGAACAATTTAATTGAGTAAAACATGATAAAATCTTCAGAAATATAAAGGTTTAACTATTCAAACAGTTGGGGTTTTGAGGGGGATTGTTTGTTTTTTTTTTGTTTTTTTTTTTTTTTTTTCTTGGTTCTTTTGAGACAGGGTCTCACTGTGTAGTTGAAGCTGGCCTTCAACTAACTGTGTAGTGCAGACTGGCCTCAAACTCACTGTGATCCTCCTTCCTCAGTTTCCCCAGTGCTAGGATTACAGTCATGCACCTCCATGCCTAGCTCTCAGTTATTATTATAAAACTAAACTGGGGCTGGGGATTTAGCTCAGTGGCACAAGTGGCTGGCTACCTCTCAAGTGCGAAGTTGTGAGTTCAATCCCCGGTACAAAAAAAAAAAAAACTAAACTCTGAAAGTCACTACAGAATTGAAAGCCTAGGATATATTTAAGCTTGAAAATAACTTTTGTTACTTCTGTATGCCAGATATTATTTGAGCAATTTTACATATCTAATCCTTATATAAATAATAGAAAATTTGATAAAGCTGATTAGGGGTAGCATTTTTAGCTCACCTGGCATGCACAGGCCACGTTCAGTCCGCACCCACTGCATGCACACGCAAGCACCCACACATACAGTAATTAAAGCAACAATCCTGTTGATTAGAAATAAATTAACAATATGCAATTTTCTTTTCTCCTTGCCCAAAGGCCATTAACTGAATAATAGTTAAAATGATATAAACCTACAAAGACAAAAAATGAAAGAAAAGGCTGGTCCGATGGCAGTGGGTTATCAGAACTTATTAACATTAGTGTCACTAAAGTTGGTATACCACCCCCCCACTGCTAAATTTGACTGGCTTTAAAAAAAAAAAAGAAAGAAAGAAAGAAACAGCAGATTAGAAACTTAAAAAAGTTTTGATAAGAAATCAAAAGTGACCAATTTTAGTACAGCAAAATTAAGCAACAGTGAGAGAGGTTACAAATGAGCTAAAGATTTTTTCATCACAGTTCCCAAGAAATTTAGAATTTGATAACTAAATTTAGAATTTAGTTATCAGAAAAGGCAAGGAGAGCCAGGCATGGTAGCTTTTGCCTATAATCCAGTAGTCAGGAGACTGAAGCAAGCAGATTGCCATAAATTTGAAGCCAGCCTGGGCTACAGAGTGAGGTCAAGCTAGCCTAAACTACTCAGTAAAACTCTGTCTCAAAAAAGCAACAGCCAAAAAACAAAACAAAACAACAGCAACAGCAGCAGAAACTCATTTGCTGGACATGGTGGCCCACACATGTAATACCAGCACATGGGAGGCTGAAGCAGGGGATCACCACCCAAGTTGCATGACACAAGGCCAGCCTCAGCTACAAAACAAAGGCAGAGATGAGGCAGGCACTGAAGAGAGGGGTTGGGTGAACGTCTGTACGTGGACGTTGCTCCCCAAAATAGCAAAGGCAGTTGCCTCTCCATGCAAGAGACTGTGAATACATTCTCTAAAGAGCTCTCTAAATATGGAGACACCACACGGAGTAGAGAAAGAAATATGAGACTGACAACAGAAAAGTTCCCTTTTCCACATCCTTTTCCCAGATTGAATCAGTCATGCTCTGCCCTTCAGATAGGAAATCAGATGATGGATCTTTTGAGAAATTCATTGACCGCCAAAGAAAAGACCCCTTGCTTCCAGAGCTGGCACAACCCAAAGACTGTCTCACAAAGCAGTCACCCACGAGCAGAGCCCTAAATCATCTCGCACCTTGCCCTCGCCATGTACATACTGTTCCTCATCGGTTGCAGTGTTTCCCTCTCAAATGTGACCAGATGCAACATGATCTGAGACATGAAAGTCTCTAAAACGGTAGAGCCCAAAATAAAAGAAATTAAAAGGACACTAGGCTGGGGATATCCTTCAATATAGAACACTGACCCAGCATATGTGAAATGTAGATTTGATCCTAGTACTGGAAAGGGATGGAGGCAGAGGAACAGATGAAGAAATAAGAAAACTTCAAACATAACTAATTAATGTATCCTCAGTGCAATTAAACAGTATTGCCACCAAAAAATAAAAACAAGAGGCTGGAGATACAGCTCAGTAGTAGAGAATTTTCTTAACATGAATGAGACCCAGCGCTATAGAAAGAAAAATAAAATTCTATGCAGAAAAGAAAATTGGGCTGGGCATGTTGGCATATGTCTATAATCCCAGCATTTGGCAGGTTGAGGCAGGAGAATCCCCAAATTCATGGCTAGTCTGAACTATACCGCAAAACCTTGTCTCAATAATAATAATAATAATAATAATAATAGTAATAATTGGAAAAAAATTGTTGAGTCAACATTTTAAATTCAAGCTGGGCATGGTGCACACACCTGTAATCCCAGCACTTGGGAGCGTGAGGCAGGAGGATTGTTGCAAGTTTGGACCAGCCTGAGCGCTCAAGGCCAGCCTGAACTGCATAGCGAAACCTTGTCTCCAAAAGACAAACAAACAAACAAGGAAAAAATTTGAATTGAGTAAATAATGTCTGGGCACAGCTCAGGGTGCTGTGAGGTGTGGCACACACTTGCAGTCTCACACTGAGCTGGGAAGGTCCCTTGCGCCCAGGAGTTCCAGGCCAGTCTGATTAACACAATGAGAACTTGTCTTGTGGGAGAAAGGACAATGATTAGAACCTTAAAAAGAAGAGCAGCGATTGAGAGGAACAGTGCATAGATTAGAACCCATCGTATTAGAGATCTAGAAAAAGAGGCCAGAAAGGAAAAAAGTATTGAAGAAATAAGATTATTTCCTAGATCTGAAGGCCATGTGTCTGTAAACTTAAAATCGGGAAGAACCACAGTGGCCTTGCCCTGTTAACAGTGCATGGAAGCCGGACAGCAGGTGCCAGTGAAGCCCCGCAGTCCTGAGGCAGGCTGAGTTTCATCTTCTCTGGTTCTCTCTGTATGGTGAAATCTCATGTGAAAGTAACGTAAATGGGGCTGGGGATTTAGCTCAGTGGCATAAGCGCCTGCCTTGCAAGCAGGCAGTCGTGAGTTCAATCCCTGGTGCCGATAAAAGGAAAAAGACAAAAAAAAAAAAAAAAAAAGAAAGTAACGTAAAGACATTTCCAGACATGCAAACTTGTTTCCTGTGTACACTTGCTTAAGTTACTGGGTTTATAAAAATAAAACAAGAGGTTTTAGAGCTAGTGTAATGCAGTAAATGGAAATTCCAAGATGTTAGCTGCTCATCAGGTCTAAAAAGTAAAAAGTTCGAGTTGGAGAAAGGGAAGCCTTGGCAGGTAAGGTAGATTATCTGTTAGATGGACAACATTTGGAAAACACATTCAGGGTAAGTTCAGTGCTAGGGGATATACTTCAGTGTAAGAATGCTTGCCTAAACTGGGTGTGGTGGCACACATCTTTAATCCCAGAATTCAGGAGGCTGAGGCAGAAAGATCTCTGTATGTTGGAGACCAGCCTAAACTCCATAGTAAGACCCTGTCTCAAATAAATAGACATAAAAATACTAAATAGAATAAAAACAAAAAGTTTTACAGGTAAACAAACATCTGATTGGGTTGGCTCTACAGGGATAAAACTTCAGAGTCACAGAGCTGTGGATTTCGCTCAGTGGCACAAGCGCCTGCCTTGCAAGTGCATGGTCGTGAGTTTGATCCCCAGTACCAAAAAAAACCACTTCACAGTCACATACTATGAACACTGCTTGTATATTATATATTTAAATAAATATTCTGATATACTGAAATTGAAAGGACAAGGCATAGTAAGGCATGGTGGAAAAGAACTGAATTTTGGGTGGGCGTGATGGCACACACCTATAATCCCAGCGTTTGAGAGGCTGAGGCAGGAAGATCACCACAAGTTCAAGATCAATTTGAAGTACATAGGGAGAACTTGTCTGAAAATTTTTTAAAAATTGAAAACTGAATTTTGATCTAAACAGAATTTATTATATCCAGAAATGTTTAAAATTGATAAATCTAACTAGTACCATAAGTTAATTATTAAGCAGTGTGGAAATAAACATCTAAAATAGTTAAATCTGAGTTAGTGGCTGCCAGCTTATGTTGAAAACCTTTTTTTACTACAATGCATGTGTGTTACTCTGAACTTTTTTCAAAATGTAATTCCTCATAATCATTAGTGGCAGAACTTCCAGAGTCAGTGTGTTTTCAGAGCCCACACTTAGATTTCTCTGTTCATGTGTACTACATTGGTCTAATGTTTATAACTTAGTGTAGTCTTTAAAATATCACATCTAACATATTACTTGCTTTTTTACCTTCAAAATGAAACAATAGCCGGGGATTTAGCTCAGTGGCATAAGGGCATGCCTTGCAAGCGCGCAGTGGTGAGTTCAATCCCCAGTACCAAAAATATAAATAAATAAAATGAAACAATGAGAACTTTTAAGTAGTACATGTATGTACCTTAAACTTTACCCACGAGTTTCTCTAAAAAATAATTTGTCTTATAAGAATATGTTGCTGAAAAAGAATGGTTGTTTTCCCATTGATATTTTACACTTCATATTTTTACCTTTTTAATGTTTATTATTCATGCCTACCAAAAATTTTAAGGTTTAGCTTAAATGCCTTGGGTCTTTTCTAGATGTTCCAGTTGAAATAATGTGAATACCTAAAAGTCAAGAAATGTCAGTGTTAATCAGGAGAAATTAAGCACCAAATTATCGTTTTAAAGTTATTTTGTAAATTTGTTTTTCATGGTCTTAAAAAACTTCGTTTTGACTTACTGGGGAAATAGTTGAGGTGACCTACACATAACATAGATATATAGCAGTTTTTTATGCTAGGGTTTGAACCCGGGACTTAGTGGCTGCTAACAGGCACTATACCATTGAGCTAGCTCTCCAGCCCGCCCCGCACCAACTTCCCTTTCAGTTTCAGTGTGGCTCCCAGGCCAGGGATGTAGCTCAGTGGAGTAGCACCTGCCTCGCAATGTGAGGTTCTGAGTCTAGTTCCCAGTACCACACACACACACCACACACAAACCCCCGGGAAGCAACTACTACTTTGTTGTCGTCGCCTTCTTCTTTATCTTGTCCTTGTCCTACTCTTCTCCTCCTCCTCCTCCTCCTCCTCCTCCTCCTTCTCGTTGCTGTTGTTGTTGTTGTCGTCCGTCATCTGGAATCAAGCTCAGGACCTCACGCTTGCCAAGCAGGTACCTTACCACTGAGCTCTACACCTACGCTGACAGTTTTTTTCATCCAGGAATATGTACATATATAATATAATTCAGAACACTAAAATATACCGATTCTTCTTTCCTGATATAAATTTTCTCAGGTTGTAAATTTATAGCTTCTTTTATCTCTCTGAAAAACAGTTTGCCCGTAGTACCTGTCTTCAGGGGCCTGGGCTATTGTCTGGATGATGACTCTTGTCTGCAGTAGCTCCCAAATGCTGTGCTGGGGCTCTCTGTCTGCACACAAAGCCTGGGGAGCTTATTCACAGTACAGACTACTGAGCCCCCAAGTATGACTCGGCAGGTCTGAGTAAGTTTGTCTGTCCAGACATCTTTAATGCACAAACTCCCCAAGTGGCTCAGCAATTGGGTTTAGCAATCATGGGTTTCAATAAGAAATAAAAAGAGCCAGGGATTTTTAGCTCAGTGGTGGAAGCACCTTCTTGACAAGCATGAGGTTGTGAGTTTAATCGCAGGTACCAAAAAATTCAATAAATTAAAAAAAAAGAAAAAAATCCTTGAATTACAAATATTAAAGAAAAGAGCCAGATGGAATGGCACCTGTAATCCCAGCACTCAGAAAGCTGAGGAGGCTGAGGCAAGAGCATCACTATGAGCTCAAGGCCAGCCTGAACTGCATAGTGAAACCCTGTCTCAAAAAGGAAAGAAAGAAAGAAACAAAGAAAAAGATAGATAGATAGATAGATAGATAGATAGATAGATAGATAGATTCATTCTACATGTCAGATTTCATGACCTGAGTTTTTTTGGGCTTTTGTAGGCTGGAATCACTATCGAAGCAACTTAACATTGGGGGCAGGTGAGAGCCTTAAGACTGCTTTTCTTGTGCCAGGCTTTTCTTCCCAAAGAATAGTTTCATGACCCCTTTGTTGTTGTTGTTGTTTTTTTAATATAGTTACACATATTCCTGAAGTTTCTATAGCCTATAGTACTAGTGGCCTTTGTAGACCAGCATAATTATCATTCATTGTTATATCTAGTCCATGGGAAAGGATCCCGATATTGAACCATACACACTGAGTAAATATTCTGAAAGTGTAGAGGTTTTACTAAAGAGGGGAAAAAGCAGTCAAAAGAGGCTAACAGGAAGAGGTCTTACACTTCAGAGCTCTGATTTTACTAAGAGAAATTCTTTGTGATTTTTAACAGCTAATGTAATGCCTTCATCATCTCATCTCTTCGGTGCAATCCCATGGGGCCCACCAGTGCCAGTTCCTGGGAAGCCCTTCTATCAGGCTCCATACCCTGGGATTCTGCCCGCAGCTGGAGGGATAGCAGGTGGTGCGCACAATCAGTTCATACCTTTGCAGGTGAGACCTGGAAAGAGAATTTTGGTTCTTTTCAAATCCATTGTATTCAAAGATGAAAGAAGAAAACAAACTACAGTAAAATTTCAAAGCACATCAGTTGGGGCAACAATGGTCCATACACTGCACATTGTCATCCCCAAATCATTCACCCAGAGCACAAGACATCTGCATTCAATTATCTGAACAATACCAGTAACAAATCTAAGAGAGTTATTTTTAAAGGTTCAAAACCTCCTGATAACATTTTCTTTATGCAGTAAGGAATGACGGCACACACCTGTAATCAAAGCTGCTTGGGAAGCTAAGGCAAGATCTCAAGTTTAAGGCCAGCCTGAGCAATTTAGCCAGATCCTGTCTCAACATACAAAATAAAAAAGGGCTGAAGATTTATCTTAAACCTAGGGTGAAGCCCTGGGGTTAATTCCCAGTACTGAAAGAAGAATTTATGTACTCAATTTACTTATTGAAAGCCTGTTAGAAATCCACTACTTGTGTAGGAACTGACAGTGTAATGCTATCCTTGCTGTCTAAGTTTGTATTCTAATAAAGAATAATTATTACAGTAAATAATAATGTGCTATCCTCACACAAAGTGATTAAAAAACAAATATAAAATTTTAATATATAATTTATGGGTAACTTTCAGCTTTTACTGCAACAAAATTCTTTGAATTATTAATCTGATTTAGAGATTATAAACAGAAATCCCAAATCAGCAGTGTTTAACAAATCCTGCCAGACACGATGGCACATACCTATAATTCCAACAAGCACTTGGAAGGCTGAGGCAAGAGAATTGCTGTGAGTTTGAGGCCAGCCTGCACTACAGAGTGAGACCCTGTTTCAAAAAAGCAAGCAAAAAAATCCTTGTGGGTATTTTGTTGTTTGTTTTGTTTTTGGGGGTTTTTCTGGTTGGAGTTTTGGTTTTTTGAGACAAAAAACCAAAACTTGCTTGGTAGTGGCATGTGCCATCGCGCCTGGCCACTGTTTTCTGACAATAGCTTTACTTCTTTTACCTATACTGTTGCTTTTTTCTTAAAGGTTACCAAAAAAAGGGTTGCAAATAAAAAGAACTTCGAGAATAAAGAGGCCCAGACCTCTTCTCAAGCCAGCCCAGCTCAGACTAGCAAGCCAGGGTCTTCTGATGTCGCCCAAGTGGCTGCACAGGAAGACTCGTCAGCCTCTTTGAACTCCTCTCAGGTTGCTCAAGCTGCGTCCTCTTTTCAAGGTGAAACTGCCTCCCAAGGCAGCCATAAAGCGTCTCACCAGAAGGCAACGCCAACCTCTTCTTCAAGAAGAAAATCAAGGAAACTTGCTGTCAATTTTGGCATTTCAAAACCTTCTGAATAAATTTGTACTGGGGAATTAATTTCTTTCCATCTGACTTTTTATAAATGTATATCTGTGTCTCATAGAAAGTTGTCACACTTTTTAAAAGTAGGAACCACAGGAGCCACGGATGTAGCTCAGCGGCACAGTGCCTGCCTGGCCAGTGCAAGGTCGTGAGTTCAATCCTTGGTACCAAAAAAAATAGTAGGAACCACAGTCTTTCTGTGGAGCTGCTAATGTGTTTTAAAATAATATGTTTAATTGAATATTTGAAAGTTGTAAGGCACTTTTCATGCTATTTAAAAGACTATATCAAATTGTGCACTTTAAGTTTGTGCAGTTTGTTTTATGTCAATTATACCTCAATAAAGCTGTAAAAAAAAAAAAAAGAAAAATGACTAAATTAAACCTTGTGTTAAAATAAGTATCAGTGGGCTAAGCATTAAAATGTGCCACTCTAACCACTGGCCTTTTTATTAGAAGCATCCTATGAAGTATGAATTAGACATCATATTAGCAATAATTACATTATGCTGTCATTGAGGAATAATTGGAGCATGAAAATTGGGCCTCAGTTATAATTTATTGGATGTGGATTTAGTTTTCTTTTTAATGATGTAACAAAATTATCAAGAGAATGGCTTTTATTCATGTGTATTGTAGCCCGTATTGTGTTATCTCGGAGGCTCCTGTAGACCCGCAGTGAGGTGATCACGCTGGTTGTGGTGCTGCCAGTTTTACTTTATTCTGAATTTTGTACCAAAGCAGCTTTCATCCAATTGCTCTGAACTATAAATAACAATCTAGGTTTGAGTAATTGTAATTTTTTCAATTGTTCAAGAACCAGCATTAGTAATTTCTAATAAAATTGTTTCAAAATCTACAGGGTACAAATCTAGTAGAATAAAGTACAAAATGTTAGTCATGCTGTTAATTCAAATAAATTGTTATTCTTTTGTATACCTTTTTATTTGGTTATTTAACAAATATGAGCACTCATTGTTGGTCTATGTGTGATGCTCCCTGGAACTCTTGAAATTCTAAATTTTGTTTTAAATTCCAAAGTGTGAGCTGGGCGTGGTGACTCACACCTGCAATCCCAGCACTCAGGAGGCTGAGGCAGGAGGATCATTGTGTATTTAAAACCAGCCTGGGCTACAAAGTGAGCTCAAGACCAGCCTGAACTGCATAGTGGCACCCTGTCTCAAAAAGATTTTAAAAAAGAAAATCCAAGGTGTGCTATAATACAATCATCAATTTATCATGTACATTATTTGCTGCCTGTATTATTCTGTATTTCAGCTTTATGCTGAACTATTCAGTGATTCTGGCATTTTGTCTTTGCATGTTATGTGTGAATGTGTGTTGTTAAAACTCCTGAAATAATTTAGAATTTATGACAATTTTTCAGTGATCCAGGGAGTATGTGTGTGTAACCCTTTAGTTTTTATGATATGCTTATATTTTGAGGAAGAAAGTTACCACTTTATTAAAAGTGGGAACCACAGTCTTCACATGTAGCTGCATATTATTATATCTGATTTCATTTAGCTCATTGAAAACTGCGGTGATTCTTAAAAATCAACTCTTAAGTACTGGCAGTATACTAAACGAACTTCTTTCTCTGATTTCACTTTCTCTAAGTGTTAGCAGGGTATTTGTATATTAGTAGTACCTTTATTATAAGAGAAAAACTATCTTTAACTGTGATTTACTATAGTCATGTGAGTTCTTGTGATTTTTTTTTTTCCTAGAAATTTCCAAGGTTTGGATGTTTGTCATTTTGCAGCATTTCATTGTCTTTTTCTGTAGTGGAATCTTGAGGAATGAGGCTCAAGTACGTAATTCCCAGTGTTCCTTGTGTCACAAACTCTGTGTTAAAAGGAGACATAACGATGTGCAGCCTGTGTTTTAAAGCTCTGCCATCTTCTGAAACATGGAGAGAAATTTAAGTTAAGATACTGCCGTTAAACCTGTGAGGGTACTTCTCCAGTGTTTGAGTACAGCAAGCTAATTCTGCTGTGTGGACAACCAGCACAAGTGCTTTGCAGCCTTTTTTTTTTTAATATTCTAAAGGTAAGACTTAAAGAGAGATTAAAATGCAAGAGAGCTCCATAATGGCTGGGTAGTGGTCATGTATTTACTATTCTTTTCCCCTTGTGGGCCTATTCTGGATGGGGGCTGATAGCAGTGAGATGTGGCCAGGGTCATTGTTATGTGATGTTCGAGGTGCCTGGGGTCACAGGTGGTCACGACGGTGAGGTCTAGTGCATCTCTGAAAAACAACTGGATTTGGGGAAACAAGTTTTTCTCTTTTAGATGTGGCAGATTGAGACCACTGCCAAAGTTTAATAAGATGCTCGTTCAACTTGAATCTGAGGGGCTTTTGTAAATGACCGACTAGGCCAGGCGTGGTGGTGCATACCTGTAATCTCAGCACTTGGGAGGCTGAAGCAGTGAGTCTGAGGCCTGCACTACACAGTGAGACCCCGTCTCAAAAAAGTAAATGGTGGACTTTATTGAGCACAGAAGAGGCATATTCCCCACAGCGCTTCATGTTTCCACACAACTAGAGTCCTTGAATCTAAACGTTTCTCCCCACTGAAGCATTACTTCTGAACAGTTTCGTTCAGCAAGTCCTTCTAAGTAAATTACATGAATTCTAAAGCTAGATCCTCCCAGTCTCACTGTTCCCTTGTATAATTTCCTGCATTACCTCAGTTTTATAATTGCTTATGGTTTTATAATTTGACATTTAAACATCATGTAGGCTAAAGTCTTAAACACCTACGATTCAGCTGCATGAAAAGTTAAATTCACTTCTATTGAAATTTTCCTTGACAATAACAGATCTCTCTGAACATATAGGATTATCTTGCTTATTTGTTCGACCTTTTAAAACCAAGTTTCAGCTTTTCTTTCTGCTCAAAACAGTTACTGTTTGTACATGGTTCACTAGATAATTCTAGGAATTATTCTTTAAAGAGGAACAAGATACTTTATTAAGCACCATCTCTTCTGGATTAAAATTTTTTTTCCTTGCTTTGCAATAGAAGATTGGAGATCTTTTCTTTCTTCTGATGGGAGGGATAAAGAACTATTGATGCAACATGCTGTTGCTTAATCCTTATCTGTGATTCCCTTTGGTTTTAGGCTAATCTAGATTCTTAGTTGTAAGATTTTTTAGAGATGATTGTAAATGATATTCTCTTTTTAAAAATCCAGTCACAACCAGGTACGGTGGGACACATCTGTAACCCCAGCACTTAGAAGGCTGAGGCAGGAGGATCATGCATTTGAGGCCACTTTGGGCTCCATAGGAAGTTCAAGCCAGCCTGGACCATATAGCAAGACCCTGTTACAAACAAACAGCAAGATCGCAGAAGTTAATTGTCAGTTTTCTAGAGATAATGATAGTACTCAACTTGCAGTGTTTGTTTTGTTTTGTTTTTTTGAGAGTGTCTCACTATGCAGTTCAGGCTGTAGTCCAGAATTTGTAACTATCCTGCCTCAGCCTCCTGAGTGCTGGGATTAAGGAGTGTACCACCACGCCTGTTTTGTTTTGTTTAATTTTAAACAGAATAAAACAAAATAAAGCAGGACAAACCAGATTAAAACAAAACAATGCAAGCAACAGGATTTCAAAAGCTTACATACATTTTATAAGCTTTCATCAGTGAGATAGTCTTTTATTTTGCAGGTACTTCTTTTGCTTATCACAATAAAGTCTAAAATTATAGAACAGCTTTTCAGACTGACATTGTCTCACTCCCATCACACTTCCCCATCCTCTGCCAAGAACAGCAGGAGACCAGATGAAAAGCAGAGCCAACAGCCAGGCCCTAGATTTCCTGAGGTAACAACTCAGATGTCACAGGTCCTTCTTTCAGAAAGCAATGCAAAGCACATACCAGGTCGTTTGACTAGTCAAGACCCTTGGCAATGCAAGTCTGCTCTCGGGTTCAGTGTGTGCCTCAGCAACCCAGTGATACTTTGGTGCCAACCACCACAAGTGCAGTTCATGAAGGAGACTGTGGTTTCCAGTGATGCTTTTTTTATATAAACCTGGAAAATTCATTTTTCCCAGCAGTATGCTACTAGTTGCTGTCGACTATTTCAGCAGTCTATATACTAGTACATCTTTTTTATACACTATTAAGTTGTCTAGGCCAAATAAGTTTCTATAGCAGTTTTAGTAATTTAAAGGCAAATTCTCATGAATTGGTAAGAGAATTTGGCCCACGGTTTGCTTTAAGTTCTTTTATTCCTTTCCACTACAATTATGGGTTTTTGGGTTTGTGCTTTTTGGGTTTTGTGTTAATTTTTGGCCTCAAATATCTTTTTCTTTTTGCCTGCAGATTGCTTATTGAGTGTTTTCATCTGTTTTGATACATGAATAATAGATTGTGGATGTGTCAGCAGCTTCCAACATGTCCGCTTAATAAAGTACAATTCATACATATATATGTCTTAATTCGTTTCTTTCCTCACATAAGCATTTTTATAAGTAACTGGAATTTTTCATTAGATCTTATACAGAGCAGTATTTTATTAAAATTCAAAAGGGAAGACTTTTATGTGTTCATTTTATAGTTTTTCTGCTTTTAAAATGTCTTTACATTGTCTGCTAATTAAAGTATTTTAAACTTGCAGTGGAGTGGACTCTGAATGTATTTTTGTGTTAAGTTGTACATTTGTAAATTTGTAGCATGAAATTAGCCTCAAAATACCATGCAAAGGAATTTTAAAATGAGTCACTGAATTTAAACATCTGTACATGTTAAATACTCTATGAATTTTAATTAAAGATTTAAGAATGATTTCATAAGCTCATTGGTCTTTTATGATTGCATTAAAAGCAATTTTTTGAAAAATTGTTTTTTACATAAACTCATTCATGTATAGCTCTGTCTTGGTGCTGCGTGTTACAGTGAACTGAAACAGCATGGTTGGTGGTAGAAACCTGAACTATAGTTTTAAAAAAGCTGTGATTCAGATCCAGCTCTACCTCATAGGCCTCATAGGCCATTATCCTGATGTTATTAGCATGTTATATAAAGTATAAGCCTCAGCTTTTTCATCTAAAGAAAACAATGGCCCTTCTCTTGTTCATGTGTATAAAGTACTAGATACAGAGTAAGTCTTTACAAGTTTTAGTACTAATAAAGACTTACTACCTATGTAATCTGATCTGTTAGCTGGGTCCCAAATACACCCAGATCCTCTGAATGGTACCAAATATTTCTGCTGTATTCACGGTTCAGCATGGTTATACAAAATTCCTGTAATTCACTCAGAACATCTGGGAAACTCGTTTATTTTGTCTCTCCTGTAGAGGAAGATTGTTACAGAGCTGTGGGGGAAGAAGATTTAATTCTAGTCTTAAAATGGAAGAATGCTAGAGTGGTGGCCCATGCCTATAATCCCAGCCCTTGGAAGACTGAGATAGGATTACTACAAGTTTAAGGTCAGTGTAGGATGCATGGTCTGTTCAAGGCTGGCCACAACTACACAGCAGGACCCTGTTTAAAAAAAAAGTGGGGAACTGGGTTTGTTGCCACACACCTGTAATCCCAGCACTGGACAAGGCTAAGACAGGAGAACTGCCATGAGTTCAAGGCCAGCCTGAACTACATAGAGAAACCCTGACTCAAAAAGCAACGCAGCAGCACAGTTTGTAATAGCTGGATCTTGGAAACAAGCTAAATGCCCAGCAACTGAGGAATGGATAAAAAAAGATGTGGTACTTTTATAATAAGACTGGATAAACTGGAGATTTTCATAGGTAAATGGATACAATTAGAGAACATAGTAGTGAAGACACATGTAAATGTTTCATTAGCATGAGAAGCTAAAAGAAAAAACAGGTATGTGTGTATGTATGTGTGTTGTACTTTACTTAAAAAACAAGACCCCATGGTGAAAAGCAGGGCAAGACCCCAAGATGACAAATGGGGCAAGACGTCTTTTTTAAAAGAAGCGCTTTTATTTTAGCTGGCCCAGCGACACAGTGCAGATGGAATTTGCAAAGCTGTGCAACTGAGTTAGAGTTTTGACTGATTTTTATAGTACATTTATGATTAGCTCATTGATCATTAAGTACATAGTGATGAGAAACAGAAATAAGGTGGGCCTTGTTCCCCTTTGCTTGAGGTAAGAGGCATTTCACAGTGGGTGGTTAGCCAATTCATAGCCCTTGGTCTGCCAATTCTGGGAACATTTGTCTCTCATAAAAGGAACAATGGTTGACACAGCATCATTTGTCTCTTACAAGGGGAACAAAAGTTGACATTGCACACAGGTTACCAAGGTGGGGGGGATGACGCATTACAGAACAGCAGAACGACGCGGTCAGTTAATTTATAACTATGTGGTTGGTGCTTGGTTACTAGGGTAACGAGCTCAGTACAGAATGACAATATTACTAATAACTACCTTTTTAAGTAACTATTTTTGTTAATTATCTTTTAATCAATTATTTTAATTTTTAGCATCTTAGTATAACAATATGTATATAAAAATAGTTAAGATTGTTATATTGCTGATTTCTCTGAGTTCACTAACGAGAGATTTGTACTGCTGTTATTTGGACTTTTTGTGTTTTTTTTTGTTTTTGTTTTTTGTGGAACCAAGGATCAAACTCATGACCTTGCGCTTGCCAGGCAGGTGCTTATGCCACTGAGCTACATCCCCGGCCCTTATGCTGGTGTTATTTGGACAACTGAATGTAGATGTGCTCTAGGTGAATGAATTGGGGATGACATGGGAGTAATGTTTGTACTATTATTGCCCTGATTGATGTGTTTTGAAATTTTGTTGTTTTCTTTTTTTTTTTTTTTTTTTTTTTTTTTTTTTGTCTTTTTGAGACAGGGTCTCTCTATGCAGTTCAGGCTGGCCTTGAGCTCACTTTGTAGCCCAGGCTGGTCTCAAACTCCCAGTGATCCTCCTGCCTCAGCCTCCCACGTGTTGGGATTACAGGCGTGAGCCACTATGCCCAGCCTTCTTCTTTTTATCTTTCAAATAAAATGGATTTAGAAAAGCAATAACAACAAAAGATTGGAGAATCTATAAAATTAACAAGCCTTCCTAGTACTGACCATGTCTCACAATATAACTGATACATTACTTTACCAAAGTAAAATGTAGATAAGTTCCTTCAGACCATGACGTGTATGGCCTACAGTCCAGTTTTCAACAGAATCCTCATTCCCAGCTGAACTGTCACCAGCCTGACGTTCACTGTCTGTGTGCCTGTCAGAAGCCTTATCTTGCACTCTCACCAGCGTAGCACATCGAGCTTTGCTTGCAGTGTTCTAGGGTTTCTTTAGCTGGCAACCCCAAACCTTCCCAAGTATTTCCCTCAAGCCAGTTCCAAAGGCTTCTAAACCACATGGTCAGAAACAGTCATAGCCGCGGCATCCCTTCTCTGCTACCATTTTTCTGTATGAGATGCTTTTCTGCCACAAAATGCCCCCAGCTTAAAGGAGGAGAGGCAGAGATCTGTTTGGCTCAGTTTCCAAAAGGTTTAAAACCCTATAGTCAGCCGGCTCCCAGGGAAAACAGCATAGATTTGCCCGCTGCAGACTAAGTCTCCCAATTTGCTTTGCTCATTTCATCCTGAGAACCTTGGCGACAAGGAAGCAGCAGGGTTTTCTCCATGACCACCCTCAGAGAGTCCTGGGCTTGCTACAAAACGGTCCAGCCAGCTCGCCTAAGATGAGTTCCACACTGAATAAGCCCTGTAGGTACAGCATCCAAGAAATCTTAGAATAATAAATCCTTAGTTACATATACACGTATATATATCACATAATTTATATATTGTGCTTTGCAGGATTACTGAAATGCCTTCAATGGTCTAGAGCTTTATTTTTCTGAATGTTCCATGTATATCTTTTTAAAAACACGTAATCTCTTTATTAATTGTTTTAAAATTCTCTATAACTTTACCATAGACCTCTAACAAGAAAGAGAAAAAACTGGTTAGTAGAGACAATATGTGAGAAAAAAAAATTTTTTTTTTTTTTTTTTTTTGTCTTTTTCGTTTTTATTGGTACCAGGGATTGAACTCATGACTGCCTGCTTGCAAGGCAGGCACTTACGCCGCTGAGCTAAATCCCCAGCCCCCGAAAAAAAGTTTTTTTGCCAGGATCAGATTTATTTGTTTTTTGTCTGTATCAAGTTAATTACCATAAATGGACCAAAAAACACAGAAAATACATCTGGTATAAAACAATTACATTAAATCAAGATATACTCTTAAATATGTTGTATTTTTTTCTGTTTTCTTTCTCTTGTTTTTCCTATTGTCTGACTTTTAGTTTGTACTTTATTTGTAAATTGGGTTTCTCATATAAGAGAAACTGCAATATTTCAGCTTGAGTGTCTGATTTGCTGCACTAAAATTATGGTCTTAAGTTGCATCCATTTTTCACAAATGACTCAAGTTTCTCCTCTGTGCAGAATAGTTCTCCACTGTGTATAAATACCACCTCTCTGCTGAGGGACATGTAGACTGCTTCCAAGATTTAGCTTTTATGTGTTCTGCCATTAGGAACATAAATGTGCATATATCACTGAAATATTGTCTTTTAACTTTTTTTCAGGAGATACCTAGAAGGGGGAATTACTGGGTCAAATGGAATATGGATTTTTTTGTTTCTGAAGAATTTCTATACTGATTTCTCTAGTGGTTGTATCAGTTTGCACTCCAACACTGAAGATGTGTTCCTTTTGCCCTGCAGCCTCTCCAGCTTTTGTTACTATTTGATTTCTTGAAGATAGCCATTCTTTAGAGAGTGACATGGAATCTCAATATTGTTTTAACTTGTACTTCCTTTTTTTTTTTAAGGCAGGCTCTCATTATGTAGTGCAGGCCTTGGGATTACATGTGTGTACCACCCTGCCCATCTCTAATTTGCATTTCTTGAATGGCCAGTGATATTGAACATTTCTTCATGTATTTACTGGCCATTTGTATGTCATCTGAGAAGTGTCTATATATACTTTAGATGCCCATTTTTTGAACTGGGGTCTTTTAATTTGAGATATATATAAATATTTGGGGGGAGTCTCACTTTGTGGTTCAGGCTGACCTGAACTCACCATGTAGTAGCCCATGCTGGCCTCAAATTTGTAGCCATCTTCCTGCCTCAGCCACCCAAATGCTGGGATTGCAGGCATTCATTACTACACTTGGCTAATGACCCATTAAAAAAAAAAAAAGACTTCTTAAAGGCACTACAAGAAGCTAGAAAAAAAAAATGGAACAATAGCTTCAAACTAGTGAACAGTGGAACCAAGTCTGGTGGCACATGCCTCTAGTCTTAGCACACAGGAGGCTGAGGCAGTAAGATGGCCACAGGTTTGAGGTCAGTCTGGGCTACAAAGTGAGTTCAAGATCAGCCTGAAGCACAAAGTGAGACCCTTTCTAAAAAACTTAAAAAATTTTTAATAGAATTCTATATCCAACCAAGCTATTGTTCTAATGTAAAGATACAATGAAGACATTTTTAATAAAAAAGTCTCCAAACTTTGTCTTCTACATACCTTTAATCTGGAAAGTACCAGATGATATGCACTCATGAAATAAGGATATAAACCACGTTTGAGAGTTTACATCTAAAGGAAAGCAGAAGGCAGTTTTCACAGCAGTAAGAAGAGAGAGTTCAGTATGGCAGCTGTCCACAAGTGCCCAAGAACTGACTGGTGTAGGCTGAACAGAGTTTAAGACCTCCAGAGAAGGTGGCTTCAAGAAAATGGAAGATCATTAACAGTTTGAGGCCAAACTGGGCTACACAGTGAATTCAAGGCCAGTCTGAACTACATAGTAAGGTGTTGTCTCAAAAAAAGAAATTGAAAAAACTAATGTTGCTGAATTCGTAAGAGGGAATTTAGAAAACTATAAAAGGCATTTGGAGCCAGTCCTGGTGTTGCACACCTATAATCACAAAAGGGGAAACTGAGGAAGAGGATCAGTGTGAATTCAAGGCCAGCCTAGTCTCCAGAGCAGAGACCCTATCCTAAAAAAAAAAAAAATTTTAAGAAAAAAGAAAGTAAATAAGCAAGTAAGCAATATTTGGGTTGAAGGAATCATGTGCTCATAGGAAAATAGAAATTAAATGATTATTTAAAATTAAATATTAAATAATATCAAGTCTGAGGAAAATAAAACAGCTTTGTATGGAAAATAAAAAAGGTTTGCAAAAAAGAAGAAAAGAATAATGCATGTCCACCAAGACATAGATGGAGTCATTTAGGAGAGCTAACAAAAATGGGGAAGGGCTGGAGATGTGGCTCTGTAATAAAGCACTGGCTTGAAATGCACAAGGCCCGAGGCTCAATCCCAGAACCAAAAGAAGGGAGAGACAAAAAAGAGTAACACAGTCAGGCGTGTGGCTCACACCTTAAACCTAGCTGCTCATGAGACTGAGACAGGAGGCGCTCAGGCCTGCAGCCAAGCCCCAGCAACACAGTTGTGAGGGGTTTTAGGTGGTGTGTTTTTGTTTGTTTGTTTGTTTATTGAGACAAGGTGTTGTTCTGTAGGTGAGGCTGGCCTTGAACTCACTCTGTGGCCCAGGCTGGCCCGATAGCAGCCCTCCTGCCTCAGGCTCCTGAGTGTTAGGGTTATAGGCATTCTACCATGCCCTCTTGCCCTTCCAGCCTGGGCAATGTAATGTGACTGTCTTAAGGAAGAAAGATGTACTTTGGAGATGTAGTTTAGTGGTAGAGCACTAGAATGCCTGAGGCCCTGGATTCAGTCCTTAAAAAACACAAACAAAACACAGGCTGATACACAAAACACAAGCCTTTCCATTAGGGGACCCTCAGAGACTGTCCTGTAAAGGAGGTCACCTGACATCACCTGTGGTCTTTGTTTTTTCTTTCTTTCTTTTTCAAGACAGGGCCTCACTCTGTAACTCAGGCTAGCCTTGAACTCACAGGGATCCTCCTGCCTCAGCCTCCCAAGTGCTAGGATAACAGGTGTGCACACCACGCCCTGCTTTTCTTTTTGTCTGTTTTTTTAAACACAAATATCCTACATGTGTGTGTGGCACCATGTGATTTCATACAGGTACACATTGTGAAATGCTCAAGTCGAAGTAAGCATAGCTATCCAAACATTCATCCTGGATTTCTGGTGAAAACAATGGACATCCTTTTTCCTTTGCTCTTTTTGTTTTTTGTTTTGTTTTTAGGTATCAGAAATCAAACTCAGGACCTTGAGCTTGCCAGGCAGGCACTGTGCCACTGAGCTAAATCCCCATCCCTTACTCTTTTGAAATATACGCCTTACATTATCTGTATTGACCTTCTGCCCACAGAAACCCCAGGCCTTCTCCCGGGTCTGACAGTAAGTCTGTGCCGGTCTGACAGTAACTCTGTGCCTGCCCACAGACCGGCCCCTGCTGCCTCCTCCTCCCCCCTCCCCCTCCCCCTCCCCCTCCCCCTTCCCTCCTCCTCCCCCTTCCCTCCCCCTCCCTCTCCCCTTCCCCTCCTACTTCTCTCTAGCGCTCTCCCAGCCTCTGGCAGCCACCACCCATTGCTTGGAGGCAACTTTCCTTCCCATGGCTGTAGCTCTTTGTGCAACAAAGCATTGGAGCCAGGGCAGCCTAGTAGGGAAGGGGCCGGAACCGATGCCAGGTGCTCAGCTTTTCCTCCCTGCCAACTGTACTGCAGCAACCGAGGATGGGGAGGCAGAGGCGCAGGGCCCCCAATACAGCGTCCGGCCCAGCAGAAGGCGGGGGCGGGCGGAAGTGCCCGGCTGGTGGGTCAGCTGCGAAGCTTTGCACGGTTTTTATACTGGAACAGAAACCACACAGACACTGTTAGGAAAGTAGGGCAGAGCTTGTCGGGTTGTCAGAAGGGAACCCAGAAAGCATGGCCGTGCAAGGGCTATGCCTGGGAGTTTCCCCAGGCCCTAAAAATGAGCGCGTTTACAATCCCACATTTCGGTGTTAGGGCTGAAATCTGCCTTCGAGAAATTCTCAGCTTGGTAAAGATTAATGAAATGATTTGTCCAAGGTTACACAACTTCCTAGGCAGCAGAGCCAAATCTGGAAATGAGATTTCCACACTTCTGTCCCCTGTAACTTCTCCTTATATATCATAAATCTCTTACCGTTGCTTATATAATCTTAGTGAATAATGCCTAAACAACTATGTAGAGATCTGTGCTCTGAAAGAAACAGTAGCAGTGGGTGAAAGTGTAGGAAAAATATGGAGAAAAAAAGACCACAGTCCTGCTGCGAATCCTAGCACTCAGTGGGCAGAGGCAGGAGGGTTGCGGGGAGTTCCAGAACAGCTTGGGCTATGCAGGGAGCTTAAGACCAGCCTGTGCTCCAGGGTGAAACCCTGTGTCAAGAAACAAAAACAGCAGCAGAAAGACCACTCCAGATACTGTTTGGGAAGGGAAACAGAATGAACAGAGCGGTTACTTCCAGGTCAAGCAATAAAGAACTCATCTGTCTATACTGTAACCACCTAGTAAAGCACAGTTACTGATTCCAAGAGGCTCGCAGGCCTTCGGCTGCCAACCCTTAAACCAGATGAGGAGCAGTCAGTGCAGTCAAGGCAGCCTGCTGCCCCTCATGGTGGTTACTGAAATTTTAGATAAACAAAGGGAAATTGTCCTTAGGATGTGGAATATTTGGGTTACTTAGAGAAAAAGGGTATATGTTCAATTCCTTTGTTTTGATTTGTGTTTTGAGACAGGGTCCTACTGTCTAGTTCAGTCTGGCCTCAAACTCATGGGGATCCTCCTGCCTCAGTCTCCTGAGTGCTAGGATTACAGGCATGGGCCACCACATCTGGCAGAGTGTTCCATCTAAGTTTTAAAACTCCAAATAGTAAAAAGGGCAGCCTTGATTATGTCTATTAATATTTTTATTTATTATTTACATGTGTGTATGCGTGTATGTGGTACTGGGGACTAAACTCGGGGCCCTCGCAGAGCTATCTCCCTAGCCCCACTTTTTTGAAACAGAATCTCACTAAATTGCTCAATTGCCCGTCCAGGCTTGAACTTGCAATCTCCAAAGTGCTGAGAATACAGGTGTGTGACAATCCCCAGTTCATTTTCTCAAGTGTTACCCTCCCTACAATTCATGATAAAAATTTCCAAACACACATCAAAGGTAAAATAGTATTTTGTCAATATCCATATACATGAGATGTAAATTTTACCCTTAACATTTCCCTTCTCTTGCTTTAATCTGTCTATCTGTATCTCTCCATGTCTCCCTCCCTCTGGCCATTTAGCAATGCATCTTTTGGAGGGGCCACTGGAGAAGGAGGAACCCGGGACTTTGGAGCAGCTAAGTGCGTGATAGATAGCCCACCCGGCACCACAGGGTCTGGCACTGTACGGTACTGGACGGTCAGAAGGCGATCATTGTGCCACCGAGTAAGTCTCCAGCCCTAACATCACATTCTTGTCTGCATTTCAATGTCGATTACAAGCCATGTGTGTTCCCCAGAATTCAATATGCACATCCTTAAGCAGAGTTCAGTATCTTTATGACTCACTTAGCTTATTTTAGGGTAACATTTCCATAAAATTAAATGCATAATGTGCAAGGAGGCTCAGCACCACAAAGAAATAAAAAGTGTACAAATGTTAAGAAAGCGTACATCTATGTGGTCTGGAAACCACATGCATCCTGAAGGAGCCTGGCTCCGAACGTTTTAACCTCAGATTCATTTTCCCAGGTCTAAAAATTCCTGTTTGTTAAAAATTTTAAAATGTTAAAAATAAAAATAGATAAAACTTCCTTCGGGGGAAGAGCCCAGGGTTTCCTTTACTCGATAAGATGTTGGGCATTCACTTATGTTATTGCATGAATCACAGTTGGTTTTGTTGCTGAGCAGTCCGTGGTGTGAAACAGAAGAGCTAATTGTTCATTCTCCAGCTGGTACACAGCTGGGCCGTTTCCACTTTGGAGCTCATGTCAATAAAGCTGCTATTTAAAAAAAAAAAAGATCTCCAATATTCCAATATTTATGTTTTTAAAAGAAAGCTACAATGTTTTTTAAAAACCTGTGGGAATTTTAAACTGATGTTACTACTTACTCTATTTAAACAAATGTGATCCAAACACAGATGTATCTTCAACTCCAGACCGTGTGCTCCAGAGAGGAGCCCTAGAGAAGGAGAGAGAGGACCTGGGGATGTGGCTCAGGGCCCAGGGCGCCTGCCAAGGAAGAGAGGGTAAAGCTGTCTTCATGCATCACAGCATGGAAATTGGAGCTCTCATCCGTGAGCTGAGATTCTACTGGTGTCCTCTGCTAATTAACAACTAGCTGAGTGTGGTGCCACACGCCTGTCATCCCAGCGCTTGGGATGCTGAGGCAGGAGGATCACTGTGAGTTCAAGACCAGTTTGAACTACATAACGAAATCCTGTCGAAAGAAAGAAAGAAACAAAGAAAGAAAGAGAAAGAAAGAAAAAAAACTTCAACTTTAGTGGTTATCAGTCCCTCCCATCACTTTAGTTTGTATTAAGTATAATTTTTGTATTTTTGCTTTGTTTTCTGAGGCAGAGTCTCACTTTGTAGTCCATGCTGGCCTCAAACTTTTCTCTCTCTTGCCCCAGCCTCAGGAGTCCCGGGATCCCAGGCTTGCACGACTGTGCCTAGTGGTAGCATTCCTGCTTCTCTGTATCAAAACTCATACTGAATAATAAGCTCTGGCTTGCAAAAGAGGCTTTAACTTTTGCATAAGCCTGTCCATAAGCTCTGCTCCACAAGTTGGACAAAAACAGATGCAAGTGCTATGAATATTCTTGTGCCAGTCTTTTTGTGGACATTTGTTTTCCTTTGTCTTCAGTAAATATGTGGGAATGGCATTTATAGGTATATGTATGCATTTATTTTCAAAGGAAACTGTCAAACATTTCCCAAAGTAGTTGCACCATCTTGCATTTTCACTACAAAGTACAAGAATTCAGATTATTCCACATTGCCGCTGACACCTATCTTGTCAGTCTTCTGCTCTGGACACTCTGTTGGTTTGTAAATTATAGTTTCTTTCCTTTTTTTAAAATGCATTAGTACAACTAAACCTACTTGGGTTGTTTATATTTTAATTTTAATTTATTGCACTACTGGGGATTGAACTGGAGCACTGAATGACAACCCCAGCTCTTTTTATTTTGTAAAAGAAAGGTCTTTATAAAATAGTGTCTTGCTAAACTTCTTGGGTTGGCCTTGAATTTTTGATTCTCCTGCTTCAGCCTCCAGAGTAACTTGGATTACAGGCATGTGGCACCACACCGGGCTTGGAGGTGGGGTCTTCTATGACAGACAACTTGATCCCAAATGAGCTGACTCAGGGTCCCAAAAAAGCCCCCTAATTCCCTTCCAAGGGCAGTGTTCCCAGCCATCCTCCTAGGCCAGCTTGTACCAGGTCTCTCATCTGAAAGGTCCCCCATTTCCCAACTGCCACAGCAAGAACCAGCTTCCCCTACACAAGCCTCTGAGGACACAGTCGTAGCCAAACAAGGCAGCGTGCACACGGATGCCTTCATTTTTTGGAGACTTTCTTGTTGGGCATAGTAGTACATGGATGTAAATCCCTCATTCTGGGAGTCTGGGGCAAGAGGATCACAAGTTTGGGGCCAGCCTGGCCAATTTAGAAATGTACCAAGCTGTCTCAAAGTAAAATGTAATTTAGTGCGAAGTCCCTGGGTTCCATCTCCAGTAAGGAAGAAGGAAAAAAAAGAAGACGAAGAAGACGAAGATGAGGACGATGGAGGAGGAGGAGGAGGAGGAGGAGGAATTATTTTATCTTTTACTTTGGCCTTTTTTTTTTTTTTTTGTCTTTTTTACAGGCATGTGCCACCACTTGTCTTTACTTCTTGGTATAGTGAAATACACATGAAAGTACCATTTAACAAATGTTTTAGCTGGTCGTGGTAGTGCACACCTGTAATCCTAGCACTCGGGAGGCTGAGGCAGAAGGATTGCTGAGAGTTTGAGGCCATCCTAAGTTATGAAGCGAGTTCAAGGCCAGCCTAAACTGCAGTGAAACTCTGTCTCCAAAAGACAAAATATATATAATATATATATACATATATATATATATATTGAGACATGTTCTTGCTATGTAATTCAAGCTATCCTTGAATTCACAGTGATCTTCCTGCCTCAGTTAACAATTTTAAAATGTTCAATTCGATGGTGATGGTATTGGGGTCAAGGATTTAGCTCAGCGGCATAAGCGCCTGCCTGCCTAGCGTTAGGTCATGAGTTCGATCCCCGGTACCAAAAAAAGCCTCATCCATCAATTCAGTGGTATTGAGTACACTCACCATGTAGTACAGCCATCACCACCATTGAGGCCCAGCACATCTGTCACCCCAGATTTAAACCCTTCAAGTGTTCCCGCCCCATTCTTCTTCACGACCCTAGAAACCGCAAACCCGCTTCCCGTCCCTCTAGATTCCCTGGATCTCTCTTGTGAAGTAGCCTGTGGAGCTCAGGTCTTTGTGTTTTTTGCTTTCATATAAAATAGCATGATTTTTATTTTACAACTAAGTTTAATCTATTACCATTCTAATAAAGTTACTTACTGAGTGGTTATTAGGATGACATAAAACCATTAAATAGAATTAATGAAATATAATCACTTATAGTCATAGAAAATTTTATTTTCAACAGCATTTCCTTATTCATATCTGCTTTTGATAATTAAACCTCATAATCTATACTTTTTCCATAACAAAGAGATCACAGGAAGTATCAAGAATAATTCTAGGGCCAGGGATTCAGCTCAGCGGTGTAAGCTCCTGCCTGGCAAGGGTAAGGTCATGAGTTCAATCCCTGGTACCAAAAAAAAAAGGAGTAATTATAATTTTGTAATTTTTATAGAACTGAAAAAGAGTAATTATAATTTTCTAATTTTTATATAACAAACATTAGTATGAATTCTCCTTTATGAAAAAGGGCACAAAAGCTTTTGAAAATTTAAATTTTGAATCTTTTATGCTAAATAATTGGACTTTTTTTTCATTATTGGAGATTGAACCCAGGGCTTTTGCGCTGAGCTATATTCCCAACCCTTTATTTATTTATTTATTTATTTATTTATTTATTGTCTTTTTCCTTTTTATCGGAACCGGGGATCGAACTCACGACTGCCTGCTTGCAAGGCAGGTGCTTATGCCACTGAGCTAAACCTCCAGCCCCCTCTTTTTTTTTTTTTAATACCTGGAATTGAACTCACAACCTCAAATTTGCAGGCAAGCGCTGGTGCCACTGAGCTAAATCTCCAGCCAGCGGCACCATTCTTAATTTCCACTGACGTAGGAAGGCTTCAGTTTCTATCTTCACTAACACTTTCTTTTCACTTTTGTCTTTCTTTTTATGGTCATACAGTACCTTGCTCTAGTTTCAATTTGCACCTCTCTAATGGTTCGTGAGCTTACTGATCATCAGTGTATCTTTTGAAAAATGTCTATTATTTTAAACCAGATTGTTGGTCTTTTGGCATGAAATCCTTTTAAGCATCAGAAAGCAACCTTTTTATTCTAATAGTTTGCTCTTAGCATTTGGAATTTTAATTTAATAGAACATAGGGATGCCTCAGTTCATGAACTTAATTCCTTCCATGATTCTGGTCCCAAAGCAGATTGGTTGAGAACTGAGTCAAACTGGATGGTTAAGGTCAGTGGTGACCTTATGGGGAAATCTGATTCAGTTCTTATCCAATTCGCTTTGGGACCACAATCTGGAATTAAATCACGAATGCCAAATGTGGTGGTGCACATCTGTAATCTCAGCACACAGGAGGCTGAGGCAGAGGATCGCTGTGAGTTCAAGGCCAACCTGAACTACATAGTGAGAACCTGACTCAAAACAGACAAACAAACAAAAAGAATGAAGTTCATGAACCGAGGCATCAGTGTATTAAGATTTGCTTATTCCAACATATGACCCAATCAAAACAAACCAGTGTAAAAGATACAGGACTCCAAAACATCACGAAATCAACAATAGTTACTATAATGCCTTTTGATGTCTTCAAAATAGCTGCAGATAAATTCAGACTTAATAAAAATCAAATGGAACAGAATAGAATAGAAATAATAAAAACAAAACAATTAATGTAATAAAGGACTTTAAAACAAACCTGTAGTAAATCCAAAATTGCTACCATAATATATCTTGCTATCTTTGAAATAGCTGCTCCTGCCATCAAATTTGACATAATCAAACAAAACAAAAAAAGAATAAAATTCAGCCCAATAAAACAATGGAAGTGATATAGGACTTCAAAACAAGACCATAGGGAGTCAATAATGGCTGCAACCCTCAGAAGGAGATCCCCCTAGGTGTCACACCGTGTACCACTATCCTCTGAATAGTGGGATCAGACCACTGGCCCTAGATCGGCAGTGTTAGTGAAACACCAGAGCACCACAGGCATCCAGTTACATTTCACCTCCATAACTGTCATCACAGCCTCTGTTTCTCCAGAGAAGCTGGTCACTTACGGCACGGGATGGGGGTGTGTTTGTACTTCTTGTTTGCCAGCCCGCGTATCACAAGAGGCTGTAGTCTGTCTGTTCTAATCTAGTGGTGGCCAGCACATGACGCAGGTTCCCAGGCTAGGCCTGCTTGCTGGTGTAGCTTTGTTCCCTCCACCCCAGTCCACAAATGGTACTGATTCACAGGGAAAGGCTGGGGTCTGTCTTCCGGGAGAACATGGCGGACAGATAACAGCAACTACCGGAGGCTCTCTGAAAGACTCGGCTCAGAAGCCAGGAATGGTGCGGACTAAGGAGACATAAGCAGGTGGAGATATGCTCTGCTGACTCAGGAACGAACTGGGCTGAGAGAAACCAACTTGGAATGCATTCCTGGTGCTAAAACAGGAACAGAAAAGCCTCGGTGTGGAGGCTGGACTCCGCGCCATTGGAAGCCGCGATTTGGGTTTCCCGCCACGCGGTGGCTGGCTGCCTCCACAAGCGGCTCGGCAAGGAGAGAGACGCGCAGAAGCTCTGAGAACGGCAATCTGCGAACGGCAGGGAGGCGTGCACTGACTTGTGGTGAGGTGAGTGAGAGAAACTGACACTCTACCACAGTTTGACTCCAGAGGAGGACTTTCTGGGCCCGAGCAGTCCTGCGGGAGCAGGGCGCGGTGGCGACTCCAGCCACACATCCCCCTCTCGGGCGGGATTGGTGAAAAGTGCCTGGCCTGCGTGACGCTGCCGGCGGACCTGGTAGACTGTCCCAACCCAGATCCCAGAGCCTGATGGTGGCCGGGAGGGGAGACGCGTAGGCTGCCTGGTCCGTAACTCCCTGGTGCGCAGCGGTGAGTGGGAACACCTAACTGGCGCAATTCGATCAGGCTGTGGCTGACTGGGAGAGAAGCTGGGCCTCTTATATAAGCTTGCATATATAAGGAACAGAGAAGAAGAGGCAGCATGGGAAGAGGCAGCAACAAGAAAGGCTCCTCGGCCCCCAATTCTGAGAAACAGGCAATAGCAGACACCGCACCAAATCACATAAGGCGCCATATAGAGAGCCTCATAGACCAATTCAGGAATGAAGTTATCAATGACCTGAAGCTAGAAGTATGCAGAATAGTTAGAGAAATGCTAAGTACCACCCAAGAAAAAACAGGTGGTGGAATGGAAGAACAGAAAAAAAGGGGAGAATTGTTTGATGGAGAAAACAGAGAAAGCATAGAATACGTGAAGCAGGTTCAAAGGGACTACCAAGATACTAAGAAGTCTATAGAAGACTGGCATAACAGCTTGAAAGAAACTA